TTTATTTTTCCTTCGATTCATCATTGACTAAAAACTGAATAAGTTAATCTTATAAAAAAAATTGAATTATTTATCAATAGTATTTTACATTTTTATTTTTTATTAAAGAGTCTGTCTATTTATAAAAATACTTAAAAAATAATCTTCTTTTTTTTTTTTACGGATTTTACACCACTATTCTCAAATGCCCAGATGCCAGATCTGTTCTCAATTAAAACATGCAACCACAAAAATGGCGAGACATCAACTACCAAGCTTACCAATTCTAAAGAACAGTACGCATGGCTGTCCTCTCTTTCGCCACAAATTCAACAACAAACAACGCAGCACTATTTGAAATAAAATTATTTTTTTTATTGAAGTAAAAGGACTAAGAAGAGTAAATTACAGCTTCAATCCAATGTTGAAAAGCCAATTTTTATGCTTTGGCGTCCATACGCAAACCTTTCCCGACCTGCCAAAATTCCAAAGCTGATTATTTATGTAAATAAATAAATAAATAAAACAATAATTTGTAAAAATTAATAGAAAAAAGGACAAAACATGGAAAATTAAGAAAGTCACAGCTTTTAAAATAACGATTTTTTAATAAAAATAACGAAGAAAAAGAAAGAAAAACTTGAAAATTTTTTACCGTCAATCAACGACACCACCGGCATTTCAAAACCACCACCGTTATTCCCGACGGGGAATCTGATTCACTTGCTTCTTTCTTCGGACCATCCATAGAGAAAAAATGGGACGGTTCGAAGCCCCCACGTAACCCTGTTTTCTGAAGGTCCGAGGAAGAAATGTTACCAAATGGAGACTTTGACTGGAGATTGAAATTTGAAACAGCTGCTTGAGTTGAGGAGAGAAGGAAAGAATGAAAAGGTGGCGGAGAACCAGCTCTAACAGAATCAATGCCCATTGCCGACCCAAACATGAATCAAGAAAGGAAAAGGGGCCCTCTAGAAACTTCTAGCAATCAGCTGTACACCCAAATCTATCCTCTACTTTCTTCTTTTTGACATTCAATTCATGCACTTACAATTGGAGTCGGGGCCTCCTTTTATTGTAGGTAATAGATAATAGACACTGATGGTTCTGCAAATGGAAATCCAAGACCTGCTGGTGCAGGAGGTCTATTTTGATTTTCGAGGTAAGTGTATGTTATGGTTTAATTTGCTTGGAAAGTAAGATGTAATTATCAACGAGTGATTTAAGTGATAAAGAAAAAATATATTTTTTAATTTAAATTCGAATCTGTTAAGAAATGATAACAAAATAATTTTTTATAAATTCGTTAAATCTAATTGTTTGAATCAGTCAAAAGAAGAGATATAACACACGAAACTCAAAAATCTCTTGCTGCTAAATAAAAAAAAGTGGGATGCACTTCAAGCTTGGCAACCGAGTTATGAGGCTGACGTGATGATTTCATGCTTGCTGTTCAGTATAATTTCTCTAACTTAATTATTGGGATGAATTCATTCTCTTGTAGATTTGAATCTTATAATTCATGGTATTCAATCCTTTGCTGTTCATAGTTCCCTTATAAATGATTGTAGGTTAACCAAGCAGCAACCCAGAAGAACTACACTTGTTTATATTTTATAGTATGACCCATGCTTGTGCTGGTATATATATATTTTGGCAAAAATAGGAGCTTACCATCGGTAGGATTTTATTGTTTTTATCGAACCTCTTAATGGTGTTGGCCTTTCTTTGTTTGCTGATATTATTGGGGCCGGTTACTTTCCCTGTACTGTTTGTTGTAACTTGAACTGTTAGTTTATTAATTTATTTATCTCCATTTTATAATTAAAAAATGACTTTTAATAAAAGTGTAAGATTAAATTCATTAAAATTGAGTTAAAATTTAAAAACTAAAACTAGCAAATTGAAAATGATAGAGTTATCACGGGCTTGTGGCTGGTCGCAAGTTTTGTATGCTTGCTTGGATTGGCTGGTCTGGCAGTGACCTGGTTAGTGCTCTTGTCCTTATTGCTTTTGCTGCTTTGCATGATTGCATCCGATTCGGAATATCTGCAACAATGGTGGCCACAGCTTTTGACTCTAACCATCGAGGAGTTCCAAATTGGAGCGTACATGACCAATCATGGTACTCCATGACAACAGTAGTTCAAGAAGTAACAGATATTTCATGCCTAGCTATGATTTAAACTATTTTTACTATACAAAACTCAAATTTTAATTGAATTATTTTGCTATATATATAGTTCTCATCTCACTAGCTCTTTCAAGTTTCAACGGAAGGCCAGAGTATCCAATTGGACTGTCAATGCCAACCAATTTCATCTCCTTTTGGTCCAAAGCCCAGGTTACTCAAACATTCTCAATCCAAACTGGCCACAAGCCTTACCAGATTCAGTATAGAATTCAACAGCTGCATGCCTTGAGGTCGTCGTTGATGACCTATGTTATGCCTTGACTGCCATGTGTTATACCTTGACCTTCATAGCTCGATCAGCAACATTTTTACCATATCTTAAACTAGCCAAAATGCTGGTGAGGCCTACCTGGTTTTCCTGGAAGAATTGGTCAATGAGTCCCTGTTAAAGGGAAGTTCGAAAGCTAATTATAGATCCATTAATCAGACTTTTCGAAGTCTGTGAACAAGACAGATCCTAGATATGGGTTACCTAGAACAGCCAACTGAAGAGGTGAAGTTAACTAATGCAGCTTATATGAAATTTAGGAGAAACAAAAGAACTCCATTTAACTGCTTTTTGCTAGAAATTATTCAGATTGTGACATCACAGATTAATAATTTTCCTACTAATAGTCATGATACTGCAGAAATATGTACTTGTCTGGGACCAAGAAATTTCCATCCACGTGTAGTACAAAATACAGACTATTAAATGACCTTTTTTGTTTCTGATCACTGAATTCTACAATATTTTGTTCTTTTCTTGAAAAATTGATGCTGAAATGTAGCCTGTTGAAAATGGGTTTTGGAATATTATTCACGGCCACTGATGTCCCATCACGAGAGTGATATGGCAACTGCCAATTTCCACCTCAGAAACAGAGACAATTGAGGTTTGATCTTAAAAAATAAATAAAGGATATGGTTATTAATCATAAATGGTTCCCCATGGCTTTAACTGCCCTAATTTTCAATTAATTAAAGGTATATAATTTCTTAGCTAACTGATTAAGTCAGATATTATTATGGTCAAGCAGGTGGGTTATGCGCTTGAAATGGAGAGCAAGCACTATTTAGGCGTCAAATCTATCATATCCGTACCTAAGCAAAATGGCCAGAAAACAAAAAAACAAAAAAAATTCAAAACCAAAATTAATCAATAAAACGAACAGAAGGAAAAAATGGCAACTTGGAAGATCAATGCTTTTCTGAAGGCCTGGGCCATTGCAAAGCCCCTTGTCATCCATTACATTGCAATTTGCAAAGAATTTTCACCCTTGATGTTAACGGGTGGAGTCCCATTAGATAAGCCCCAATTACACTTAATTGCATGATCGAGCAAGAAAACGAAGAGGATTGAGACGAAAAAGAAATCAGGAAGCACTTTGTGCTAGTGTCACATGATAATTATTCTCTTTTTATATAATTGATTTATTAAAATATATAGTGCCAATATTTATATATCTAGTGATTTTTTTTCCCATTCAATGTGGAATTAAAGATGACATTTTTTTCTAATTAATCTCATTAAGTGACTTTCAATAGGAACGAAGATTTACTTTTTTGAAGTATTTAACATGATATTCTCTTTTGTTCTATTTCATGATATTTTCGTCACGATTACTGTTTTGCTTACTTCTTTTAAAATATTTGAAATGATCAAATTTTACTATCGTATTTATCTCGTTTGATGTTTAAAATAAAATTAAATGAGTTAAAAATTTATTTTAATATCACTTGTCTCATAATTATTACTCTCTTTTTACAAACTTTACTTATTAAAGTATATAGCGCCAAAATTTATATATCAAGCGATCCTTTTTTTTTATCCAATATAAGATTAAAGTAATCTACTTACTTTTTTTGGAGTGCTTAGCGTGACACTAATCCTTGGTTTGTATCATGGAGCTTGATGCCGCTACAACGCTGTCTCATTCAAATCAGCTGGTCCCCGTGTCACTGCAATTGAATCTTGGTGCCAATGGAAAAGAAGTGAAGTTGATTAATGGAGCTGCATGGCCACATCTGGGTCATTCTCTCTGGACCTAAAAAAAAAAAAAAACTTGCCAAGAATTAAATGGCTCAAAACATATAAGATGACAGTTTAATTTATAATTAATCTCCATTAGAATTCAAGTCCTGCTAATGGAATTTATGAGGAAAATAATCCAGTTACTGCTTTGTGCTTGAAAATATATATTTAGATTGTGACATCACAGATTAGCAATTTAATTTCCATCTGACCATCTTCACATTGCACAAAAGCATGTGCTAGACCAAGACCAAGATTTTGCATCCATTTGTGAACGTAGTACAGATATGCAATCAGCAATGATCTCAATAATATTTTCGCTTTACATCAGTTTCTTTAGTATATCAATGTAATAGTTGATTATCATTTTAATTTATCTTATACTTTAATTAAAAAAAACACTTATTTATAGAAGTAATGTAAACAAAATAGGGAAGCAATATGGAGAGAAATATTAAAGATTTTACTGGATTACAATTGATTCTCAAATCAATAATAGGTTACTCTCCCTTTTATCAACCAAATATTCTCAAGATTATTTCAAAAAAAAAAAATGTTGCTTTATTTAGTTGGGGTCATTTGCACTTAGAACTAGTCAATCCACATCATTTTATCTAATTTAATTCATTTTCATCCATCTTTTTACAATAACTAATTACCTTTTGAGAAAATAATTAATTACCTAAGATAAAATAGTAAATATATCTTGACAGCAAGCCAATAATTATGGTGGTTTGATCAATATCTCGTAATCTTTAATTAAATAGTTGGAAGATTTTGTTTAAGGCTTGAGCACTTAAGCAACCCCTTTATATATAAGCCCCTTACAAGGGAGAAAAAAATAAAGCCCAAAAACCCGTTGGGGAGAAAAAGGATGAAGCACTTTGTTCTAGTTCATGGCATTTGCCATGGCGCTTGGTGCTGGTACAAGGTTGTGGCACTCCTCAAATCGGCTGGTCATTCTGTCAGTCCTTTGGATCTTGGTGCCAGTGGAATCAACCCCAAGAAAATAGGTGAGCTCACTTCCATGTCTGACTATGCGCAGCCATTGATGGAATTCATCGCCTCTTTGCCTCAAGAAGAGAAGGTGGTTTTAGTGGGTCATAGTTTCGGTGGCATAAGTATTTCTTTAGCCATGGAGAGGTATCCACAGAAAATATTAGCCGGGGTTTATCTCACAGCCTTCATGCCAAATCATGATTCTTCCCCAGGAACTCGTGTACAAGAGGTAATACTCTTTTGGTCTTGGTAGATGATGACTGCAAATTTGTTCCATGTCGTTTTCAATTGTAGCATGTTTAAGGAGACATGGTGGTTGGAATATTGCTTGATTTCTGGAACCCACATTAATTTTCTGGTAGTTAATAATTTTATTTTCATTATTTATGGGAAACCAGTTCTTCAACGGTGTCATGGAAGAGTCCACTATGGATTTCCAGCTCTCATTTGATGACGGACCAGAAAATCCCCCAACAGGTGCCTTGTTTGGGCCAAACTACATGTTGGCAAAGGTTTACCAATTATCCCCAAAAGAGGTCAGTATTTCAACAACAAAAAAAAAAATTCAATTTCATGATCTGCATAAATGGTTCCAATGTGTGGTGTTCATGGCGCTGATATTGTTTTCAATGTAGGATATCGAATTGGCTAAAACGGTGTTGAGGCCTGGAAAGTGGTTCATGAAAGACTTGTCAAAGGAATCTCTGCTAACAAAAGACAAATTTGGATCAGTTAATCGAGTTTATATTGTTTGCCAAGACGATTTGCTGATAAAAGAAAGGTTGCAGAAATGGTACATTGAACATAACCCGACAGGCGATGTGAAGGTCATAGCTGGGGCTGACCATATGCCCATGTTCTCCAAGCCCAACGAGGTCTTCAAATGTCTCCAGGAAATTGCTGAGAAATATAACTGAAATTGTTGAATCGACATGAAGCGTTTCACTATGCCAGTGTTTGGGTAATTCACTTTCATGATAACCCACAAGCCAGCATTGTAATTGTAATCTCTTATTGGTAATATATCAATAAAGAAATCAAAGGTTTTTAATCAAATTAAGGCCTTGGATAAGCTAATATATATTTGTTTGAGCATGCATACAAAGTTATATTAATTTCATCATGTTTGTTCATGTTTGATTACATTTGAAAATTAAAAAGAAAATTTCTTTTATATTATTGGTCCTGATTGATGATTTTAATACCAAAAAAAAAAATGATATATAATATCAACGATAAAGTATGAGATGGAGGGAGTCAATTAATGACGTCTATTTAAGTCTAAAAATTCTTTAAAAAAAATCTAAGAAAGAAATGGGAACAATTTGTTTCCAATCCAAGGTCTACCTTTCCATCTCTCTGTATTTCACGTGGAAACAATTTCTTGTTAAACCTAATGAATTGCCTTTTTTTTTTTTTTTTTTCTGATGGGATGAATGTAGATTTGTTATTTATTGGAATGATATGAAGGTCTATTTTATTAAAATTACAATAATTAAGTGCATAAAATCAAACATCATATAATAACTTAGTAAGTTTTTTAGGGATGCGTCCAACCGATCAATAGGATATAATCAATTAGAGTCGATTTATTTTAGAATTGAATATAATTTAATTTGAAAATTTAAATTTTGAACGAATTTAATTTTTTAATTTTTAAATTTGATTCATAATTTTTTCAAACAATTTAAGCTCAATTCAATACATTTGATAAAATTTCGTAAAACTATAAATATAAACATTAAATATTATATTTTATCATTTACTTATATATTAATATTAAATATATTAAAACATATTTTAAAAAATTGATAAGAGTTACGAGTCTATAAAATTTAATATTAAAATACTTAAATTTTACTCAATTCATTATTTAAATAATTTGAACTTCAACTAGGCTCAATCATATATATATTTGACTCAAATTATTGGGAATTTTTGTGGGCTAATGAGTCACTAGAGCAGCTTAATGGTTTGGATTTTAAGCTTGTAGCTATAATGACGTTGTTGAATGATTTAATTTGTTATTATGTTTTTTTTTTTTTATCAAAATTTAATCTTCCCTGTTACCTTAAAATTCTCTTGCATCACCAAATAACAATCAGAAAATTTTCCTTTCTCGGATTTTTTTTCTTTGATGTTTTCCTTTTCCTCAAATTTTTATTGAACAAGTAATCAAGTTCCTGAAATCCACCCATTTAGGGGAAAACAAAAAGCCCTTAAATCCGGCATTTTTTGTTTAGGGCACCGTGAATGTGACTTAGGTCACTGTCAGGAGCGCATGAGCCCACAACTTCAATGGCAAATCAAAATCAACACTTGGAAAATTGTGGGTTTAACTTTTTTTTCAATAATTAAAGCAGGACGTATCAAAATCCAAATCAATAATGGAGAAATTTCAATTCAAAAAGCAAAATATCTATTATCAAAACCCATTTTATATATGCCTTGAAAGATCTGCAATGGCGTAATCAAATTCTGTGCCTAACGGGGTGAAGAGTCAAGAGAGCAAAGTTCAAACTCTCCAATACTGAAAAAGAAAAAAGAAAAAAACATGGCAGAGAACAAACGGGAAAAGCACTTCGTGCTGGTGCATGGGATGTGCAAAGGAGCTTGGTGTTGGTACAAACTCAAAACCCAGCTCGAGTCTGCTGGTTACAGGGTCACAGCACTCGACCTAGCAGCTTCTGGAATCAACATGAAGATGAAGTCAATCGAAGATATTCTTACGTTTCATGAATACAGTGAGCCCTTGTTGGAGATGCTAGCCTCCCTTCCTTCCAATGAAAAAGTCATACTTGTGGGACACAGCCTAGGGGGCATCAATTTGGCCCTGGCCATGGACAAGTTTCCGGAAAAGATTTCAGTTGGGGTTTTCTTAACAGCATCCATGCCAGATACCACTCACCAGCCATCATATGTTTTGGATAAGGTAATAGGACTCGGTACTAGCTGGCGGCTTGTCTCATTCAGATAAATCCATCTCATTATAAGGATTTTTTTAGTGTAATTTGTAAATCCAATTCCAATGTGTTCAGCCCAATGAGGCAATAAACTAAAGAAAAATGGGGCAAAACGGTCAATAAAAGAGTGTAAGACTAAATATCGTTTTTAGTAATATTCAAGCAAAAAGTGAGATCGTTTTGAATAATGTTACTTGGGTGTTTTAAAGATTGACATTTAGATTTTATTCTTGTTAAAACCATGTTGACATTAGTCACCTGAACATTTTAATTCTATGCTTTTGGTGGAGTTTTCCACCTGAAATGAAGCTGAAAAAGTGTTCAAAATGTGATATATAGGAAACAAAAGGCTTGAACTGAGTTCTGCTTCCGGATGTTTGTTTATGTAGTCAAAATGTTTTTGAATTGGCTTCTAGTCTTCTCCTTGCAACAGTGCTTTGGGAACGTCTCAGCAGAGGAGTGGTTGGACACTCAATATTCACCCTACAGTGGACCTGAACAGCCCCTCATATCAGTGACGTTAGGCCCTCAGTTCATGGCATCCTATCTTTATCAGCAGTGCCCTGTTGAGGTATTTGATCTCTCAGGCAAATCTCACTTTGATGTTTAAATTTTGAAAACTCAAGCTCTATTATATAAGTTTAAGTGTTCAAGAATTACATCTACTTCTCAACTTGCCAATAAGCATTTTGAAGTATCTAAAAAACTAGGAACTTTTTTTTTTTTTTTTTTGCTTTGAAGGACCTTGAACTAGCCAAGACTTTGGTGAGGCCAGGATCAGCATTTCTACCAGATTTGTCCAAGGCAACCAAGTTCTCTGATGAGGGATATGGATCCACAGCACGAGTCTATCTTGTGTGCAAGGAGGATAGAGTAATGCCGGAGGAATTCCAACGCTGGATGATCGAGAACCACCAGGTAAACAATGTAATGGAGATTGAGGGTGCTGATCATATGGCAATGTTATCCAAGCCGCAAGAAGTTTGCCGTTGTTTATTAGAGATTGGAAAACAATATGCCTGAATTTGCTCTTAGCGTGGCAAAAACAAATGATGCTGTTGGCTAAATTTAGTTCATCAGTTTATGTATTTATACCAAGTTGTTTTTCATTTTTTTTTATATTGGGGATGGGGGAAGAGACATGTGAACTCATAATTCAAAATAACTACTGAGTTAAAATTTCAGATTCAACTGTTTTTCATTTTTATATAGAAGAAACCATTAGCACAATCTAGGTTATGAAAATACAAATTTGCATTCTTTTTTGTTACTTAAACTCCCACTATCCATCCACTTTGTCTGAGTCAACGCATAATAAAATAAGATAATTTCCTCATTGCAATAAATTTGTTATTAATGGATTCATTTCCTCCATTTCAACTATAGGCCCTGTTTCCCTTGTTAGTTGCTTCTTTCTTTCCCTCGTTGTACATTGATACTATCCTCTCTGGATCACAAGTCACATATAGAGTATGTATTTCATAATGCCAACAACCTCAACATTGGCCCCCTGCAATTCCATATATCCAATTAATGAAACTTGAAAACGATGTTTACCCACTTTTATCCAAGTACTGTTTCATTAGTCATCAAACAGCAGCTAATACTTGGACCCGAAATTGTTTCCATTAGGTGACAAGTATACAATAGCACATTCAAGTATTTCTCGGCAATTTCTTCTTTTTTTTTTTTTTATTTGGGTGCATTCTCTGCTATTTCTTTAATATTTCCATGAATCAGGGGAGCTGGATCGACAAGTCAATATTACAAATTAGGCCATTAAAATAAAAAAAAAATGGAAGTTCGACATTGGTCCATTTTATTTCAGCTGTTTGAATCAAGCAACTACGCTCTAAATATATTTTTCTGTAATTTCTTGAAGACAAGAGCACAGCTCGTTCGGTTTGGAAAACATGACCATGTGATCAGAGTCGGTAATCAGCTTTACCTCATCTGGTGGATTGTTTTCAATCATCCACCTTTGGAAGTCTTCTTTTATGATATTATCTTTGTTGCACACAATGTACACTCGAGGCACTAATCCATATTCCTCCTTGGTGACTGCAGTAGCCTGGATTGATCTTTCATCTTTATAGACACCAACATGTCTGACTAAAGTTAGTGCAAGCGTTAAATCCTGCTCCAATCCATTGTATACAAACAAAGAGACATCAGCTCGTCTTTCAAACACAAAGGAAAACTGAATTCAAGGATGAAGCCTATTGAGACTCTTGCCTCGGGAGGGAAAGCTGGTATAACTTGGATGCCATGAAATTGGGCCCAAAGAGTACTGAGGTTGCAGGCTCATGCATACCATTGTGGAATCCAAATTGCGTGTCCATGTACTTGTCGGAATCCAATCTTTCATTGCCCTGTCCGAAAAAAGACCAGTAACGAAAGTTAAGAACTACGCTCAATGCATACTAAGAATTGCAGTTTGCAGTAATATCTCTTCTTTTTTTTGTTGAACGAGGTTCAACAAATAACTGTTTTGGAATTCTTTTTTAACCTTGGAAGCATCTTGGAAGAAATAAGTGAAATAAGTGTTGCTGTCTTGCTAGTAGCATACTTTCGTGCTTATCTATCCACCTCACAAATCGTCTTCTAGCTTAGTCTGAAGACTGGATATACGCTAAAATGCTATAGAAGGAAAAGAAAAGTAGCCAAAAACTGGTCTATGAACAAGGGCTGAGCTAAATGGACTGCTTCAGAGGTGGGAGTGTTGGTGCTGGAGAGAGGAAGAAAAGGGTTGTACCGTTTGAGATAGAGTCTGAAAAGTGAGTTCTGGATCCGGCATAAAAGCAGCGGCAAATACTGCGACAGCAACTTTTTCTGGAAACCTTTCCATGGCGGCTGAAACGCAAAACCCACCCTTGCTGTGGCCCACTAGAATCACCCTCTCCTCTGGTGGCAGAGACGCCATGAATTCCATCAACGGTTCGAAGTAATCAGACATGGAACGAATCTCATGAACTTGCTTTGGATGGATCCCAGAAGCAGCCATGTCAATTGCTGTAACCTTGTAGCCCATTGATTTCAGCTGAGTTGTCACCTTATACCAGCACCATGCTCCATGACAAGCTCCATGTACTAGCACCAAATGCCTCTCTTTCTTCACCATCCCATCCTATTCCAATCGGACCTATCCTTTTCTTACCTGTGGTTCAGTCTCTTGCACCATGGATCAATAACCTCATTCGCTTGCGTTTATAACTTTATAATGAAACCTCATTTCTTCTCAAAATTATTGGAGTAAACCAATATCAAACGTATGCCTCTCAAGTCGGTTTCAAAGTCTCCAATAATTTCTTTTTTTTTTCAACATTTATCGATTTTATCTTTTGGTTACTTCAAGACACTTGTCAATTCTAGAGATAATATTGAAATTTCATAACTCTATTCATTTATTCTTTTTTTTTTCTTTTTAAATTTGTTTTTTCCTTCTCAAAGACAATTATAAACTGAAATAAATATAATATTTCAATATTTAATTCAATGAATAAATATAATATTCATTTACGATATGAACTATAATACAGAATCTATCACATCATATAAAAATGAGTGAGAAACAAAACGTAACGGAATTAAAACCATGGTTCCTCATCTTAACATTCCAAATACAAAGTCCTCGGGATAGACGTGTGTTAAAAGCCAAGAGGACAACAACACAGAGTCAGCATACTGCAATATGCAGCAGCAGGTATCATCTCATTTATGAAGTCGTCTATATCCTAATGCAATCTCGAAGGATAAACATCGCAGCTGAATTTTATCCCTGAAAACTTATCTATGTGACTTGCTTCACCAAGGACCCAGCTGTGATGTAGGTTGTAAATTCAAATGGAAAGAAGCTATATAACCAAGGGAAAGAGTAGCTATGCAATGCCCATGTCTGCGAAGAGAGAGTAGCAAGTACCTCTTGACGCAAAGAAATTGACTGAGGTCAGGTCCTGGCATACTGGCAAGGGCAAAAACTGCGACAGAAATTTTCTCAGGGAATCTTTCCTTGGCAACAGAAATGGAAACTCCAGCCATGCTATGGCCAACCAGAACCACCCTCTCCTTTGGTGGGAGAGACGCCATGAATTCCATCAATGGTTCAGAGTATTCTAAAATCGTATGAAGCTCATGCACTTGCTTTGGATGGACATGAACCCCAGAAACAGCCAGGTCGGGAGCTGTAACTGTGGCCCAATGATTGCAAGAGAGTTACCACCTTATACCAGGACCATGCTCCATGAAAGGCCCCATGGACAAGCATAAAATGACTCTTTCCCTTCTTCATTTGTTGCCCTTCCGACCCTTTCTTGCCTTCGAACAAGTTTATGTGCAATGAAAAACCTTATTTGGCCGTACCAGGTCATGTGACTCATGTCGCACAATCACATACAAGTCCTATACTTTTAACATGAACCATCTAGTAGCCCCAGCAGTTAGCAAGGCTTCACCTCCCATACCAGTTGCTGAGATACTTAGGTTTCAAATGTCCCATTGGCCATAGCTTTATCAAGACTTTGAAAACGAATATAGCTACAAATTTACCAACCGCATAAGAGAAATTCATAACAAATTTCGGTAAAAAATTAACAGTAACTTTTATAACATGTCTTTTAATACATGATACATTTTTCTTTTATCGTGATACCATACATTTAGGATATAAAAGGATAACAATCAGTAAAGTAGTTTTATGAATTCTAGCTACATAAATAGTTTCTCAAGTACTGGTTGCCTACAAGGGTACCACATTTTAAATTTAATTTCTAATTATCATTTATATTTTTTAAACTTTTCAACCCTATACATAGCATATCAAGTTGATAGAAAATCAGACACAGCCAGCTTAGCTGTTTCTTGTTCGTTAAGTAGAATGAATTCCAACCAAACCCATAAATTTCTAAACAAATAGTAATCAAAGTTTCAAACTGTAATCTATTATATATTTCGTTAAGGCATTGTCAATTTGAAAGGCCTTTCCCCACACCCCCAATGACTGCCTCTCCTTTTATAGCTCTTCCTTGGTTACGAAACAGTAAATATTTATTCACTCATCCTCTTGCTCTTATAATTGTCAAATAGAAAAGAAAGATTATTAGCCTCATATGAGGGTCCGTTTGGAATACATCTTTCTTTTTTCTTTGAATGAACTGTCTCAACGAGGTCACAGTCATGCTGCACAACCAGAACAAGGCCAGTTCAAAGATTTCTTCCCCTAAACTTGAATGTTAGAAAAAAAAATCACAAGATTATAACTAAATTATGATTTTTAGTGTTCACTGCATCCTTACTTGATGAAGTTCAAGGATCATCAATAATACTTGTCTAATTTGTATCAACGTTTTGAGAAAGAAGATGGAAGTTAAAAGAATAACTATAGAGAGATCATTTACCTGACTAGACCTTCCATTCCTCAAAATGTAATCATCCTACTGCTTAAAGCAGAGTTCCTGAAATCTTGTTAGGCTGCAATGGAAACAAGAAATGAAGAGACATTCAGATATAAAACTACAATTTTCTTTTTATTATTGAGAAGCAATATGGTAAATTATTTATTCTCGTATCCAACACAAAAGTTACATGCATTTATAAAAATATAAAGAGCCCTAAAGCATTGAGCAAAGAAAAACAATCATAATAGAAAAATGAAGCACCGTTTTAGAAGGACTACTGGGTTATATGGAAACAAGTTCTTCAAGTGAAGGTTCTCCACAGATTTTTTCAGAGAAAGCAAACAATCTTTGGCTCGCTCAAACGCATAAGCTGCATATCTATTTTCAAGGTCACCCTTAAATTTCTTCTCTAGATGCAGAGGAATAATTTTCGCAGGTCCAGCTGATGGCTCGATCTTAAAACTTGATCTTTCTGGCAAAACTTTTCTTCTCTTGCTAGATGATTGATTTTTATCTTCTCCAAACACTGAAAATTCTGTAAATGTTTGCCATGAATCACATACCTTGCGCAAACACCTACAAACAAAAGGTCACACCACCAAAGTTACACTGAATCAGAGGCAAATAAGAAATGAAAAACTGAGCTCTCCTATCACACCACCTTGTAAGGCTAACAGATGAATACTAAAAAACATACCTTAAGAGATATTCTGCACAATTAATTCCTGTGTCTTTTGAGATAAGATAATCAAGAAGCACTTGATGGTCGTAGTGCAACTGCAGATGGTGAAGAGAAACACATGACATCAATAATAAAAATAACCCACTCCAAATAAAAGAAATGGACTGCATTTTTTTGGTTATATTTTCTTTGTCTCTCCTATTGTTGGAGAGGGAAAAAAGGGGAGCTTGGGGTGCTCATAGCATGATTAGGATGTAAAAGACTTGCCTCTGCAAGGAATAAATGAAATAGGTGTATGGGATTAAAAATATTTGAAACATGAAAAAGAACATCTTCTCTCACATCTTGAGATGCCCATCTTTCTTTGTGGAATCTACAGACAAACCAAGAAACAGTTGAAAGAAGAATCAAAGAAAATCATTAAACAAACGAAGGTAAAAACAAGGATATTATTGCTCACTGTTGTTCTTCGCAAGCTTGTAAAGAAAGCAGTTGCAAGAGCAACTTGAATAATAAGTCATCCTAAGAAAAACAAGGAATTAAAGCATGACACACATAAGAAAGCATAGATTAAAAAAAAAACAGAACAACTAGTTCTAGAGCAGCTAACAAACTCTTTATGCACAAATAATGCAGTACAATTACCAAAATAATAATAATGCAGTAAGCATTCTCATAAAAAAAAAAAAAAAACACACACACACACACACACAGAAGCATACAACAATATAGTGTTTAGAAGAGTTTCCAAGGGTAAAGGGAACTGACCTCATGCACATACAGTTTGATGAAGGAACGTGAAAAGTTTACACACTTCTCCATGTATGTTTCTTGGTCCACAAGCATATCAACAGGCAGATGTTCAGAGATCCATGAATAAAGCTCTAATAAACCTCTCTGTCTACCGCAACAACTCAGATCTGAATTTGCGTCAAAAGCCACGCCTGACTTCACAGTTGCACTAGGACAATCCATGCCAGTGTCTTTTCTCGGATTTATCAAACTGAAGGAACACCTCAAGAAAAGAAAAATGGCCTGTCTTTGTAAATGGCAAGAGTGCATACTATGCACTTCTCCATCAGAAATACTTGACATAAAAGGAGAGTCTTCTAGACTACCATCCTGATCCTCAACTTCAGTTAAAGGTTGGCATAAAACTTCTTGAAAGTAATTATGTAGAAGCTGCAGCCAGGAAACAAGAACCAAACTATCTAGTGGTATTTGGAAACTAAGCCTGATCATCAGAACCTGAAATTTTTTTTAAGTTCATATAATTAGAGCGCTTACATGCTAAAACAGATCAGAGAAAATAACAAAACATCTACATTTCCATACCAACAACTTGTGTCTGAAGTAACGAGACATGCATCTGTTGACACACACACCTTTCTTGCCAAGGCACCAATATAGAAGTTTAGGTACAAAGTTGATAATTTTGGAAAGAATAGCATGCTTATCTAGGGAATCATTTAATCCTTCCACAAAATTAAATTGCTCAACCAATGAACATAGAAACTGAATAAAATTCCCTAAGAACACAGTCCTCAGTTCATCCTTTTCACCACCATTTCCACCAAAGAACTCATCCATTGAATCCCAAGGCACATTCGAAATGCAAAAGCTTACTGAATCTAAAAACACTTGAACAAGTTCATCATCACACTCTTCCTTCAAAAATTTCAGTATATTTCTTAATATTCGAATAATGCCAGCCGCTGTAAGGAAGCTAGCATTTTTCAACTTGGGCTTCAATAAATCTGCAAGACTTAATAAACCAGAATCTGAATCTCCAACTCCAGTTATTGCAGGTTCAAAAGAACATGAAGATATGTTTGAGATTGAGAATTCAAAGCAAATACATAGCGAATGGATTAAAAATTCCCAGCTCTTTCCCTGCAATAACACGAAAAATCATTAAAAAGAAAACCAAACTGTAAATTTTTTTTTTTAAAATCTGTAAATTTTGTTAACATACAGATGAGGCTATGAACTCAGAGAGGTTTACGAGAGCATTGCCAGCTAAATGTTGAATGAATCGGCTTTCAAAAGTTAATAAGGTTATCTGAAAGAGAAATTGAAGAAGTTATGTGATTTGGGTTATCAAGAAAAATTATGAAAAAAAAAGGAGAAAAATCAATAAATTACCAGGTGAGATATTGCTTTGGATAAAAATTGGTGGTTTTGTGAGTTTGGAATTAAGGCAAAAGAGGTGTTAGTCGTGCGAATCAAGCGGCGAATTTCATTTGAGACCTGAAAAGTGAATGACAGAACAGAGCTAAGTGATGAAAGGAGTAGAGTGTACGAATTTGAGAGAAAGGGAGGAGAGGAGAACCTGAGAAAGGATGAGGAGAAGGTCTTTCTCTTCTTCTTTGCTTAAAGAGATGTTCTCTGATTCCTGGCATTGTAAAAGAAAAAAAAAAAAAAAAAAACTAAGGAAGTGAAGATTAAAGAAAAAAACAAAAGAAAGGGCAAACGAAATAGAAAATTGGTGAAGAATGGAACTGACGGTGAAAGGGTGAAGAGAATCGTTGATCAGACGGAAGAGACGGGAAAATTCAGAATCAGTGAGCGACGATAGAGATATTTCTCTTGCCATGATGAGAATCGTTCATGGATTTTTTTTATTTTCGACTCAGTTTCAAGAGACCGGATTTCTCAGTCGTTGATTTTATGCAAGGTGGCTTGTCAATTAGAAGGTGAAGAGTTTTTTTTTTTTTTTTTTCTTTCTTTCTTTCTTTGAAGCAATCACGAGAAAAAAAAATCGTATACTATTTTATGTTTTACAAATAAAACGAAATTAATCTTCAAAAATGATGAAAGTGAAGAGTATCGAATATTTTTTAATTTAATTTTAGCTATTAATAATATTTGTTAATAAATAATTTATAAGCCTAATATAATTTTATATAACTAAATTAAAAAAATTAAGATATTTAATTTTAAAAACCTAATTATTGTATTATGCATTGCAAATTTTTGTTCAACTTAAGATTTTTTTTCATAAACTAATCTGTCATGTGACATTGTTTTCAATCACTGTAATTAATTTTCTTTAATTTAAATAAAAGAACTCCATCAATATTTCATGTTTGCTGATTTTAATTTTTATTTATGGATTTTGTTAATAAATAATTTTAAACTTATTAAACTTGTTTATCGTAATATTTAATATTAAATAACAATTAATTTAATAAATTTTATGCATTAAAATTATAATTTATTTAATATAATATTTTAAAAATACTTTTAAAATATTTTATTAACAAAATCTTTATTTATTTATTTTTAAGACATCATCAATGACAAAAATTTGGTTTGGATTTTCTAGCATTGACTGAAAAATATAAAGCTACTGATTCGATAGTGTTGTGTTGCAGAATTCAGTTACAATCATCCCCCACTCTCATTGCCTGCGTGCATGCCACCGTCGTATGAAACCTCCTACCGGGGCTAGCCTCCATAACCACCCTCAAAAAGAGCGTCAACTACACGCTCTCCTACTGACCACCTCCCTAACATCCCCCCATTCCTCTTCCCCGTACCTCCACAACAGCCTCGTGTCATGTGCTCCAGAAGCGAACTCCCTTTTGGACGCCAAGAATACTTATGCTGCTGTAATTTCTGCAACTCGTGCACTCTTTAGCATCTGATTACGGGATGCCCCTGCCTGCTTCGTCAAATTACAAGATCAGGATAGGACAATTGTGCTTTTATAGGAACCGCAGTTGTGTCCATGAATTTCAAAAATGGTGATAATGAATCTGCTCGGATCGTTTTTAGCATGATCTTAAAGAAAATGTTATGCCCTGGACTGATATGATTATACGGGCTATTCCAGAATGGCTAATGGGGAGAGTGCCATTAGATCGTTCGTTGAAATGTGTCAAATGGGGCACAACATTCATAGCTTTGTTCTGCCTGGAGCTTTCATAGTTGTGACATCTCGTAAAAATGGGATTAAAACTATAATCCAACATACAAAGCATAAGCATGCGTAGAAGCATTGTAAACGAAAGCCCAAGTAACAATCAGAAATCCAGAACTAAAAGTGATTTGCCCTTTTATATCTAGTCACAAGAATCTATAATGTGTTCTACACTATTACAGTAATAAGGATCTTGCAACACCTGTATGAATGGTGAAAAGAAGAAAATGGGAATAGGATGTTTTACAAAGCTAACATCTTGTTTTCCCGGATATCATCATCAACAAACCTACACGGATCCTTCAACTCCAGAGCTAGAGACACTGCACTTAATACAATATCATGCAGAGACAATGTAAAAATGAAATGTGTGGCCCCCTTTATGTGCAAAGGATCATTTGAGTAGACAGAAAGTTGCTTCAGGATTCCACATCCAAGCTACCACAACTAACGCCGGGGAGTTCGAGATTTCGGCCTAGATGGTTTCTGCAAGAACACACAAATGAGGCTAATTAAGAGAAATATAATTGATCCAGGTAACAACACTGACTGATGGAGACAAAGTCACACGCAATAGCCATTCTTTGAAGCCAAGTCTATTTCTGATGATCATTTATGAAAAGGGAAAACAATTGACAGACAAGAAAACATTTTACTCACAGATGCAGCCCCGAAGCTAGCACCAGACCCTATTGCAGCACCTGGGAGAAAGAGAGCTTTTAATCAGACAACAAAAAACAATCAGATTAAAATTTATCAACGCATGTCAAAACACAGTGGTTACCCAAAAATGAAACGCCAAGCATGATTTTGAAATGACATTATTGAAAATAAAAGTGATTTCGGAAAACATATAGGATAAGAAGGTACCAGAAGCAAATGGTGTTGAAAAAAGTAAACCTCCAGCAGATGCAGTAGAGCCGAAAGCTGGTGTGGTACTAGAAAACAGAGAGGGAGTGGATGCAGATCCTAAGAGAGATCCTGACGAGGAACTGAAAAGGGATGTTTGGATGGAAGCACCTGTGGTTGGAGTTGAAAATAGAGAAGATGACATGGAAGAAGCAGGAGCAGAAGATGGTGTACTAAAAAGAGACAATCCACCACCGGAAGAAGCTGATGATATTGCTGCAGATGTCTGTGAGGCAGAGGCTGCTGCAGGAGTTGCTGAGCTGGCAAACAACCCAGCAACCTGAGTTGATGTTTGAGAATTTGCAGGTAAATGCAAGGTTGGATGTACCCTCTTAGCAGCAGCTTCCTGCTTGGCAGTTTCTCTCCGATCAGCCTCAAGAAAAGGATCATTAACATCTCCTCTGCGGCGCTGATCAGTAAGATAGGCTGTTTTCATTGATTCAATATATTGATGAATGTTCTCCACCTAAGAAACACATGGTTATAGGACAAGTCAAAATCTTTTTTTTTTCCTTTTTCTTTGGTGGTTGAAGGGGTGTTAAGAGTTTGAGTGAAATCAGTAAAATGAAAGATCATTTCTTGAAAGCATCTTAACTACGATAAACATAAGATATATCAATAGTATTTGAAAGCATAGACTATATAAGAAGACATAAAAAATCCTGCTCTCAACTCAATTCCAATTAATAAATTTTCAAACAACTTGATATATTTCTGCTCCTTACCATATGTATCAATTACCAAGGATAACATGCAACTGAAATTATACAACTATAAATGTACTGCCAATCAGACAAGACATCAAACAAGCACATAGAATGATACAAGTACATGTATCTTCTTTACCTTGGCAGCCACATGAACAAAAAAGTCGTGCACATTGGACATGACTTTCGGAAGAGATTGCAACAATGAGGATGCGTGATTGATAGAGTTTCCATCAGAATTCAAAAGGAGCAGTTGTTCCAACTCTTCAATCCACTGGCGGCACTCAGCCAAATACTTCTCAAATCTAGCAACTGTATGCTGTAGAAATGGCGATGGCTTCTTTGGAAGCCCATGGTAAAATTGAAAAACTGGTAACATGGATGAAGCAGTTGGTTGAGCACTAGAACCTGGTGTTGTTGTTGCCCCTGGAGCCTGGGATGGTGCAGTGGCATTTGAAGTGCCTCCTGTGTTTGAATGAAAGAACCGGGGACGAAGCATCATGAAAGATCGAACAGCAACCTCTGTGTTCCTTAACATATCTTTCACAGAAGCCATCAACTCCTGCAGCAAAGCTTTCTGCCGCTCCATGGCAGTACTGATTCCTCCAAGTTCCTGTTGAAACAAGCACGCTATTTTATCCACCAATGCTAAGCACCACAATAGGCAATGGACAAGGAAACTGATGGTTTGTGATATATATCATTCAGATGGGAACTGCTTCATTGTTCAAAAAGATCTATCGACTGATTCAAAATTGTAAGTTTAGAGATGCACTGTTCTTGAAAGCTCATAAAACTGGCATGGAGGTAGTAACTTAACTCTAATTAAAATCCAGTTGTTCTCAGATCAATGGGTTTGGAAACAACTTTCCAAATGTTGAACACCCTAACCTAATGAGGTTGGAAGAAACCATTCCAACAGTCAAGAGCTTGTTTCTGGTATTAGTCAGTAGTACACAATCAGATGACCCACTCACAGTTTCAGATAATGAACCAGATATGACCAGCAACCCAACAAGTGGAGCAGCTTATTTGCATCACTTACTAATGTGGCAGCAAAACTCAGAGAGAAAGAAAACCAAAAAGGAAAGCAAACAATTGTTAGTTCACATGCACAGGAAAAAGGATGCAAATGTTAAACCTGAACAATGTGGCTAGCATCAAGCTCAAACCCTTCATTGGAAACCGAAGAATCATAAAGGCGACTACACTGATCTAACCTTTGGCTCTCATCCCTGTACTCCAATATCCTTTCCCTACATTCCAAAAAGAAATTACGCTACTCAGAGAGCCATATAATACCAACATATGAGCTCAACCCATAAAACAAATCAGAAAGTCAAACTTATGCCACGCACTTTTCCAGGTAAACACTATTACAATATCAAATAAATATTCAAAATGTATGAAAAATTAAGTTCAATGCACCAATTCTCAACAGCCAAAGGGTTCGATTTTTATCTAGCTTAAAGTAGAACTTTGCTTAGTTTCTTTCTATTTTTTCTATACTTTCTCATCAACTAATGAGCAATACCACAAACCCAAATCAAAAAACAAAAAAAAAAAAAAACCCTTTAAAAAGAATTGAAAACATACTCAATTTGAAGCAGAATCTTTTGAGAATCAGGGTGCAGATCAGCCCATTTGGTGCTGTAATTAGCAGGAGTCTTGTCATTAGTAAAAAGAAAAAGGGGTTGCTGTTGTTGTTGTTGTTGTAGCTGCTGCTGTTGCTGTGGTTGTGGAAATTGTAACTGTTGTTGCTGTTGCTGTTGCTGTTGTTGTGGTTGAAAAAATGGGCTGCTTTGCTGGAAAGGTTGTTGCTGTTGTTGGGGTTGAAACAATGGCTGAGGTTGCTGAGGTTGTGGAGTTGAGAAAAAGGATGACATTGTTGTTTCCTTGGAAAGAAATAAAAAAAAAAAAAAAGAAGGCCAAAAAATTAGGGTTTTAGTACAGACATACGGGTCAGGACTGAGGATTGAGAAAGCCAAAAAAAAACCCTTTTTTTAAACCCTAGATAGGGAAAATAATTGGGGAATTTGAGAATTCAGAGTCTTTATTTGCAAATTGGCATTACTTCATTTTTGTGGGGCTGGACTACAGTTCATGGGCCCACCAGAACAAGAGAATAATCAAGTCCAATGGATTTGGGCTCTTATTTTTTTTAATTTTTTGGATGTATTAAGGTTTGAGCTAATCACATTTAACCAATCTTGATAACAAATAATAATATTCATACGTAGATTTGCATGAATAATCCCACATTTGGATTATCTATTTCTCAATCTTTTTGGCTTTGCTTAATGTCAAGTTTAATTTTCTTTTAAGGTAAATAAATGTTTTTTTAAATATGTAAAATTTTATTATCCAAAAGAAAGCATGAAAACCTGATATGGATTTTATGATGATTAGTCGTAATTTATATTACATTACACAATTCATCTAGGAAAAGCATTTCTCCGATGATATGGCTAATAAAAAGAATGCAAAATGGAGGAGACAAAGCTTAGACATGAGAGCTCCACTTGCACTATTCATGGAGGAATTTGAGTCTAAAATTCCATGTTCCACCAAGAACCAGGGTTTTCTGAATCCTGAAGGGGCTGATGCATTATTTTCATTTTTGATACATGAACTACCTTTGAGTCCACTCCATTTAGCACCATTATAAATTGGCAACCCCTTACCCATTTTTCTGCCTGCAATTGCCAGAAAATTAACAAAGGCTATGGTGGTTTGACATGGGTTGTGTTATATTCCATCTCTTGCGCACTGGACTAGTAATGCTGGCTTCAGGCTGGTGTCCGGGGGCTGGAATACATCATTGAATCATGATATTTCAGTTTTTCTCCCAAGCTATTAGGTGAAGGTTAGGCGCTTTTGATAAATGTGTCCATATGTCGAAATGTAGATCTACATTTAGTTTAAGCTTTTTACGTTCACAAAATAAAAGAAACTTTCTGGCAATTTGAATTAATGTTTATTTATTCTACTTATCAGACGTCCACCAGGTTTTTTGTACTGGTTAAATTTAAAGCGAATCTTCAATAAATATCAACAGCTCCTACTGGTAGCTATGAAGAGCAACGCTAACAGAGCTTCCTTTCTAAATTTCTGTCAAATGCAGCTTCAGATAATGTTACCCTTTCATAGCCTGCTTTTCCAATTCTGAAATTCAATTCGGTAAAAGAATAATAGCACATCTTCTAGTAAGCGGTAACTGCTTGTAAGTCATTTGATTGGGTGCTGGTGAACTTTCCAGCCCATAGTTTTGGATGCTGGTGAATTTTCAAGGAGGATGTGGCATGAAAACTGAAAGGGATTTTGGTTTATATTTCTTACTTTTTTTGTAGTATCCAACACCAGATCACTAAATTCAATAAAAAAAAAGTGTCATAACTACGAACATTATTTTTGGGGAAAAGATGCTTGAGTACCCATGAAACAGGTCGAAAAAAGAAAACTAATAACAAAGAGTTAACCCTGAACAATCAAGCCATTACAATTTGGAGAATCTAACAGATACCCAGAGAATTTGTAAGACCAGTGACCATAAATTGGTCAGGAGGAGAGCCTAATAGTAAGAATCATAAGTCGGATTTCATATGAGACAGGTGAAGCTAAATATGCAGCATTAGGAATCAAAATCTAATTGATTTCACAGTTCTACAATTATCAGAGGAGTGGGAAGTAATTTTAACAAGTGTTTTAATGCACATTACCCAGTGAAAAGGCTTAAAATTATTGGATAAGGTTTAATTGGCATTCCATCTGGCTAAACAAAAAAGAAAGCCATTTAGCCATCATCCGAAACAACACTGCTATCTAAACTTTTATGCTGACTTCGATGAAAATTATGAAAAAAATGCTGATAACTAGAAAAGCACGTAACGTTTAGCATATTTCTACTTTCGTATAGCTAATAATTTAGTTTCAGCATTCACTGATTCACATACTAAAAAGAAAAAAGAGGTTTCCACTTAAGAACAAAAAAAAAAAAGCATGAAAAAGGCAATGAACCCAAAAGAGCTCATTCACTTGAGCCCATTTCCAGGAGTTGAAATAGCTAGATCAGGACAAGAAAAGCAATCCCCACCAACAAACCCAGGCTCCCCGCCTTCAAACTGCCATGTGTTCCCCATTCCTGTAGCAGCCCCAGCATTGCCACCAATAGCAGCAGCTCCATCTCCCATTCCTAAAAAAGGCCACGTTCCTCTTTCAAGCCCAAACCCGACATCTTCAAGTGCTGGAGCAATACCAAACCCTAACCCACCGAGAGTCAGAAAATCCGGCCCCTGAGTATTCAACAATGAAGTAAAACTTCCACAGATGCTTCCACCCCCGTTGCCCCTGGACTCTCCACCAATGCCAAAAGTTCCCTGATTCGCTGACAGTGGCAACAAAACCGGGGTGGCAGCTAATGGGAAGCTATTATGACTAATGGTGGTGGCAGCATTGGTGGAAGAAATGACGGTACCATAGGTGGTGTTGGTGGTGCGTGAACGCTTAGCATTTTTCCTGGTGCCACCGCCAACAGGGATGTCCCGGAGGGTGCCACCATGAGTCCAGTAACGGCGACACGATTTACAGAAATGGCGAGGTTGAGAAAAGTTATAGTTGTTGTAGTAACAAAACTTAGTGTTGGTGGAGTCACATCGTGGACAAGGCAGCTGTTCTTGTTCTGGTGGTGGGGCTCCCGTGTTAAGGGCCTTGGTTAAACGCCTGTTTTGATCTCCGGACTCGGATGGCATTTTCAGACAAAAGAAAGTGGCTTGAGTTATAGTATCTTCAAGTCTTTGTTTTTGTTCTTGTTGGGTTAAAAAGTTTGCGTCTTTTTTTTTATTGTGGATGGTTTCGGATTTGCTTGTTGTGGGAGGGTGAGTGAAGGGGGATTTTATGGGGAGAGAGAGTGAGAGAATGAGAAGCATAGGAAGAGGAAGAGAAGCTGTTGGAAAGTGCAACATGTTCTGAAGGTTATATGAGCAGAGAGAAAGAGAAGAGAACAGGCTTTACAGTGCTCTGCTGGGCACGACATTTTGATCAGTCAGATACAGTATGGGCTCTGTTGAGGGTCGGCTCTATCAGCTATGAATGCGGCTTGCTGTTGCCAACTGTTTAAGTTCTTCTTTTTGGATTTTTTTTTTAGCTTTTAGCCTTTTAGGTTTATGCCAAAAAAAACAGAAAAAAAATTGATAATCATCAGATGGATTGGCAGTCAAATAAGGGTCCCATTTGGTGCAGTACTTTGGTTTCTGTAATGATTTCGACTTGGGAATTACAATAATTAGTAATGGAAGATGACAAAGCTCAAAGAATACTACAATCCTGATGGCAAACTAAATACATAATTTAATTGTTCAAAGTTGTACTGTGACAATATTCCAATGATGCAAATGACAAAGCAATTATTGAGATTGTAAGGAAATTCCAATGTATGTTATCTTTCTGTTTTGGACAACAAAACCAACTCTGCAATATTAATTGAAGCAATATTAAAGGTGCATGATACAAATAGAGTTCCATTCTATTTCTAAACAATTTTCTTCCCTATGCTAGATAGAATCAAACTTTGAGGGGACATTCCAGCAGAAGAAGAAAATTATTACTCAGAAGTTAATTAATATTGTCTTTTTCAAAATTACTTTTCCAATTTGGAATATCCAAATTCAACCCCAAAAGCTCCATTGCTTTGGGTGTACATTGTGCCATTGCCATCATACTAATAATGAATGGACTGAACTGAAAGGAGGGTAGACAAGCATGCCAAAGGGGCAGCTACCGGTGCCAATTCCCAACAGTTTCTGGCTAAGCATTGAGAGCCAAAAGAATTTGAAACAAAGAAGAAAAAAACCCAAAAAAAAAAAAGACTGGAGTTATATTATACTCATAGGAGTAGATATATACCGTGAAAGAAGAAGCCAGAGATTGAGAGGGATTGCTGTAGGTGGGACAGTACAGACAAAATCATAGTGTCGGACAGCGTGGGGTGCAATTATTGGGCTCTCCTCTGATTTCGGACGCGTCATGTCTGCATTAGATTCCTCCTCCGTACCCCCTCCAATCTTCTCACCGGATTTCTCGCTCTACTGCTCTCATTTCTTTATTACCAAAAAAAAATACAAAACTATTCCCTCTTCTGGGCACGGGGCTTTGCTCTGTTTTCACATGTTCACTGATGATTTCTTCCTGTTTCTAGCCCAGCAGGAATCAAGGTCTGCCATTTCAGGAAGAGAGATGCCTCCTCTACGGCCTAGTCTCTCTTCCCTGGTCAAGTGAACAGTGTCCTAGGTTATTAACCTGGTGAATTGGTGATTCATAGGGTTCAGCCGTGGTCAAGTGAACAGTTATATCGATATTTATCTCTTTCTTATTTTATTGGTTACCTTACAACTCACACAAGTCAATATTTAACCGGCTAACCCCACTTTGTCCGAACCAACTAGAAATTTTGAAGCTCATATGTACGTATAATAGACTTGAAAGAGTATGAAAATATTGAAACATGAATACTAAATGAGCAAAACAACAAAAGACTTGAGACTTTAAGCCTATCTGCCCTCTAACAGTACACTCAAAGATTATCAACCGTATTAACCAAGTAAAGGTAAAGGGAGGTGGGGTCAAGAAGCAACTGACCAACAGTGGAAGCAGTCAGTGAAGGACCGCTGCTGTCGGTGAATGTGGGGTTGGAGGGGTCTTACTTCTTAGCCATTGGCACGCGCGGAGCTCAGTAGCCATCTAAGTATTCCCGGCACAACAAGATGTGTCGCTTTCAAATAACAAACTCAGCCTCCGATCCTTCTCAGTTGTATTTATTCGATCGCCCCATAATAACTGACATTTGCTTCCATTTGTTTCTTCACTCCCCACTCCTTGTTTCAACTATTACCTTGTTCTTTTTGGCTTTTTACTATAGTTCTGGATTCCCCTCCACACCGGACTTCAACTCATTTAGATTTCATTCCTATATACTTTTATCTGTTTCGGAATTGCCAATTAATTAGTCAAAAGCTCCAAAATTAAGTAGATCATCTTAACATTTTAGCTTCAGAATTGGTGTCATTGTGTTGATATTAATCGGAGTATTTAGATATATCTAGTTACTCTTTATTACTAGTATCTATTGGTTGAATTAATTATCATTCCCACTGAAATTTACATGCTTGATTGCGTTTACAAATCTACGAAAACCTGTTTCCATAAAACATGCTTACTTAGGCAATTATGGTGCAAACAGAGGCAAAAGAACAGTTACAGGTGTAAGAAAAAGACAACCAAAAACAAAGATGCAAGAGAATGAAAGGATGGAAGAGTCTTGGAAGATTGATTTCTATTCTGTTTAGGAAAGTTCAAAAGAGCTAGGTCGGCAGGCAGATAATTGTTCACTTTGTATATATGGAGTACAGGTGGAATATGATTAACAGGGGACACACTACCAATCAAAGCTTCAAATCAGGTAGTTGTTCGTTTGCCTACAAGAAAATTAAGTCTTTGCATTTATTCAAGAAGGTAGGTGACACAGGTTCTCTGCAGGCAGGTCAGTTCCTGGTGATTTTGTGAATAAAAATCTTTGTTGAAAAGCCGATTATCCACCCTCAACTGTATCTATAGCACTTGCACGAAAACTGTATGGAATCATTTTCACATTTATTGAAGCTTAAAGTTACTCAAAATTAGTTTTACAAACATGGATGATGGAAGTAGATAACAATGAAGAAGAAGAAGAAAAGTGTAGGAAACTATAAAGGGAAAACAGAAAGGAAATTCTTTAAAGTAATATTAAAGCTACAAAAGATAATTGTGTTCATGAAATATTAGCAAATAATAATAACTCTAAAAGATGAAGGAAAAGGAAAAACACAGCTAATTAAAGATTACGAAGCTGTTTAAGATTCACTGGAGAAATATATTTTGTGCCTCCGTAGAGAAGTTGCCTGGCGATTATAAGATTGGCAGCCTCACTTGGGTGGTAAGGATCCCAGAAAACATGCTTGTCACGACCATTGCACATGGTGGATGTTGGTCCACAAGGAATTATCCCTGCATATTGGCCTCCATTTCCACAACAAGCTTTGCTTGCTGCTGTAAAACCTACATAAAAAAGCTCCCAATGTTGAATAATTGGGTAATACAGGCTTATCATCAGCATTCATATACTGAAAGACTCGAAATGTCGATGTTAATACCATATTTTTGATAATTTGTGATGAGCTCCATCACTAAGTCATAGACATTGGCATGAACAAATGTGGCTCCAGGGAGCTTTCCATTCAATTCAGTTAGTAAATCCTTTAACCGGCCATTGTACTGCGTTGCTAGCTTATTCGCCATATCAACACATTCGTTTTCGTCCAGTTGATTGATGGTTTTCTGGTAAGGTATGCAGCCTATCGGACCAACATTTCCTATGACAAACTTCCGAGCGTCTAGCTGGTAAAGTCTCTGCCACCATTAACAGTACACCATTGTTCTCAGTTGATAATCAACAAATTAACCAATTTTAAATGCAATTCTATTGGTTATTAAGCATATGGTTTTATCTGCATTATACTGTTAATTGGTTCCTTAGGTGATTGATCATGTCATCGATGAAACCATCCGGGCTCTCGGAAATCCTTGCTCCTATGGACAGAACCGGGAGAAGATAATTGTTGAGAAAATCATTTGCTCCAATTGTAACTGAGAAGATGGATCTTCTCGAAATGTAGTCTTTAGCCTTGGATGAACCTAACAATTTATCAAACTGTTTTCTTGTATTATTGAAGAAGTCGATTTGGATATCCAATCCTAGCCTGTTAACCTGCAAAATAGATTTAATTTTAGATTCCATCAGCATTTTAATGTGGAAATGGATAAACATATAAGGGGTAAAACTTTTGATAGAAACTGAAAAATATTCTTCCAGTTGCATTCATAATCCCTCCTCCTCCTGATACATAATTTACACCATACAATATAGCTTTTCCTGTAGAATTTGGAGCAAGATATGAAACTGCATAGTTTGGTACTCCCAAATCTTCTCCTGTTTACAGAAGTAAACAAGCTTTACTCATTCATGTTTAATTAAATCATTTCCTTATGGTAAAAGAGGAGATATATAGAGCTTACCGACAATGTCACCAATGGTTCCGCCATTGGTATACCGGCCAGTAGGCATTCCTCCGGATGCTTTAAAATCAATTCCATTAGGTGGAATATTTGCCCTAGAAAATGTTGGTAAATAGTTATTATTACCAGCATCCACCAGAGAATCACCAAAGATGAAAGAAGCTCCAAAACCGCCACTACTATCATCAGCAGCATTAACCAAATGGCTCAAACTGATGCACAAAAGAACCAAGGCAAGGCTCCAAGATTTCACCGCGGCCATAGCTACTGTTTAACTTATCCCAGATTAAAGCTGATAAAAAAGTTTCTGAATGGAAAGTATATAAGAACTTTCCTTTGCTACTCTGTTTATATGGAGTTGCATTTGGTTTGAACCCTTTTTGTATAGGGATGGACCGTTTGATGCAGGGTAGGTGATCAACATCTTGCAGATTTTCTCAATGTGTCGTGAACTTTTAGGCCTTGCTTTAGGTATAAGCAAGGTGGCAGCCAAGATTACATTCTATGGTCAAATACATAGGTGATTGTTTGGTAATTATTCAAGAATTTGGGATATAAAAACTGAGAAAAAAATGTTCTACACGGCTTGGAGAATATCTATTATTTTCAGTCAAATCTAAAGTGCCCTAGGTGGATCAGTCATCAAACCATATCAAAATAACTGAGAATTGAAAAGGAAAATGATATAAAAATGGGGATTTTTTCCCCACTTGTGTAAGGTTCCAATTTCTGCCCAATGTCAATATATTCCTAAGTTTTGAATCCTACTTGCTTTTATTCTAGCTGGATTTTGAGGGTCGGAAAGGCCAATTCGGGCAAAGCCCCCGTCAAGATTTGAAGGGTAGGCTTTTTGGTTGGCTAATCCTCTTCTTCCCTCACCCTTTCAGATAGAGAGGCCAATCCAATTTCTAGGCCCAGTTATTTCAGTGGAGTGGAGGGTCCAGAGCCACAAGATAAAGCCCAAATCTTGAAATGGGCTTAGCTCCAGTAAACTTCAAATCATTTATTTTTTTATTTATTAATTTGTGTTCAGTAAATTTTCTGACAAAAATTCACTTATTTTACCTTAATGTCTAAAATCCACAAGAAATTTAGATGAACAAATATAAAAGGAACTAATCTAATATCATTTTTATGTGTTTTATTAATAAAAAAAATAGAATCATTTAATTTAAAGTATAAAATCATATTTAAAATCACTTTTTGAACACTTGGCATCAACGCAATGGCATGTAGTAATGAAAATAAAGGAAGTTCTAGTTCAGACTGCTCAAGTTCATACTCAAGTAACTGTTGGGAAGAAAAAAGCAGCCCAAGACCAGATATGGTTCGGACCAAAGTCAGGTTGGGTTTAAAAAGACCGTTTTAATTTTCCCAAGACAAGTTAATCAAAGAAAAAGGTGGTCATCTCCCAGTCATTGCAATCAAATGAAGCCTCTCCCGATCCAACTCTTAACAAAGCTGAATAGCTGAAGATGTCTGATCTTGTCTATTGAAGAACAATGATAATACGCATGGAACATGAATGCTGAAAGCTGATTGACAGTGAGAAAGGATTCCCTCAAGCCATGCATGTAAATTTTTGAAGCCTATCATTGTTGCCAAATTGTTTTTCATTTTTCTGGCATAAAACCTTCACAATATGTGAATCTCACGTTGAAGTAATAAAATTGATTAGTATGGTTTTGTTTTCCTTAATTTTATAAATATATATTGATGGCATAAATGATGATTTTAACAAGTATACTGCCTTAAAGCATTTAGTAGCAGAAACTATTTGTTAGCCCTTTTATTATTGTTGTGAATGATCATTGATTAAGGCTGAGGCTACTTTGATGGAGTCTGCATAGTCAAGGTTTGACCATGAGTAGTTTGGCATTTTGCAGAGATGTTTGACTAATCATGAATCATGGATGTAGGCTGGCTTGCAAAATGGAGTCTGACTCAACCTGTAGTTCATGTTAATCTTGTATCTCCTTTCAAGAATTTGAATTTTATCTTACTGGCTGACTTTGTAGGGATTGCCTATCTTAAATAGTATTTGCAATTCAATTCGTATTCAGTGAATTTTGATCCGATTTTAAAAGGTTTTTCTAAATTAATTTTTAGGTTAAGTTGAATTGAATATTTAAAAAAAAAATGAAGTCAAATTTTATATAAATCTAACTTGACCCAATTTGATATATTATTTTTTATTATTTATTTAATTTTATATTTTTATTTTTAAAATAATATTTTATATTAAAAGTTAATATTTTATTTATTTCGAATTGAGTCAATTATAAATTTAAATATATGTAAGTCAAATCGAATTTGCATATAAAAATAATACTTTAATATCAATTCGAATTAAATTCAAAATTTAAATTTATAAAATTGAATCAAATTCGAAATAAAAAAAAAATCTATCTCAACTCGATTTATTATATTCGTAATCTTTAAAAATATTCTAATTTAAATATATGGACTATGCCATTTTAGTACAGAAATTTTTTTTTCTAATTATTAAAATAAGAATGTTAGTCAGTGTCTAATAACATTAGTTAAAATAATATTTAAAAAATTAAAATTAATGTACAATCTCCTATTGATTTTTGTGAAAATAATGCATTAAATGTAAATTTTTTCTTAAAATAATATTTGTACTAATCTTAACTGATAAACTTCTGATAATCAAACCCTCAAATCCTTAATAAAATAATAGTTTCAAATCCCGTATGGAGAACCCATCCATCCATCCATGTAAGGGTTGACTTGAATTTTGTTTGTTTTCTTTGTATCATATTTAGAAGATGAAGCTATCTTTGATGCATTTTATTATTAAAGAAAACATTGTTTTATGGCAAACTCCAATGTAATATTATTAATTCCTGTTCAAACTTGAGTGCTAAGTTTTTTTTTTTTACATTTTTAACTTTTTTTTTAAATAAATTATCTCTAAATTTGACTTAACAATGTGATTGTATGTAAAAAAAAAAAAAAACTGAAAATAATTTCTCATTATGATTTTATTGTTTACTTTTTGACAAGACAATCCCACCATGCAACAGCATGTCAAGATAAAAATAAAAATAACTTTGTAAAAGTAAACCAAATTGATCAGTGGAATATTTTTGGAGAAATGGCAGATCCAATGGCTGACCTTTTTAAACACAAGATTTTCTGATTGTTGGGTTGCAGTCTTCTAGACCATCATTAGCTGAATTTTGCCGAGTCCAAATTTAAAAAAAAAATAAAATGATGAACTGTAATCTTAGCTAATTGGTTGAGTGGCCCTCTACTTTTTGGGCAGGATATGGGGTTTTGTGCATCGTTCATGCTACTAAGGAGAGGAATCCAAAGGCAATGGCTTACTTGTTTTGTGCTTTTTGCCTTTTTATAAGAAAATTTTCCACCCAAAATAAGGAAGTTGGATAAAAAAATTTATTTGTTGAGAAAAAAAAGAAGAAGAGAGAAATAATGTTTATATTGTATCCAATGCAAGTTGATATATAATTTCAAATACAATATAATAAAATATAATATAAATGTATTTCATAAATATGTTTAATAAAATTAAAAATATATATTTTATATTTTTATATCGATATAAATTATGACACATCATTTTTATATAAAATATAACATAAATATATTAATTATTAATATTTTATATAATACAAATATATAAATGATCAAATTTAAATATAAAAATTAGATATTGATTTATCAAATAAAAAGTTAGATATTGGTAGCAATGAATTAGCAATTTAGTAAAATTTATTATTGTTCATGTCAAGAATTAAGATTTGGGCAAATTGTACAAAACAAATAACACTTGGGAGGCACATAATTTGAGTAGAAATTTCAAAATTCAAGCTATAATGATAAAAAAATAATAGTGATGCTCTTTTTTTGTATATCAAAAATGAAAAATCAAAGTAAATTGTATTTTTAGGCAGCTTTTTTCTTGTGAGTTTTGATCTATAGTTAGTATTTTTTTTAATATTTAAACCATACTCATTAGCATAAAATTTTCTTCTATCTTTTTGGGTTTTCAAACAAAACATTCTCCCTCAAAGAGGTTGGTAACTGCTAATAAATCAGCCAATTAATATAATTAAATATATATTTTGCAAAATGTACATGTGAAATCTTCTCCTATTAACAGGGACAGGAGCCCCCACATCAACTAACATAATTAATAGGGGTTTCAGAATTGTATGCATTCATTAAATGCTATATGCATGATGTTCATAAATCTTGGCAAAGAGTAGTGATTTTTTTGGGGTACTAATGCTAGGGAATTTGGCAATGGCAGCTGAAAGACAATGATCTGATAGAGGAGAATATTAGAGGATTTGGCTGAAACTTACTACAAAAGAAATTTATGGAACTACAAGGGTTTCAGAAATACCACCAAAGTTGAATATGACATATGATTAACAAAGTTAAACAATTCACTGCGGTTATTGGATATTAACTTGTAATTTATTACACATTTACACTGAACAAGAGGAAGCTGAAAATTTGATAGAGAACTGGGACTAGAGCTCCTTTAAATTTTGATTGTTTGACTAAAAATTTTTCAGCCTTTTTTTTTTTTTTTTTGGTTTTAGGAGGAAAGCTGAAAAAGGACAACTATAAGTCTATAGAATTAATTGTATCCAACTCGATGTGCCCTTATATGGTAGCACAAGTCTTTTTCCATTGCAAATATATATTTTTGTCTTCTTCCAGAAATAGCTGAAATAATATCTAGGCTTGAGCCCTGACCAGGCCCATAGTCAAAATTTAAATAACATTCATTCGTCACATGCTGCAAAAGAAAGGATTTTCTTTTCCGTTCTTTTTTTTTTTTCTCTTCTAGGTTGGAACAATCTAAGTTTTAAGTGGCATGAAAGCAATATATCTCCTCCCTAGAAAAACCTCCATAATTCAAGCTGCAAAAATTTCCTTATCATCCTTAAGTTTTTTAGCAATGCAAAAACTTGGAGAATAAGAATTTCCCTGTTATTAAATTGGGTTGCCACTCTTTGCATTTAGCTCACAATTGACAGTAGTTGTGGCTGAACAAAGAACCTCTCTTATTTGATGATCTCCAAAGAAAATTGTATTATAAACTTCTGATCGGAAGTTAAAAATGGAGGGATTAATAACAATCTAAATTCAGGGCAGGCCTGAGGAGGATTGGAGGAGGTAGCCTTTTTGGTTGCCTAGTTGGACGGAAAACAGCTTTTGCAAGCCAGCTGATTTTTTTTACTTTTAGCTGAGACCAAATGATTAAAAAGTTTTCTCATAGGCCCCACCCACCACTACACACAAAAGAAGAACATGAAATTGGGCAGTTAGATATAAAGCTTTTATTAACACAGTAACAAGCAGTTTCATTTGATTTGTGAAATCAATGTCCTTTCTCACTGTTTGTTAAGGATAGGCTTTTTTTTCTTTTTTTTTTTAAAGAGAGAAAGTAAAAGAAAGACAGTCAATGAAAGAGAGAGAGGAAAGAGCAAAAGAAAGAGATAAACACAGTGGATTATGAATTCTGGTTGCATGTTTTTGGATTCTTCTGCTCCCCCAAGTAAATGTAAAATGTGCATTTGATGTAAAGGAGTCAGCTTGCTTTTGTTTGTGTTGCAATTAAGAGAGAGAGAGAGAGAGAGAAAGGCCCATTCTTTTAGCTGGTTTTTACTTTTTAGTTGTTTCATGGAGCTGTGGATTTTGGGTTGATGCAGGGATTTTTTATATGCTATGTTTTGTTTCAGTTAAACCCTTTTGGTTCTTGTTTCTTCAAGTGTCTCGTTTGGGGAGGGTTTTCCTTGTTAATTCTTGGGATCTGGGTTTTGGGGGTTGTAGGGCTTCAGTTGTTCAGCCTTTGACTCAACAGTCTCTTCATTGGGTTCCCTTCCAAGCTTTTGTCTTTCATATACTTTTCTTAAAAAAAATGGGGCTTTGACTTTCTTGTATACTTCCAATCCTGGGTTCTTTTCTGTGGGTTTTGCACCTGAATTTATTTTTTTTTTTTGGTTTTGAACTGATCCTGAGATGCTTTTTTTTTTCACTGATTGAAGCCTGAGAATTGTTGCTTGATTTGTTTACCCTTTAACATTTTTGGTTCCTTATGGGCTGTTTCTCTCTCAATTAAATCCTTTTTAGTTGAATTTTAGGGCTTTCTTGATCTGGTACAAGATTCCTCCTTGTGCTTTGAGTTCTAGGGTTTAAAAATTGAACCCACTTAGTTAAAAAAGTAGGGTTTTTGTTAGATGTGTTAAAAACTCTCTTTTTTTCGTGGTGAATATTGAGCTAGTCTTCTTCCTGGGTTTTGTCTCAAATTTTGCCGCTTTGATGCATCTTTCACTGTGGAAACCCATATCTCACTGTGCTGCTCTGATCTTAGACAAGAAGAGCAGGAGAAGAGATGGGTCTGAATCAGCTGCTGAAATCAAGAACCCTTCTATTCTCCGGAAGCTACATGAGAACAAGCTCAGGGAAGCTCTTGAAGAAGCATCTGAAAATGGGTCATTGTTCAAGTCCCAGGACATGGAACCTGATTCTCTAGCCAATCAAGATGAGAGCTTGGGACGATCAAGATCCCTTGCAAGACTCCATGCTCAGCGTGAATTCTTGCGAGCTACCGCTCTTGCTGCGGAGCGTATATTTGAGAATGAAGATTCTATGCCTGATGTCCGTGAGGCTTTCAATAAGTTCCTCACAATGTACCCAAAATACCAGTCATCAGAGAAGATTGATCAATTGAGGTCAGATGAGTATGCACATTTGTCACCAAAGGTATGCCTTGATTATTGTGGATTTGGGCTTTTCTCTTATGTTCAGACTTTGCATTACTGGGAGTCCTCTACATTTAGCTTGTCCGAGATTACTGCAAATTTGAGTAATCATGCACTTTATGGTGGTGCCGAGAAAGGCACTGTGGAATATGACATAAAGAGCAGGATAATGGATTATTTGAACATCCCTGAACATGAGTATGGCCTTGTGTTTACTGTAAGTAGGGGGTCTGCGTTTAAGTTGCTGGCTGATTCATATCCTTTTCACACGAATAGGAAATTGTTGACCATGTTTGATTACGAGAGTCAATCAGTGAATTGGATGGCTCAGAGTGCTAGGGAAAAGGGTGCAAAAGTTTACAGTGCTTGGTTTAAATGGCCAACCCTTAAACTTTGTTCTACTGATTTGAGAAAGTTGATTTCGACTAAGAAGAGGAAGAAGAAAGATTCCGCTACTGGTCTTTTTGTTTTTCCTGTGCAGTCTAGGGTAACGGGCGCCAAGTATTCATACCAGTGGATGGCATTGGCTCAGCAGAACAATTGGCATGTCTTGCTTGATGCTGGGTCATTGGGTCCCAAAGACATGGATTCACTTGGTCTGTCCTTGTTTCGTCCGGATTTCATTATCACATCATTCTACAGGGTGTTTGGATATGATCCAACTGGCTTTGGGTGCCTTCTTATAAAAAAATCAGTCATGGGAAGCCTTCAGAACCAGTCTGGATCTACTGGTTCTGGAATGGTGAAAATTACCCCTGAGTATCCTCTCTATCTGAGTGATTCTGTAGATGGTCTTGACGGATTGGGTGGAATTGACGACAATGATGTTGGTGCAAATGGTGATAAGCCCTCTGAAAACCGTCCAGGAACACAGTTGCCTGCCTTTTCTGGTGCCTTCACGTCTGCTCAGGTTCAGGATGTATTCGAGACAGAAATGGATCAAGATAATAGTTCTGACAGAGATGGAGCTAGCACCATACTTGAAGAAACTGAGAGCATTTCTGTAGGAGAAGTGATGAAAAGCCCTGTCTTCAGTGAAGACGAGTCATCAGACAACTCATTCTGGATTGATTTGGGCCAGAGTCCATTGGGGTCTGATAGTGCAGGTCAGTTGAATAAACAGAAAATTGCCTCCCCTTTGCCACCTTTTTGGTTTAATGGCAGGAAGAACCACAGGCAGCTCTCTCCAAAGCCAACATCAAAGATATATGGCAGCCCAATATATGATGATAAAGATGTTAACCTGGGTCATGATCATCATCATGTGTTATCATTTGATGCTGCTGTTCTATCAGTTTCACAGGAACTGGATCGTGTGAAGGAGATTCCTGAAGAAGAAAAATTTGCAGGAACAAGCATCACCTCACGAAATCATAAGAAGGCTTCAGACCATTCACATCTTCTGGAAATCAAGGAAGAACAGGGTACCAGTAAATCACTGTCTGTGGGGTCCGTATCTAGTTCTGCTATAAATGGTGCTCGCCTCAATAATTCTTCTGTCTTTCGGAATAATGGCCTAGCAAATGGCTCAACTACTGAAATTTCCTCAGAGATTAAAGAGAGTGCCATAAGAAGAGAAACAGAAGGTGAATTTAGGTTGTTGGGGAGGAGGGAAGGAAATAGGTATAATGGTGGTAGATTTTTCGGGTTAGAAGATGAACATCCTAGCAGGGGAAGAAGGGTATCATTTAGTATGGAAAATAGTCGTAAAGAGCATCTGAGTCATACTTTGGAGCCAGGAGAAGTGTCTGTGACCAGCCTTGATGATGAAGACTACACCAGTGATGGAGAATATGGTGACGGGCAAGATTGGGACAGGAGGGAGCCTGAGATAACTTGTCGGCATCTTGATCATGTTAATATGTTGGGGCTGAATAAAACCACTCTTAGATTACGGTTTTTGATTAATTGGCTTGTAACCTCATTACTGCAGCTCAAATTACCTAATTCAGATGGTGATGGCAGAGTGAATCTTGTTCACATTTATGGCCCAAAAATAAAATATGAAAGGGGTGCAGCTGTGGCTTTCAATGTGAGGGATAGAAATGGGGGACTCATTAATCCTGAGATTGTACAGAAGTTGGCTGAAAGAGAAGGCATCTCTCTTGGTATTGGTTTCCTCAGTCACATACGAATATTAGATAGCCCACGACAAAAGCGAGGGGCTTTAAACCTTGAAGATACAACCCTGTGCAGACCAATGGAAAATGGACGGCATGACGGGAAATGTGGATTCATAAGAGTTGAGGTCGTCACAGCTTCTCTTGGCTTCCTGACTAATTTTGAGGATGTCTATAAGTTGTGGGCTTTTGTGGGAAAGTTCCTTAACCCATCATTCATCAGAGAGGGTACACTTCCAACCGTTGCAGAAGAAGAATCAGAGACATAACTTCTGAAATCAAGCAATTGAAAATCATTTGCAAAATAATCCGGGAGTCTGAGTCGAAGATTTAGTAGACCCTGGATAGGATTTGGAGGTATTTGTATATGCATGGCTTGCTCTTCCTCAAGACTCTCGGATGCAAGCAGGTGAATTTGTTAATTCATGTTTGTTGTTGCTTGAAATTTTCTTTCTCTTTTTGGGTTTGCTCTTGTAGAGTTGGTTTTAGAAATATGTACCATTTTGAATGTTACCATACCTCAAAGCAGAAGCATATGGACACAACTGTTAGCACTTAGCATTCTGCTTTTGGTTTATACACATTTCATTTTTCTTCTCTGTAAAAAGATGTAGCTAATTTTACCTTCTGCATTTCAAATGCACTCACTACGATACTGATTTGTCTATTTGTTGTTGTTGAACCCTTTTGCATTTGATTTAAGTCTGGAAAGACAAGATTTAAATTTGCACTAGAAGTCTAGAAGCAATGGATAGCCTTTCCTGCTAGACTTTGTTGGAAGTTAGAAACTTGTGTTGGCTATATACTAAATTATGTTTTGGTGTCAAATTACAAGGCATTAAAGTGTTAATAAATCAAGGGTAGATGCTGGTGGGTGATAACATATTGTTTCTTTCAAACAATTATCAGTAGGTCATTCAACATCTGAGTAACATTATTATCTCCTAAATCAGCATATTTTTCTTCAAGTCTGTTGCTAAGATATGAATTAAGTAATAACCTTTTAGATAGACATAATAGAAGAATTGATTAAATGTCCTTTTTAGAGAGAAAATGGATTGGAATTGGTCAATTTGCAACAGCAGTTTGACGTTGAACAAGAAATAAATGATGCAAAGCCCTGACTTGTGCTCTGGATAAATTAGTCAAAGAATTTTAGGGTGGACTAATTAAAGAGTCTGATAGATTCCTTTTCCAACTGATAATTATCAAAGGTTGGGCCATACGCATTGATTTTTGTTTCCCACCGGATGTAATGCTGAAGTTACGTATCATCCAGCTTCTTGTTCTTTTGGTTTTTCTGGATTCCAGACTCTAGGAAAAAATATATATAAAAACTTTAGTAGGTTTTCTTAATGAAGTTGGTAGGGTATAAACATGGAACTGCAAACGTCTTTCCATAACCTGAAATCATGATTTAGAAATGAAACAAAATCACAAAAACCTTGTCAGTTGAACAAGGGGATCACCGTATTTGAAAGCTTCTCTAAGGCGAGCTGTCTTCTACAGCGAACTTGTACGAGGTGGTTGGTGATGGTGAAACGTTGACAAACTTCATCTGATTGGAGATGCAGTTGGCCACCAGTTAAAACTGTTAGATATGGAAGATTTTGCTTCTCATCATCATCCTGAATAATTATTATTATTAAGACACATAATGCGAATACAAAAAAGCTTCTGAATTGTTAAAGGGCTATGGTACAATGGCATTTTCAGTTAATAAAACTTATAAATAATAATATTCTTAATGAGTGAAAGCAACAGATGGCCAGAAAATTGAATTTCTGATTCGTGCATCGTCTAAAGTCCTGTCTTTATTCAATTCGCCGCTTTATGTTGAACCACTTGAGTAAGCCACGACCATAACATAAAGAAAGCAGATTCCAAATCTATATAACACACGAAAGCAACCAAATCAGAATAAAATCATTGACAAAGCCCCATCATTTAACCCTGGATTGTGCACGAGCACTCTGTTATTGAGCTGATTGTTGCTATGTGCTTATGGTTTTCCTTGTTGTATATGGCACAGAGTAGCATTCTGTCACACAACCCGACAATAACTTCTTCAGGACATTGGTCAAGAAAATACAACCAGAACTTCTTTAGAACAATTGAAGTTTATTCAACCCAAAAAAAAAAAAAAAAAAGCCACACAACCTCAAAAGGTTGACAAAGGTAGAGCAATAGTGGATAAATCGACAAAAATCTTCAAGCAGATCTAATGTAGTTGCCATTGTTGTCTTTTCTTTGCGGGCTGACTACATGCATGTGACCGCCTCCAGCCAACATTCAGTTTCTGAACATCTCATAGGACCTAAGCCATGACCAATTACCCGTCCAACCAAATCATGATATCTTAGAGTTAGACCATAAACAAATTCATGAGATGCATGATAAAATAAACTAATCAAGCTGTTGACCATTACTAAAAAGAACAATATTTTCTTGTGGCACCATCAGGAAAAATTCTGATGATTCAAGGACTATTTTTCTTGGAGACAGTCTATAGCTTGTTATTTGTTGAAATAAAAATTCATTAACAGATAAAAGACTGCAACCAATTACCTAGCTCTCGTTTTTTGTTGAAGTCATACCACCAAAATAACCATCCAAAACCTTGTTTAATTGTCTCATCACACATTTACTAATCACATAATAAATGTGACAGATACCAATGAATAATTGACTCAAGTGGTAAAGAAAGTGTACTATTTTCTTTGTTACCTAGATTCAAATCTGCCGGAAGATTATGGAAAGGTAATTTTCCATGAAAACACTGAGTTCAACGTAAATAAGCCTGTTTGGACCAGGCATGACAGATACAAAAGCAATCCATGATAGTCATAATATATTTCTAAATCACAATAAATCAGATAAGGTACTTTAAAAGATCTTGAACAGTATCTTTGAGTAATCCTAAACAAGTAATATATATATATATATATATATATATATATATCAACTTCATGATTAGGCAGTAATTTCTCGATAACCGGAAGGGCTTGGTTGAGTCCGTGAGAACTGTGTCAAGGTGACTATCTCATCCAAAGCTCGAAAGATGATAACATTAAAGAATATGATTTTCCTGTTGGCTTTGCTTTCCTCATTGAACTCAAAAACACAAGCATCATGCTCTTCCAAGTTGTTATCCTTGACAAACTTGACCCATCCTCTTGTGAATGCTGTTCTCCACTTGGAGCTTGTAATTCTTACAAGCCATCTCTTCTCACCTGGTGGGACTCTCAGCTCAGCTATTCTAACACCATCAAGGATGTGCATGGCTTCCCATCTTTTGGGAATACTCTACATGCAGAGGAATTTTAATGAGATTTCTGATCAAAGATACAGTTCAAGATTGAGTAACTTAGGCTGATGAACAGCTAGACAATACTCACTAGTCATAGCCTTAAAGGATTATTGTAGTAGAATTCTTAATCGAGATTTTTAATGGCTAGAATGACACATAAGGACAAAGATTTTACCACTGTAAAAGACCTGTAAACGTGAGAAGGCTTCATAATAATGCTAAAAGAGGGTTTTGTTGATGAATACTGCCTGGCCAATTTACAGGATCTTTGCTTCTCCTCCGCTGTTAACTCTCGTCTGTTTGATATGAAAAACAGATTATAAGTTCCTTGCAAATCTACTTGCCTTTGAATTTTACCTGAATCATTTGTAAGCAACCAAAAAGGAGGGGGAAAGTGAGAAACATAGAGTTGTAGTATATTGAAACACAAAAAAAAAAGGAAAATTATCTAATTTGTAGTGGAGGATAAAACTACATTTCCATCTTTCGTTCATTTAGAAGATTTGACTTCTAAAGCTATCAATTTCTCCTATGAGGATTTAGGGGAAATAAACCTTCTTGCCTTTCTGATTTACGCTTCAAAGATACAGACTCAATACCCCAATTTTCACTGGCCTCCATTGCACATCCTGAGGCTTCATCTGATTCATCCATCAATACTATGATTCCATCCCTTGCAGATTTTCTAACTTGAGGCTGCTTTTTCGTTGTTGCTTTCAGTTGAACACGTTTATAGAAGGTGTCAACAGCTTTTGAACTTGGTCTTCCTCTCCTCTTGTTGATCTTCTCTTTTTGCATATGGTTTTCATGGATTTTGTCCAAGTCTATAACTTCTTCAAAGTCTTCTCCATCTTCCTTTTGAAACACACATCTGCCACTTGAACAGGCATTCATGTGTTTCTTGACAAAGTATGACCCTTCTCGCTCACAGCCACTTGGATCAAATATAACTACATTGAAAGTTGAGTTGCCATCATAGCGGAAAACAAGTAAATCAGCCTCTGCCAAACTATGCTCTTTCACAAAAATTTCCCAACCATTTCGGAAAACTACATCGCCAAACATTCTTTCGAGTTCCACAGTCCACATGAATCCACTTGGACCTCTAAGGTGGATAGTCCCTGACAAATTCTCCCTGAAATTGCTCATAAATTTTCTAGGTATCCTCTGCAAAACAAGCAAAAAAGAAAGTAGTCAATCAAAAGGCATTGGGAAGCGACAAGGAGGCAAGTAGCCAAGCACAGGGATCATATTAATGCTCAAGGGTTCATCATTCGTCATTTACCAGATGATTTCTAAAATCACCAACCATTATCTTGAAAAACTGATGCCTGTTGGATTGAAATTCTTTCCAATACTTGTGTTTCTCCGATATTCTGCAATTCTGACTCATTGCTGCCATTCCTGAGACACAAAACATGAAATACAGAATGATGATGAGACCAGGCTTGCATTGGCTTTCTAGTTTCTATTACTAAAAGAAAATATAAAATTAATAGAAATTAATTGGCAGAGTACTATGGGTTTGTAGTGGTTGTACACAAAAACAAGAACCGGTTCTTGAACAAATAAGACATAGATTAAACTTAAAAATACATACACCAATCTTTCAACTTCAATTGACCTACTCTTACAAGAATCCTAGATAAAAGATGCTGAAAGTGAAAAGAAGAGAAAGTTTAAAACCTTGGCTCTGCATGAAGCTTGAAGGATGAAACTGCTTTGATCTTTGAGCAGTAAGGAAATGCTGAAGAGCAGCAATGAAAAAAAAAAAAGGAGTTTTACTCCTTTTTAGAGCTGGCTATGGCAAACCGCATCATGCTGAAAAACCAAACCTAAAACCAAGAACAAAACTGAAAAGTTCTCCTTCTACTTTCTTTGAAAGAGACCAATAAAGGGCAAAAAAAAAAACATAAAAGTTTTAGAATTATACAGCTTGGAACCACTGAAGTGGTAATTTCGTGTTCCCAGTGATTTCTTCATATCATAAATCAACTTCCTATTATAGTTAAACTGACAACAGGCCTCATGTGAAAGGCTGCAGTCCCCTTCAAAAGGAAGATGATTTCATTTGGTTGGATTCCAAATATTGAACCTTGAACCAAACCCTTAAAACGGTTCGTTTTGCTTCAAACTGAGTCTATGGTTTATACAGTGACTTCCTGTGTCATATGTCACTTTATCCCCTTTGTGCTCTTCTTTCTTAAACCCTAAACCCCCCCCCCCTTTACCAACCTACCCATCAAGATTTGGCCGGAAAATCAGTAGAAAACCGTAAATTTCATCTTCCCCAATTTCTCATGCAATCCACTCTTTACTATGCACCTTCAAATTCTCGTCATTTCGCACTCCCGTGGAAATCCCCAAAAACCCCTACTTCCAGAAACTCCCATTTATCTTCAAAAACCCTGACTTTAAACAATTCACTAAGAACCCAAATCACCTACGAGCTTGAAGGAGACGTAAACGATGGGCTTGAGTCATCAAACCCGGCCCAGCTCCCGATAGCGATACGGAGGTACGGAAAAGTTTCAAGGTTCTTCTGGGATGGGAACCGTGTTAAGTTGCTTAGCATCGATGGCTTTGGCGGCGCTGGGGCGTCGTTTTGTTTCAATTTGGATAAGGTAGTTGAAGTTTCTAGCTTGGCTTTTAGGAACTTCTTCATTCCAAAGCAAGTCAGTGAAAATTATATGGGCTATGTAAAGTGGAAGTTTTTGCACAGGGTTTTTAGCTCTGCTCTTCAAGTCCTTGCTACTCAGGTAAATGGTTTTCTTTTTTATTATTTGGTTAATGCAAGTTTCAAAGCTGAATTGTTTTTTATTTGGAATTTTAAAGCTAATGTCATGAGAACAATGGGTTTAAATGGCGATCCTTTACGAAAGAGTAGCTAGGAGGTAGTAGGGGAACAACTGTTGAATGCTTTGGGATATATTATGTATTGGGTTTTGACAGTTTTAAGTACTTTGAAAAAACTGTATTTAACTTATTTTTGACAGAATGTGATCAAAACAGGCTATGTTTCGGGCTATGGGTATTGGACATTCTCATTCACTTCCATCAGCTGCTGCCTTTAACTGGGTATTGAAGGATGGACTTGGACGGCTAAGCAGGTGTATTTATACGGCTAGCTTGGCCTCTGCTTTTGACACTAATTTGAAGGTACGAATTACACATTTTTAGATTTGGGTTGCAGGTTGCATATGATATCTTCAGCTTTCACTTGTTTTATGATTTTTTTCCCCTAAATTGCAGTTTTGCTGTTGCCAGTACTCTATTTTGGTGTCTGGTAAAATATTATCAGAAATTCCAAAATATAATAAATGTGGTGAATTGCTTTCCAGTGACTGTAGAACTGCAAAATAAGAAATAAAATTCTAATTTGTTGTCTTATCACATTTGAAGAGAGTTAGGTTTTCAACATCATTGCTGTTCACTTTGAGCATTGGAGTGGAGCTGCTCACTCCTTTATTTCCTCAGCACTTCTTGCTTCTTGCATCTTTAGCCAACATTGCAAAACAAATGAGCTTGGCATGCTATATAGCAACCAGTGTAAGGATTGAGTTTTCATTTATGCTTTAATATCTTTAATTATTTTCTCTTGAAGATTTATATCTGTCTTTGGCTTTTTTTACACATCATGTAATTATCTTTAAAGCTTATTTGCTTCATCTTCCCTTTTACTCTCCTTGGCCCCAAGGAATTTTTTTTAACAAAAAGGAATCATTATTCAAGTTTTCCTGTGTTGATGGCTTTTAGCACCTTCTCATTTGGTGATTTAATGTTTTCCTAACCTTGCAAGCAGTCCGCCATTCATCGAAGCTTTGCAATAGCAGATAACCTTGCTGAAGTTTCTGCGAAGTCACAGGTTATGGTTCTTTCTTCACATTCATCACATAAACTTTGATTCTTTTTGCGTGGAAAATGCTCTGATCTTGTAATGCATTTCAGATTCAATCAGTATGCTTTGATAACCTCGGTCTCATGCTTGCTGCTGCTTTGAATATGTTGCTCAAGAACAATCAAAGGTTTACACCTTTTCGTCTCTCTGATATAATAGTTCAGACTGTTATTATTTTTAATTGGACTTACATGACTAGTTTTGTTTTGTTATATCTGGCATCCTCATTTCATAAGGGCAATTCTATATCATTGATATGGCTGATACTTGTCTAAAGCCTGTGCTAATATGAATATAGTTTCAAGTTGTGCATAATGCTTCTGTTCACTGCATAAAAGTTATATATTATTATAAAAAATCTCTGCCAAAGTTCCCTTTTCTATCTTGATTATGAAACATATTAAGTAATGGTTGCCACACTTGAATTGTTACATTAGAGTCAGAAATTAGTGGGAAATCTATATTATTTTTATTTTTCCTTGGAAAAATTAGAAATATGCTTCATCCTTTGACTGATTTCTTTGTGAAACTAAATGCAAGCATGGTTTCTTGACTTGTCCTTAATGTGCTAGATTGCAAGCAGGCCTACCTTTCATTGTATACCCCTTTTTCTCAGCAGTTGACCTCTGTGGAATATACCAGGGGCTCAAGCACGTCCATCTGCAAACTTTAACTAAGGTAGCATTTTCTATCTTCCATTACATGTTCAATTATTCAATGGCTTATCAGTTTTCTCACATTTTTATTTGGAGAAACCAAAAATCCGCATGTCTCATCTCATGTTTTGCATATGCCAGCCCTATTCAGTGGTCATTCTCTAGATGAAATTTGGGCAGCTTGTTCTCTCTATAGAAATTGAGGAAATTTTCCTCGTGAAAATCTGAAGCTCTCTGTCTCATTAATTCTATTTCTTCTTTGTTTTTCTCTTTTTCTTTTCCAACATTCAGGATAGACTTGAAATTATACTTGATGCATGGATTGCAATCAGACATGTGCCTTCACCTGAAGAAGTGAGTAAAGAAGAAGACTTCAATTTTATATGGAGCAAAGGTGAAGTTTCTCATGGTTGTGCTTTAGCTTTTGGTGCACTGTTGATATTAGCTGTTGTAGAATTAACTTATAGTGATAGATGAAATTAAAGTCAATTATTGAAATTTGGATTAGGCAAGGAGCCATGGCGCATCAGGATAGGGTGCCTGAATCCCAAGGGTCAATTGCCTAAGTTATCAATGATGACAATGCAATATGTAGGTGACAAGGATTATTATTTTGTATGCATGGAGATCTTCTACCGACGATTGGCAAGAACTAGAGAGGTGCATACACAATGGAAATCTTTACTAGCTGTTACATAAATTATGGTGCTTACATATAATGATAATATCACTTCTAGCTTTTTTTTTTTTTCCCCCCTTAATTTTTGCCTCTTCTGAAACTCTAGCAAGGTATCCTTCTTTGCTTACGTGAAGGGGCTTGCACAGCTGACATTATCAAGGGATTGTTGCAGGTAAAAGGATTTATCTTTGAAAAACTGCGCAAAAACCCGTTTAGTTTGATACTTGTGTACACAGAAGCTTATGTTTACAGTTAGTGAGCTTAAGATTGAGGCCAAATGTTTGTGGTGTTCTAGGCATGCTATGTTCGCAAGGCCCTCCGTTCAAGTAGTTGGGAAAGCATGATGAAGGCTAGTGATTTCTCAGACTTAATTCTCAAAGAGTGGTTTAAACTGATAAAGGACAGCAAGCAACGTGCACAACTAGAATTTGGCCCGTTGAAGGAACAAATGGTAGCAGTAGGTTGGGCAATAAAAAACATTTTATTGAACACAGAAGAGCAGGCACGATACAGTTACATAGATGACTGAAATAAATGTTCCCCTGAATCGGTTGCTCTCCTTAAACCATTGGAGAGTTTTGGGGTTTGAACAGTTCGGTTCTTTTTCATTTTATAAAAGTCAACAATACGCATCAACCTAGTCACCATAGCAAATCTGTTTACACAGATCTCATTGTTTTGTTGTTATTTTAGACATTTATGCTCAATCAATGTAAATAGAAAAACCCTTACTGATTTTTGTTTAAACAGCCTGATACATAAATTTATCATTTGAGTGTGCTTCTATCTCTCTATCACAAAATGAAAATGAAAAATAAGGGTAGAGAAGAGGCAGCTGTTACTTGTTGACTACATATAATTGCATACTGCTGTTCTTGCCAGATTAACAGTTTAAATGGCCCGCGGAAGATACGGGCTCTCCATAACAAGATACTGATAGCGGTTGCTGCGCTATGTGCTTCAAAGCTGAAAATTTCCAAACTACAAATGATTTGCAATTAGACGAGGAACCCATCAGCTCATCTCTTCAGGATTGTGACTTGTTAGAAAAGATAGGATCTGCATGTCTTGGACATGAATTGTCACATTCCCAAGAGATTTTTTCACAACTTTAATATACTGGAGGAGCCTACTTAGGGTGGTCTACATTCTGGCTAGCAGTGAATCATACATTTTCGTCATATCTTACAAATGAATGTAATGAATTGTGTACAAAGTGGCAGCTACACAAAGCATTGTACAAAAATACATCTGAACTCACAGTATAAGACATGGAGAATTACTATTCCAAAATAACTTGTATGCTAGCATCCAAGCAAAGCACCGAGGCATGACACTTGGATGCAATGTTTAAAACGGCCTTGATTCGTAATCTTCAGCAGCAAAGAGCGTAAGCAACAATGTCTTCTTGTGCATTTACATGGCATAGTATGTACACCGGCATTGATGAATTAATAGAGGCATTTTCTGGCCTAGAAATTAGACATCAATGAGAGAAGGAACTTGCTTCTGTGCTATAAAATGAGTGCTCACTTAAGCTGAAGTTGGCTCTCTCTTCATCCCACTTCAGAATCTCCCTTGCAAATTTAAGAGCCGCATCAACGCTTTTGGGTTCCAACCCTTTCAAAAGGGAAACATACAACTTCCGCCCAGTGAGTGAAGAATAAAGCCTCTTGAACTTGACTGCGATATAATGGAATGCTAGCTGTCCATGGGTAGGATTATTATTAATGCTGTTGCTATTTGTATTTGTACGATGACGACTGATCAGGGGATGAAAATCATCAAACCACTCACACCGAGTCAATGGTACCTGTTCTACCTTTTCCTCAAACTGATCAAATTTGTTTAGTATTAAAAGGAAGTCCATCTGATCAAATGTTGGATGAGTAACGATGCTTTCAAAGAATTTCCTACTCAATAGCATCTTATTAGTCCCATCAGCAGAGAACTGGTCATAGTCACTCAAGGCAACACAGAAGATGACCATTCCAATATCTTCGAACATCTCTAGCCACTTGCAGTTTTCTCCAAGGCCTCTTGCTTGCACTCGAATTAGTTGGTACCTAAGAACCAATCAGAAACTATAAGGATAACAATACATTCCGCATGAGAATATAAATTACAATAAAATGGGCTTTCAAAGTTCAATACGCTATTAGATCACCACAGAGTAACTGTTTTAACAAGTGATTTAAGTACCACTTGCTTGGTAGCAACCAATAAGAGCTACAGCCTCACAAAATGCACATAAATGCATTTGGAAAACAAGTGACTAAAATGCGCACTCAATATTGGCACCTACCTGAGCAATGAGTCATGCTGATCAGCAGTGCCAATGTTTTCATCACACAAAGACTGGGGAAATGAAAAGTCCACACAGGCCAGCCCATTTGATGAAGTAACACCCTCAGCATATAGGATATCTAAGTCTGAGGGTTCATAGTCCATTTTCAATATTTCAACAGCCTGGAGAGTACCAAAAAAAATTTACTTAGAAAGAACTAATAAAAAATAAGCACCGGTCATAGCGACTATCCCAGCACAAAAGCTCAAAATAAAAAACGTAGTCACATAAAGAAGTGCAAGCATGAGTGCTGGTTGAGATTGCTTGACAGATCAGTGTTAAGAATGATATGGACCTCATTAAGAGGTCACCTAACCTTATGCATTAGCCTAAATAGAAGGTAAGTGTATTGCTAAATGAGCCATAATTAAGGAATCCCTAGCTCTGCTTATTCAGGAAATAAGAACCTCAAAGGTCAAGAATTTGCCATTATCCACTTGCTCGGCGAAGCTAAATGCTTGTGCAGCACACAAGATTCTGCGTTGAATTGATAAGATTCTCCATTCCGAAGAGATTTTTATTTTCTTTCAGAAGCATTAAACCTAGTGTTGCACAAACCCTGCACTTACTGGTAGCACATATAACATCATATTCACAAAACCAAATGTTGACCCTCTTTTTATCTGTTCATCTTGCAAACAAAACCTTCCAGTCTATATGCTTGACAATGAAACACAAACAAGGAAGCAAGAATTTGCCATTATCCACTTGCTTGGTGAAGCAAAATGCTTGTGCAGCACACAAGATTTTTTTTTTTTCTTTCAGAAGCATTAAATCTAGTGTTGCACAAACCCTGCACTTACTAGTATCACACCTATCACATCATATCCGCAAAACCAAATGTTGTCCCTCTTTTTATCTGTTCATCTTGCAAACAAAACCTTACGGTCTATATGCTCGACAATGAAACACAAGCAAGGCAGCAACTTTTCCTTTCAAGTGAAATAATGTTTTTCTCTAACCACATTATGAGTGTATAATTCTTCATAAAGCAATTTATTGAAATGTCCAATTTAAACATCCTGGTATAATGTAGCTATTGACAACAAGTTGGAAAGATGAAAGGAGTTTTATTCTTAAAACTCGCAATATGTTCAAGCAAACTTCAGATACATAAAACTAGTGACATGTAAGTAAATGTTGAGAATTTTCAACAAATTTAAACAGGCTCAGTAGTTTCAAGCATAATCTTACCCGCTCCAAGTAATAACTAGCAACACTAGGTAGCATTTCCAATTCACTTCTCCTGTTGTAAGTTGCCTGAATGGCTGCATCCTTCCACAGCTCCTCAATTAATGGTGCGTATTCACGGGTAGCAGCGAGAAAAATGGTTTCCAAATGGCCTGACACCATAGTCTTCAGAAGCCAGTCAGAGAACTCTTTGAGCCTCAGGCCAATGGAATAGATAGTTTTGCCATCACCATCATCAATACTCCCTACTAATAAATATGAAAAAAAATAATCAGATGCTTCAAGTAGAGATACTATTAATCAATTCATGATGATCATGCTGACTATTAGATGCTAAAAAGCCCTTCAAAATTAACAAGGATGGGAAAAATTAGAGACTTAAATCCTTAATGATATCCACATATAAAGAAATTAGTCGACAAAGAAGCTGCCTATGAATAGCATAAACAGTGTCATATGTGAACATCCAGCAAGAGATAGATGGGTACTAATTTCTAGTTGTAACAAGCTTGTTCCTTTCAAAGTAAGATCATTTTGGCCAAAAGAGAAAAAGGGTTGAATGAGGGTAGAAGCATGCATATATATATTAGAAAATCCAAGGAATACATGTAGGTCAAAAGGATGACTTGGTGAATAAAATCAACATGCAGCCTCACCTTCAGGGTCAGTGTCCTTGGAACATGCCCTTTTCCTCATTTCAGCCAAACTTTCTTCCTCAAAACGTTCACGGCCCTCAAGAAGTATGCCAAGATAACCATACACATTGCTTTGGATGGTCAACTTAATATTTTCACGCTCATCCTCAGAGAATGGTACATCTTTATAAAGAATCTTTGCCTGAAACAAATCATTTCATTTAAAAGATCAATTGACCAGTTGGTTAATTTTTGTTTCCATCTTACATTCCATCTTTAAGCAATTGTCTTAAATTAACACGACAAGTGCACACTAAAATAAAGACATTTAGGAAACAATAATGAGTTGAATGCAGGGAAAATGGTAATCAGAAACACTGAAGTCAAAGGTTCATGAAAATGGAGGGATAATTTCCTATGCTTACAATTAGGAATATAGATTTTCCCTCTTTCAAGAACTTGACAATCATAAATATTGTAACACACTACCCCTGAGAGTCTATTTGCACTATTACCCCTGCAAAACTATGGTCTAACAGCTGTCTAAATATATAAATTCTACAGAACCATTAGAGAATTATACCCAAACGTAAGGAAATCCAGTCGCTGACATGTGAGTAAATTTGACTGATGCACTTAAATATCTTCTTTAAACCAATTTTGGATCTCCTTCAGTGAAAGAGAATATGATATGAGATTTTTACACAAGAAGTTTTTAGCAAAGAAAACTATTTGCGCATAAGTAGAACTACAGAGCAATGAAAATGAAGATATGATTCCTGATAAATATTTACCTGCTTAAATATGGTACTTGACCCAGATCCAGTAGATCCAACCAAAAGAATTTTCTGTAGTATGCGCTGCTCAAGATAGTCAGGAACAGATCTGCCGGACATGCTGTTCAGCAGCTCCCCACCAGGATTTGAAGATTTAGAAGGAACAGGCAGTGACAAGACAGCACAGACAAGCTTCATTCCGGCCTAAATTTAATTTGAACAAATGAATGCTTAATTAGAACTATCTTCATCAACTCAAAAAAATAAAATAAAATAAAGAATAATCATATGAAGGCAAAAGAGCATGCTGAAATATGTATATAGTATATACCTTTCCCCAGATATATCCTTTCATATTTTTTTGTCCCTCTTCTTGGTATGACCCATCTTCATTCACCCAAAAGTGTGGGTTGCCTGCAACTTGAACCCCTGCCAACTGCAATGTTCACTAAAACAGTCATTGATAATCCTAGCACAATAATGACCATCTTAACAACATTACATGTTTAGAAATTTCAACCTGCAACATACGAAGTTCTACTTTTGTGATTTCTCGACCATTTATGAAAATTTGTGTGTTTCCACTGCTAGCATCTGGCCTGATAGAACCACCAACATTTAGATGGGGACTAATTATCATCGAAGGTTTCTGTCCCTCCTGTTATTTGTAGCACATTCATTAGTTTCCATAATGATGAAAATGAATTCTAGCCAAAAAAAAAAAAAAAAACAAATAACAAAGTCTTTCAAAGATTCCATATTCACCTTTCCCCAAAGACCAGATACTTTATCATACCAATAGTTTCCTGGTTTTAGCTTCTTGGGTGGGATAGGGCAACTCTGCAATATAGCCAACTCCTCATGACAAAGTGGTTGCCCATTCACACAAATATACTCAGGGGGCAGCTGATTCGCTTCACACAACTTCTCAGCCTTCATTATCTGTCTTACCTCCAAATCAATAAACAGCCGTTTAAGCATTCGAGAACACTTTCCCAAACTCCCACGTTTCGCCTCATCAATTGGAAATCCAATGCAAGTAACACATTTCCTTCCTTCAGGCATAGATCCCATAGCTCCAAGCACACAATTACTACAATACTTGGCATCACAAACAATACAAACCTCCTTCTCTGTAAACCTATTCCCCTTAAAACATCGATAACATGACCCTTTCTTCCCTTTCGTTTGTGGCTCTCTTTTAACTCTAGCAACCTGAGGCTGCACCTCATCTTGACCAAACTCCTCATCAAGTCCATCATCCGATTCAATATCTCGAAAAGTAACAACCTGAGGTCTCTTAATATCAGCATTTGACTCATTATTACAATCCCCAGTCTTACGAGATGAAACCCGAGAAGAGGGGTAATCTAAACTCAAAACAGACTCATTAGAACCCCAGTCAGGTTGATTCAAATCATCATCATTCGAAACCCTTGCTCTCGACGAACTTTCCCTCGATTTACCAAAGCTATCACAGTAATCAAGCATACTCGAATGTTCATTACTAACAGAACAAGCCCCTAACCGCCTCGAAGAATTATCATTATTGTTAATCAATTCAGCTAACTCCCCAGACTCGTAGCTACTCAACTCCCCAGATAACAAACAGTTATTAGTATCCTCAGAAACCCTTTCTTCAAAAGCAATAACCGAAGTTGGTGAAACAGTCGGTTGAAGAAGCAGTTCTTTAGACAATTTGTTACGATCTGGTGCTAAAATTGGAGGTACAACCGGTATATGAAGTTCAGTATTGGAGAGCGGTACCTTTGAAACTACGGTGGCTACTGGGATTTTCTCGACGTTGATTGGAACTGCGCGTGGAAGATCGTACGGTACCGGAGGACCGGTATATTCAACTGCAAAAGAGTATGGCTGTTCTTCTTCGTCTTCATTTTCCAAGCTTGGAAAAGTTACAGCTTCTTCCGGAGGCATTTCTGGGTGTTTTTGGGGTTAGAGAATGGGAGAAGAAGTTTTGAAATTTGGGGAAGAAGGAAATGAAAGGAAAAGGTGAAAAGAGTATTGGGGTTGGAGGGTGTGGGAAAATGACAGCAAGAAAGAAAAAAAAATAAAAAATAAAAACAAACAGCAAATGGGCTACAGAGATTGGCTTGGAATTGGAATCCAATTTTTTTTTTTTTTTTAAGTTTTGCAAAGAGAGCATGTGGTGTATTAGCTGGGGAAGAACTTTTGTCTTTTCAGGGTAAGGTGGCAAGGCAGTGAAATTTTGAGTGGTGGTATTGCAATTGCAGCTGTGAAAGAAAAGAGAGGGGAGTGGGGAGCAGCCATGGGAGGATTTGGATTTGGCTGTGGATTTTTTTCTTTTTATGGGTACTTTTTGTTTCCATTTGTTTGGTCATTGGATTGAATCTGATGTTTCACTTTCAGAATTTTGATTGTGTGTGTGAATTTTTCAAAGCTGAGGTTTTCTACTGGCTGGTTGGTTTGGAGGCTTCTGCCTTTTTGGTTGGGGATGCAAATGCAATTTGGAAGGAATTGGTAAGGAATTTTTTTGGAACAAGTGAGTGGTTAATGGGTTGGTAAAAGGTTCGTTTGATTCTGTTTACTGGCTTTTGGTAGTTTATTACATAATAATTAAGTGATGATTAAGTACTTGTTTGGATTCAATCCCATTAAATCCAATTACATTTTAATAATTGTCAAATAAATTCAAATATAATTTTAATAAAATTTATTTAAAATAAAATTTTTAATCATAATTACAATAATTTTTATTATTATTTTAATTTTATCAAAATTAATTTTATAATTTATCCAAATAAATTTTAAGAGTATCTTAACCAATTTAATTATCAAAGTAAAAGACTTTAAACACTAATAATAGGAAAAAGAGTTATTTAATTTTTGAAATTTGAAGTAGTTTATACTGTAAATGGTTTTGAGATCATCAAATTATCAACCATTTGAGTTTCGATGGTGACTTTAAGTGGCAATTGTTTAGAAGGCGATTATAAGTAAAATTTGAACTCCGAGGCTTATATTGTTGATTGATGGGATTATAAAAGAGAATACTTGCAGTCTCTTTTGCCTGCTGCTGCTGCACCTTGGATTGTGGCGATACACTGGCCAACAGGCCCCACCCTTAACGGGTCGGGTCGGGTTTTTGCTCGCCTCGAATCCGACCTGACGATTTTTTTTCATTTTTAATACCCGATCCGATATTGTATAAAATCAAATCCAATCCGACTCGACCCGAAATTAATAAAATATTATTTTAAATAAAAATATAAAATTTAAAAAATAATTAAAAAATAAATTTTTTATATATCGGGTCGGGTTTGCTTAAAACCTGACCCGAATCCAAAAATTTTTTTACTCTACCCGACCTGATACTCGATTTTCAAAAAAAAAAAAAAAACCGACCCTAAGGGGTCGGGTCGGGTCGAAACCCGACGGGTTCGGGTGATTTTGCCCTCCTTACCCTTGGGGCTTGGGGCCTTAGAAGAAAACCTTCTGTCCTCAGAAAAAATCCCTTAAATTAATGTAGTTTCTGGTTGGGATAAATAAAATTTATGAGAAAATAAACAATTGATTTGAATCGATTTTTTATCCGAATAAAATATTAAATATATATACTAAATTTAGAATAAAATATAAAAATAAAAAAATTGAATTAAATTATATATTTTTATTTATTTATATATTTTTTTAAAATTTTTATAAAATAAATATAATTATTTTATGTATAAATATATTTCTATATACTAAAAATCTTGTTAAAATAATTTAAAATTTTAAAAATAAATAAATTGAATCAAATCAATAAAATTTAATTTAGATTATATCGATTTTAAAAAAAATTTACTCAAATATAAATCATATTTTAAAAATTCATAATATTATATTTTATCTAAAAAAATCAAATCAAGTTGTAATCACCCATAGTTTTTTAGTATTTATAATTTGATTTTAATTGAATTAATTGATCAAATTAATTTATTTTGGTTAATAAATCAATCATCAAATTAATTTCGGTGGATTAATGAAAATGATTTTAAAAAATTTTTGATTTTTTATTAATTCGGTTCGATAATTAAAATAATCAAATTAATCAAAATTTTAATTAAAATATAACAAAATTTAAATAAAAAATAAAAAATATATGAATAAATTATTTTATTTTATAAGTTGTTGAAATTTTTAACATAATATTTTAGTATTTGAATATTTTATTGAATAATTTTATTTAGTTTGTTTAAAATATAAGAAATAAATTGTTTAAAATATAATTTATTTTAAATATATTTATTATTTGATTAACAAAAAAAATTCATCAAAATAATTTAATTCAATTCAATTGATTTAATTTTAAAATTAATAAATTTACTTCAATTAAAAAAATAAAAAATAAAAAATAAAATAATTTTATTATTTTAATTTTAAATAAATTAATTTAAAATTAATCAAATCATGAATATCCCTAATAGTTTGTTGATACATGTTACGATAGACTCAACCTTAAATAATTCATACAAAAAAATTTTTATAATCTATCAATAGTAACGATTAAATTTGATTTAGATTATCTCTAACTGTAAAAAAATATCTTAGATTTGATTTGGATTATTTTTAAGTAATTACATTTACCTTTTAGGTTGAATGTTATTACTGCTATCATTCTAAACGCTATAGTTTATTTTTAATTTCAAATTATTTTGATTCAAGTGGTTGATCTTTATAACTTAATTTAATTTAAATTTGTTATTTTTTCAAAATAAATTTATATTATATCAACTATCAACTATCATATTCGACAAAATTTTAAAATAAGAAAATAATATTTTTTGTTTAATTTATAATCCAATTTGCTTTTGATTTGAAGTGATTGAGAGTCAAATTAGGCCATTTTTAAAGATAATAATTTTAAAAGTCATAATGAGCTTCACTAATTTATCAAAATTTCAAATCAAATCAGATTTTTTCGCCTTTTGTTGCGCAGGTCAATTTCATTACCGGTACCGGTAGGCATTGATATTTGATAGTCTCAAGAATGGGAATCATAGCATCCCAAGCCAAGGTAACTTTGTTAAATACTACATCAGAATCTAGCTATAACCAACGTCTCATTGTCACAATTTTTTTTTATTTAAAAAAGTTTAGGAGCAGAAAATATTATTTTATCTCAAATGTTAAAAGCAAGCCGTCAATCTAAGATTTACGAATTTAAAAAAAAAAATTTAATTTACAAATTATTTATTAATAAAAATTTATGAAAGTTTGAATTTGAATATTTTATACCTAACCCTAAACTTTAACTCTTATTGGTTCATTGTCACAATTTTGAAAGTCTATCATCTAAGGCCATGATTATGACGATTTGAAGGCGACTAATGCCTTAGGGTGTTTATGTCTAACCTGCTTCTCTGTTTGAGAGCAATATTTTCCATCAAACTTTATCTCTAAAACCAAACTTCAATCCTGTTTACTCCTAAACTTTGAAAATTAGGCCTTTCCGTGAAAGATTAGTCACCTGCTGAAATTTGATTAATGCTGTAACAGATTGGTCTGCCAACAAACACTTAAAACAAATACGGTTAAGGGTTTAAATATATGTAAGATAAGTCGGATTTAAATATTAAATATATAAAATTATGTTAAATTTGGAATGAATAAAAATTCACTCGATCTTGATCTTTGTCATCTTTAACCATAAAGTAAAAAATTGTTTTAGTATAAAATTAAAATAAATTATTTTAAATTATAGCAGTTGACTGGCAAACTTAATTTCATTGTCATATTATATTTGTATTTAAATACATATTTTATCATTAATTTTAATTTCAACACTATAATATTTAATTTTATTTAATTTTCATCATAATTATTATTTTTAATCTTACCATCAATTTAAATTTAGCCTTAATCATGATCTCGGAAGTCTAACTTCACTTTGAGAGTAGCTCTAATTTTCCATGTTCTTTTGCTTGATTCTTTATAAGCAATACTATTTGTTTGCACCCTTGGAAACGGGGATTAACAGTCAAAATGCTTGATGTCAATCTTTTATAACGAAATGATCCAATACTTTGTTAATCAATATGTCAACTTCAACCAAAAATACTTAACCCACATTTGATTAATTAATGTTCGTTCTAAACCCCCAAACTATAACTCTTTCATTGGTTCCTCCTTTTGAGAATTTGACTAATGTAACTCTGCTGAGCCCACTTTATTGTTCAAAACTTCTACATTCATAGTAGAATTCGAAGCATGCAGGCAGACGAGGTGAAATTTTCTTGCAGAGTGGAAGATGATAATCTTGAGATCATGATTTAAAACGAAATTCATCACCTCAGATTGTGTTCACACCAAAATTGTAACATAAGTCAACGTTGGATTCAGTGATGGAAACATACCGAAAGTCTGAAAACAGGGGACGCAGCCTCGATGTCAAGGTTCTAAAACAAGTCATAAGCCCTTTGGCTGTGAATTACGGTTTTAGAATATAAGTATTCACATTATTTTTAATTTATAAAATATTTTTTATAAATAAAATCATAAAATTTAATGAAATCAAAATAAATAAGATTTTATAAATTAATGTGGATCGTGTCCTTAAATTTTGAGCTGCAGTTTTCAAGATTAACATTTTAGGTGATTTCTTTACTTTTTTGTATTTTATTTTCCAATTTAAGGCTATATTTGTTTCATAAAAAATGATTTTCGAAAAATAAATTGTAAAAAATATTTATATTTTCTAAATTGAAAGAGGTTTTTTGTTGTTTGGATGAATTAATGAAAAATATTTTTTATTGTTTGATTTGTTTTCAAGAAATTTTGTTTTTTTTTTCAAATAATATTAATAAAACTATTAAAATATTAAAATTTATTTATTATTAAAATATATTGAAATTATTTATTATTAAAATTATTAAAATTAAAAAATAATTATATTTTAATAATATTTAATATTAAAATATTATGTTAATATAAAAAATACTTAAAATATAACTAATTATTGCTCTTTATATTATTTATTAATATATTATATTATTTATTAATAATATCTTATTTATTCATATATTATTATAATTAAATTAATTAAATTAATAATATTTATTATATTAATATTATATTATAATATGATTTATTTATTAATATAATAGTATTTACTGATGTATTATAATATTATTTATTAATATATTGTAATATAATATTAATAATATTAATAGTATATTATATTAAAATAATATTGTTTATTAATATAACATTATTTATTAGTATATTATAATATAATATTATTTATAAATAAAATTATGCTCAAAAGTATTAATAAATAATTATAGTCATAGACAATTTTTTTTCAAAAAATGTCTTTCATTTTTCAAATCTATAAGACAATTTTCAAAAAAATAATCTAATTTTACATTGATCAATAAATCATTTTTCGTTGATCAACCAATTTTCAACCAAACAAATACTTAAAAATATGAAAATTATTTTTCAAAAATCATTCTCCGTGGAACAAACGGATTTTAAGAGTAAAGATGCAAGTGAAAGAAGCAAGCAGACATGAAACTTAACAAGGAAACTGAAGTTCTGTTAAGATTCAGGAGATATGATAGGTTATTACATATTTTGGTCTAAGCACAAATTTAAATTGGATTAAGTTGTTCTTTTTAGAGGAAAAAAGTTAATTATTACATTTCGTTGATAAATTGAATTTGCTATGAATTCATAGCTTAATTCATTGGTTCATGCGATTATTTTTATAAAATAACATCCAATAAAAATGAAGTTCAAATTTTAATATTTGCAAACGTTTCACCTTTCCTCCAGCTGTGGCTGCTTTTATATAAAAAATAATCTGCTATGAACATCTTTAATGTCTAATCTTCACTTCAAATCATAAGCATTATCGGTTAAAGTTAACAATCCAAATCAAGTCCTTGGTCACACATCAAGTATCTGAACCTGAAATCCATTCCCAGAAATGACCATGCGAAGTTTAGGTCATGAATCAATATTACGCCCAAGGGTTGAAATTCTTCGCCATTACTTGTTCTGGCTAGTTCTGCCCTGAGAAGAGAAAGTAGGAGCCACTGACAAAGTGGTTGGCACACGATTGCTGTCTGATGAATAAGGTTGCTGCTGGCTTTGCATCATTGGCGGCGCTCTTTCCGATATGCGCCACATCTTCACGGACTTATCTAGGCTACCACTGTAAAGAATCCACCGTTTTTCACCAGATGCTGATTCATGATCTCTTTCTATTGCCAAGCACTTGACAGGACCGCTATGGCCTCTTAACATTGACAAGCACAAATGCTCGTTCCCTGATCTTTTCCATACAGAAATTCCCATGTCAGCTGATCCACTGATTACAATATTCCCAGCTACTACCAAACAGAGAACAGCGAGTTTATGGCATCTCAAAACGCCACCATGAGAGAGATGATTTTCACGTTCCCAAAAGTTAACCAGCCCATCCGATGAGCCACAGTAAACAACCGTAGCATCAGGATTCACGGCTAATGCTGTAATAGCACATTCTTGTTTCAACAATGACTGTGAAAAGAAATGCTTGGTTCCTTTTCCTTGTAACTCTCTTCTCCAGACCTTGACTGTTCCATCTGCTGAACCTGTAAACACTAACCCATCGAATCCTGCAACAACAGAATTAACTGCATCATCATGAGCTTGAATCGATTCTAAACATTTTGAATCCGAAACTCTCCAAACTTTAACCGTTTTATCCCAAGAAGCCGAGTAGAGCAACGTTTTATCTTCATTCAAACCAAGGCAAGATATAGCATCCAAATGTTTGAGCCATATGGCGCTACGATTGCTCTTCACTTCAACATAACTACTGGGCTTGATGGAGTTTTTAAAATAATCTTTGAAAGTTGGTAACGTCCCAACTCGTTTATGAACACTTGAATTTTTGTTAGAAATCTTCCAAACTCGAATCTTCCCATCTTGATGACCCGTAAAGATCTTCTCTCCTGCAATGACTATAGCTTTCACCAATCCACTATTCGATTTAAACCCTGAAAACTCTTTCTGGTTCCTCCAAACTCTGATGTTCTTGCTATCAGAACCAGTATACAACAAATCCCCAGAGGCCGCCAAGGAATATATATGCCCTTCTTCACGTACCAATGAACCCATCAGCACATTAGGAGAGAAATTGGTGTCTTCAACCGCAGAAGAATTCAAACTACTCGCCATGTGAGATGACCATGGGGATTTTTTGAATGGAGATGACGATGAGTCATTGTAGGGAGAGCCACCGTCGATTGCCATTGAACAATACTCTTGGCTGATTATGCCACCACCCTTTTTGTAACCCTTATGGATTTCGTATACAAATAAGATAAACCAAATAAGAGATGATTAAGGAGAACAAAGAACCGAGGGAAGGGTTAAGGAAAAATAAAGAAAAATGAAACAAGGAAGAAGGAAGGAAGAATTTCGTTTTTCTTTTTTTGCCGGGAAAGCTTTGTTGGATGTTTTGTTGGGATTGTTTCCATTTCAGATCGTATATCCAGTTGGATTATGCCACGTTGACTTGAAGAGGACAGAATGACAAACATCCCGGTTTTGGAGGGCTGCCATTGATCTGTTTTGGGCTGTATAGACCAAGTCAAACCTTCATAATTTTCCTATGTATTCTATGCTAAGGTTTGAGATCGTGGCAAAGAATGGTGCATCTACTGAAGCAAACAATTTCCCAGAAATTAGGATGAATGTTTTTTTTAAATGGATAGTTTAAAAAAAGTTTGTTTTTCTTTTTTTTTTAGTAAAATTTAGATAAAGCTTTAGCTGAATTTAAGAGTTCGTTCGAAAGGAAAAGATTTAGAATAAGTTTTTTAAAGGAAATTTGTATAATTTTTTTCTAAAAATGATTAAATAAAAATAAAAATGAAAAATCTATTTGATAAATTAAAAAATTTCGTTATATAAATAAAGTGTACAAAATTTGAAAAAAGTTTAATAAATTTTGATATATATATTTTAGATAAACATTGTTTATAAAAATATTGATTTTGAATAAGTATTGATCAATTTGAATTATAAATAATATTTTTAATAATTTTTATTATATATTTTTTATTTTCACATCAAACTTTATTAATTTATTAATTTTAATTTTTTATTAAATTATTTTTAAGAAAAAATTTTACAAACTTTATTTAAAAATTTTTATTTGAGTTTTGTTTCAATTCAAAAGCTCTCATCGTATTAAATGATGGGTTTTATGAATCAATTTTCAATCAAATTCTTAAATGAAACTTAAATTATTGATCACTTTTTACATGAATTGATTTTTAAAATTTCATATAGAAATGAATGTTAAAGGATGGATCACTACTAATTAATTTCCTCGCAAATTTGATTTGAATTCCATTACACTCCATTTTTTTTACTTGAACATAAAAAAAAAAAGAGATTTCTTTTTTTTTATGATAATAAAAAAATTGATTTATATTCAATGATGACTCTATTAAGTTTAAAATTATTTATAGTTAATCTTAAAATCTTAAAATTTAATAAAATTATACACTTTATACTAAAATATAACATTAAAAATATAATTAAAAAACTTGATTAACAATTGAAAGTGTTCCAATCAAATAATAAAATACTTAAACTACCTATGTTTAATTATTAAAGTTAAATTTAATTAAAATAAACTCCTTCCAAATTATGTATATATATGATTTAGGAAATTTATTTGGTTGGTTCGATTAATTTCGAATCGAATTATATTATATTATTTTTGTTAATCAAATCAAAATTTTTAATTTTAAAAATTAATCTACTGAAATTAATTTGATTAATTCAGTTAATTTTTTTAGTTAATAGAATAATAAAATATATTAAATTATATTATATTTTAAAATTTAATTTTCTCATATAAAAAACAAATTAAATAAAATTATCTAACAAAAATATTCAAACACTAAAATATTAGATTAAAAACTCTAATAACTTGAAATAAAATGAATAATTTCATATATTTTTAATTTTATGTATAAATTTTATAATATTTTGATTAAGATTTCAATTAATTCGATTAATTCGATTTTCAAATCAAATTAATAAAAAATTAAAATTTTTGTAAGATCATTTTCGATGACTAACTAAAATTAATTCAATGATCATTTGATTAATCAAATTAAATCAATTTAATTGATTAATTTGATTAAAATTAAATTTGATTTATTCCATTAATTTGGCAAATACGATTCTAAAATTGACAATCAAGTCATTCAATAAAACACGGTTTTTTGGTCTCCTACTTGGTGAAGAACTGGATTCCGGTTTGCTTTTGGTATGACTTTTTGGGTTGATTGGAGTTTGTCCTATCTTTGGGCTTTCCTTAGATTTCGGCTGGTCAGGCCCGGCAGAATTATTTGGACGGGCTATTCTCTAATTCATTTAAAAAATATCTATAACAAAAAAGACAAACAACTTCGGATGACAAAATGTCCAATTCCAAACGCAAGAAACGATAGCACCAAAACTTCGATTTGCGAAAAAAAAAAAAAAAAAGGAAAAAGCTCGGTGCGCATATTTACACACTCTGTTGATCCAATCGAACTTTCCCGCTCTCTCGGCGCATCGTAAAATGAATTTTCCGTTCGTTTCTCGCGAAAATTCTCTTATTTGTTTGATGGAAGGAACGGAGATTACCTTAATCCGCTTCAAGTAATCGAAATCCGCAAAGAAATGTTCTTGAGCAACTTTATTAAACGGAGACTCTCGTCTCTGCTCCGTCCATGGCTGGAACAAGATATCGAGCTAGACCTCCAGTTAGGATTCATCAATTCCATCGCAATCGCCAAAAATCTCCGTCTTGACACGTCAGCTCTCAACCACCAGCTCATCGACGGTTCATCTTCTTCGCGGTTCTTTTTCAAAGAATTCGTTATCGAAGAGTTCGTTTTTCGATTCTCTAATTGGTCGTCTTCTGCCTTCACTTTCGAAGCTCGTGGAGTCAAGGTTATTCTGTCGTATGAGTAAGCCACATCGCTACTTTGCATTTTTTTTTCTTTATTCGATTTTTTAATTACTTAATTTCTTCTTTTGAAGGGAAATTAAAGAGGAAGGTAACGGAAAGGCACGGAAGTTGAGTAATGCGGCGTTGAAGAGTTTGAAGAAGGATTTGTCCATGATGGATCCGGAGGTTTTTTTCTCTTTTATTTTTGCCTTTTTTTATAAATTTTAATTTCATGGATTTAAATCATGTTCCTAAGTTGCACCTGACTTGACAATAATAACTGGTGAAGCGCCGGCGTTTTACTATGAATTACTAAACTCATCAAACGAATTGTTAATAACTATATATTCCTTCTGGGGGAGTGTTATAGTTAGGACAAGAGTGGTGGAGTAAGTAGCATTGTTCATGTCTTGTTAGTATTGAATATATGTAAGAATTAACTTCTGATTGTTACATGCCTTTGTTTCAATTGTATATGGTTTCTTGAAATTTGTTACTTGCCGCATAATTACTTTTAAAGTAATAATTTATCATCTCTATGCCTCTTTGTGCTCAATTAGGATTGCAATTAAGAGATTTTTTTCCTTCATTTAGGCGTGCCGAGAGGCCCAAGACTTTTTCACTACTTGATGTGTAAAACTTGGCCAAAATAACATAGGCTTTCTTCCTTGCCAGGGTAGTGCTCTACATGATATTCTGGAAGCCATCTTGACTACCACTTGTTGGAGTAATCGGGTTAATTCTTCCTTTTTTAATCTCATTCTCCAACATTGCCGTCTACAGATACTTAGCATTAATTTGCAAGTACAATTCACCATGTTAAATGATTCCTTTGCATATCTGTTGGATTTAGAGGAGCTTAATGCAGAATCTCTACATTTTGTTCATGGTTGTCTTTGCAGAGGGCTTGTTAATGTGTTCTTTATACCTCTGAAGGAGGGATCTTTCGTTATCAGTGGTAGTTGCTTTAAGATGGGGTATAAGAAAAGCAATCAAATTAACGATGTTTGTTCCTCCAGTGCACTGGCTACCTGCATCAAATTAAACAATCTCAAACTTGTAGAGTTCAATCTTCGTGTTCCAGAATTAAGTTTCTTATTTTCTCCTGTTGATTTTCCTGTTTTCATTGCACTTAGTAATTTGTCCTCTAAAGAATCCAAGCGGGTGAGAAATGGTCGGCATCTATGGAGACTAGCAGCAATTAAAATAGGCCATGTGATTTCAGCTCCCAAATTATCATGGTACAAACTAGTTGGTTTTACTAGTTTTTGGCTAAATTATGTGAATCGTTATGAGTATTTGTTGTCTCTAATGCAATATTCTCCTGATCACTTGTTGGAAAGATCTGATATTAAGCTGCCAAGAGACAAGGTAATTTTGACTTCTGCCAAGCACTATTGGGAGGTGATTCTTGACATTGAGAAAGAGCTGCCTGCTGAAGCTATTGCACAGGCTCGGAGAATAGCTCGGTATAAAGCTTTGTCAAGCGGTCAACATTCTGAAGATAATTACAGAGAACTCTTTGTTAATGCCTGTTTCAAAACCTTTGTTCGAAAACTTATGCAAAGAATCCAGTCAACAGCACACCTTTTCTTTGGGAGGAAATCTTCAACTCAAGATGAACATTTTGTTGGACACCTGGGAAATGTTTCTGAGAGTTCATATTCATGCTTCCGCTTCATTTTAAGTCTCGGAAAAATTTACATCACCCTTTCCTCAATGAGTGCATTTCAGCCTGTTAATGAAAAAGTGGAATCACATATTGGGACCTCACATTCAGATGTTTTTTCATTCCGTTTCTCTGTTAAAGTGTTTTTCCTAATGTACATAGAAGACATCTTTGAACAGACGTTATCTTTTTCCTGTGGAAAAGTGAAAGTCAAGTATTTCATCAGTTCTGTTGGAGAAGAAAAGGAGAGAGTTAAGAATTTGAAAATTATTCTGCATGTTGAGCCCGCAAAAATCTTTCTCCTCTCAGATAGTAATAAAACCAGTGCAGTCAGTCATGCTGGAGGTGGTTGTGACCCATGCCTAGAAAATTTTATTGGAAAAATGTGCTTGAATTGGAGAAGAGCTTGTAAGCAATTTGAAGAAAGTGACATCAAGTGTCCTCAAAGTCCACGCCTTATTTTTGAGGTGAAAAGCTTTCTGAGAAATCCAGATCTAAAAAAACTGGGTTCTGGGCTTTGGAAATGTAATTTGACAGTGGGAAAGTTCAACATACATTTGGGATATTTATCAATGCTATCAGTTGTTAAGCTTCTTAGGCAGATACAATATACTTTACACTGGACTCAGGGAAATGGGAGGGCCAGGGATCTTTCATTGTCTTCTCAAAATACTGAGCACCAACCAGAGGTTAGTTGGGAAAGAAGTTTTGAGTGCTATTCTAGTAAAATAAAGATGTTCTTTCTTAGAATGCTTCCTGGGAAAGACATTCAAATGGGAGTGCTCATAGCTGGCCCTCAGATCCTATTCTCATCAAGGAAGACTGGAACAAGGAATGTAAACGAAGGTGTGAACAGCCATGTAGTTAGTGGGGATGGTTTTCACCTCGGATTTGATATCCATGATATTGAAGTTGTTGTTTGGCCAACTTCAGAGTCTGGTTTGGCACCAATACATGCCTGCAGAGAACAGGATGCCGAAGATCCTGAGTGCCTCAGGTTGCCGGAGCCTAAGATACTTGATATTCCAAAACTGGGAACTAAAAAGTATACATCTAAAGATGAGAATTCTCTTCGATTCTATCTGAGACTTAATGGTTTGCAGGCTTACTTTGAGGACATGGTAGAAAGACAGAAAAATCAAATATTTGTATTGGATCCCATAACATTTCAATTTTCATCCTTCAGGTAGGGATTTGAGCCTTGCATTTTCTTATACAAATATTGAAAATTTATGGTGACTTCCTTAATTTTCACCCGTGTCTGTTCCTATCAAATTCAAATTGTTTGCTGGTTGCTTAGCCTAAACTCAGTAAAGTTTAATGTTTGGTTAGAGGAATGTCCATTTCATTTCTTTATTGAACATAATTTTTGATTTGGTTCTTATTGAGCTTTCAATAACATTTGTTAATTGTTAGAAGTTAATAAACTATCATGTACATTTTGAAGTTATCATTACTTTTAGTAGAGTGCATATTCAGCTGACCGCCTGACCTTGATTATTATGCAACATTTTGCTAGTCTTTTATGAAATGTTTTTAATGAATATCATAAGATACTGTTTTGTTGTTCAACTTTTTAAGTAAATGACTCAATGATGCTTATTCTATTGATCTACTGAATGCTTGATAATTTCTTTACCATAAAAATTTTAATTACTGGAATAACGTTGTATATGCTGAGATGTATATAAAGTATGAAGGGCATTTAATTTTTTGAACTCTGAAAAGTTAGCAAAATATGGTTCCTTTCAAAATTATATGTATTTATGGAGTATTGACCAGTCATTATCTCTTGCTTGAAACACAAAAAATTCTTGAAAGCCTTGTGATTCTTAACTGACATGTCATTTGCTTTACAATGATTTATTTCAGCCGGTCTTTCTCTCTCTCTCTCTCTCTCACACACACACACACACACTCTCTCTCTCTCTCCCTATAATATTTGTGAATCATGTATCTTGTATCCCTTCTGATATCCCTCTCTTACACCATTAATTCAATTATTTGTATGTTATGCAATTCTTTAATTCTATTATCAAACATGGTCCTCACTTAGCTTAAATAAAACTTTTTGATGACTAAGAATTATGTATCTGTCACAGGGAGTGTGTTCATTCATTTAGCACAACCTCTATTGCTTTTTCAACAGCTTTTTATGGGCTGGCCATTGGATGTACTCTATTATTGTTTATGGATGAGTTGTATGCTCGCATTCAGGTGATTTCTTTTCAACTTTTGTTGTCCCATTGGCTCTGACCGTCTATTTATTTTTGAACATGCATTAATTTCTTCAGTGATTATGATAGTTTTATTTTTTTAATACAAAATACTGGATACTTATTACTACTGTAATTATAATTATTGCAGTATTAGTTATCTTAAGTCTTAACCACTCATTAGATGTGTGGCCAAAAAAAAACCTACTCATTATATGCACTTGAAATAGTATTATAGTTGCTTTTACCTGCTTTCATTTTCTCTTTTCCTTAGTATTCAAGTTAAATAACTTCTGATTCCTTTTGATTCATTTACATACTTACTTAACCTTGTACAAATTAATGACAATTAAATGTTATTTGTTCCAGGTTCTTACTGGTTTATTTTCTGATTTATCACATCCTTTTCACAATTTTGGCTCTCCTGGTAATGAATCCTTCCAAATGTTTAAGAGACAAGATATGGTTTTTGGGGTTACTGAAGCTGAAGAGCTTTCAATGGCAACACCCTTCATATGTAATAACACACTGTTTTTAATTAATGGCATCTTTAAACTCAAGTCAGTGGATATCTTTCTCTGTAATTCTAGGAAAAGCAATAAAGCAAGGAGTTCTAAGATGGTTTTTGATGCTGCTAGTAGCACAAATTCAACTGCAGATAACTTGTCTGATTGCAGTATTTGGTTTTCATTCCATCGAATGTGTTTTGACGTATTATATGAGGAAAGGAAATTGGAATTACTCATTGATTTATCACAAATTCAATCTGTGATCATCAGATACCAGGGGTACATAAGAAAAAGTTTTAATCGCTCTGAATTTAGAGAGTTTATGCTTAGTTCACACAATTGCTTATATGAGGCATCTCTTTCTCGTTGCATATTTACTTTGTCATTGAGTCTGCCTCAGAATTCATCATCTTCAACTATTGTGAATGAGATGCTAGATGTTTCTTCTTCTGACGCTAATGCATCATATGCGGTGGAAGATAGATCTTTTAGCAGTGAACCAAAGCCAAGTGTCCAGTCTCCTGATTTTCTTCAAAAGTTGGGCTTTACTTTGAATATCCAAGTGCCAGCCTCTAGCCATGGGATATTCATAAATGTGGTAGTGACTGAGGTTTTCGTGACAAGGTGTTCAGTGAAAAATATTGTGATTGGTGCACAAAAATTGAATAAGCTTCTGTCATCACTTCATATTGAGGCAAAATTGCAGACAATTGTTTGGGGGATCCAGGTGCGAATATTGTAGATTATTTATGTTTCTTTTATGTTTTCACTTGCTCATGCAATATATGTTAGAACTATTTTTTTTTGCTCTGTGCTTTTGGAATAACTGAGTATGGGGATAAGGCATGATTAGCCACTCAACATTTACTGTACATTTATGCCATCAAAAATTTTATTTGGTTCAATCAAGTTATCAAACTATTGTTATCATCCATTTTATAATCTTAACTTGTGATGAATGACACATGATGGGCAGGGAGGTTTTCTTTGCCTTGAAACAAAAGCTTTGGCAATGTTGGTCCAGTGCTCTGCTTCCTATGTACATCACATTAAAAATGTATTATCTATTGTGCAATCGACTTCCAAGAACGTGCAAAGAGCTGAACATGATGGTGATCATTTTGTTGGTGGGCATGAGATACTCCTTGCATCTCAGCAAGTCAAACGGGAACTGCCAGAAGCTTTCAACTTAGATGTCTCTCAATTTTCTCTTGTTCTTGTTGTCGAAAGTGAATCAAGTAAGTACATCCCTTCTTTAGTTGGATGTTTTGATTATCTGTATTTCTTTCAATAATTAGTCCCCTTATGCAGGTCATATTCAGGAGTTTGTATTGGAGCTTGATCTTATTCTGAACCTTGATTTGAAAAATATGCAAAGGAAGTTTATTTTTAAGCTTTCTCGGTTATCAATCTTTTCCCAGGTCATTCAACAAAGTGCAGAAGATGAAATCCAAATTCTTCATTTCTCTTCTGCCGAATCAAATGAATTATCATCTCATTTTTTAGCTGGAGAATCTTCTGTAGCATTTCAGCATGAAGATGGTTGCTCAAGAGCTCCTGTTTCTGAGGGGATATTTTGCTTGCGTCATCAGAACTATATCTTGAAACATCTAACTTCTTCTTTATCAGTTGAGAAGGCCGAAGTTAGTCCTTTGGACCCAGAACAGGTTTGGGTAGGCAGTGGTTCTGTTTCAGGTTTTGATATGTCAATTTCGTTGTCAGAACTACAGGTAAGAAGTTCTTTATCTTTCCTGTTTCTATCATAATTTTCCACACACCTGATGACTTTGTCAGGTACCATCATTATAGAGTATGCACACCTTGTTTCTGAATAAAACTGTTAAGGCTCATGTTGCTGCATCTAACCTACTTTTCAACCTCAGATGATTCTCTCCATGGTCTCATCCTTCTCTGGGTTATCTGTCAAAGGCTCGATTGGTGAAGCTGTGCAAAGGAACTGGTCTTATAGCCAACAAGATGACAATAATTTTGAGGCGAGGGTTCCTGATGGTATTTTATTTTCCAACAACTTTTGTCTGTTGCTTGCAAATATTGATGAATTTGTACTAAACATTACTCATGATATGCCCAGGGGCAATTGTTGCTATTCAAGATGTGCACCAACATATGTACTTCATGGTTGAAGGTGCAGAAAATAAGTATGCTATAGGAGGTGCAGTTCATTATTCCCTTGTCAGAGAAAGGGCTCTTTTTAGGGTATATTCCTCCCACTACATATTTGCCATAAACTGGCCTTGTTAATGCCACCTTCTTAAAAGAAAAAATAGTTTGTTTGCATATATTATATATGAAAAGACCTATCTTTATACATGCTGATGCAAAATTAAGGTTGCTTTGCACCCTATTCTTTAATTTTAAGAAATTAATATCTTAAAATTTTCTAATTCTCTTAAATTGTAATGCTTTTATGTTGGTAGATGTGGTGCCACTTCAATTTTACTAATATTTGTGTTTTTATTTTGTTTATTTGATGCCTCTGTTATTACTGGTTATTTTGTTCATATATGTGAATGGGAAAACTGGTTACTGCTATTTAGCATATGTTTAGAAGAAGATGCCTTATGAATTATTATAGGAAATGTGGGCTAACAATTCATTCACCGTCCTCATTTAAATAGATTTATTAATTGTTAGTTTCAAGCCTTTCAAATGCCTTTATGATTGTATATAATATTGCCGCAATATGTACAGGTCAAGTACCACAAACAAAGGAAATGGAACTCATCAATTTTGTGGTTCTCCTTAATATCAATGCATGCTAAGAGCAACTCAGGGGAGCCATTGCGATTAAACTCTTATCCGGGATCAGGTTTTGTTGAGCTCTCCAGCACCACTGATAATGCTTGGGCACTTTGGAGAGTTCTTTCTTATGAACCAGAGAGTTATGAGGGTGACATTGACTGGGAGCCGTACAATCAAGTTCTTAGAAATAATTGGCACCTGGTGAACAAGAAGAATGACTGTGCTGTTGCTTTCAGTGATAGGGTTCCAGTGTTTGTCAGGAGGCCTGGAAATCCATTCAAGTTCAAAGTGTTAAGTGATATGTCAGTTTCTCAAGATGTTGTGACATATAGTATGTACCCTATTGAGTCTTCTGGAACCAAGATGGGTCATAGTGCACATGAAGATGGAGAGGGAAGTTATTGGCAAAGTGGAAATCTTTCTTGCATTGGTATTACTATTGACAAAGTTGCTTTGACCATTGTCCATGAACTTTCAGATACAAATGACAGGTTTCCTCTCCTTCATGCTTGCATTGATGATACTCAACTTACTTTACAAATTCTCTCCACTAAAGCTAGAGTTATAAGCACCTCAAAGGCTTTGCTTCAATACTTTGATGCTCAGACAAACTTCTGGTGAGTATTTTACTCAGAACACAAGGAATAGCTAATTTTTATAGCATTTGCCTTTCTCTGAAATTAGTTTTCCATGTAAATGTATCTAATTATTCGCCTCCTCCTTTTGGTTGCAGGAGAGATTTTCTTCACCCTGTTGAAATATGTATTTTCTATCGTTCTAGTTTCCAAAACCCACACGGTGTGCCTGTCCATGTCTATTGTAGGACCAAAGAGGTCCGGAGTTTTGTATGCCATATAATATTTCTTTTATGGTTCCTTTTACTATTTATGACATTTTTAACAATAATGATTGGGCTTTGTTGGCAGTTGGAGATATCTCTAACTGAGCTTTCCTTGGACATACTACTTTTTGTGATTGGGAAATTAAATTTGGCTGGTCCATTTTCAGTGAGAAGCTCCGTGATTCTAGCCAACTGCTGCAAGGTCGGCTTGTCATTCCCATATTTTTCTCTCCTTTATTTAACTGACTTAACCAGCAGAACTAATCACATGGGGATTGATATGTCTGATGTCTCAATCTGATCTTGTATCTGATATAAATTTATTTCAAGCCATATCAAAGAATGATACTGCACAGAATTTCTGCGATTTCCATTTCTTGGATCACTAGACTCATAATTGTAAATATTTTTCATGGGTTAAATTCAAACACAGATTGGATAGGGTATATGGTGATACCGACCCACCAATTCATCCTTCCTCCTGCTGCTTCCTGTCATTCATCGAAGATTGTTCTACCGCTGGCTCTTTTGCTTACTCAAATTTAACCATTTCTATTATGGCAGGCGGATAACGACCCACCAATTCATCCTTCCCCCTGCTGCTTCCTGTCGTTCTTGCAAGATTGTTCTACCACTGGATCTTTTGCTTACTCAATTTAACCATTTCTATTATGGCAGGTGGAAAACCAAACAAGTTTGAACCTTCTTTGTCACTTCTATGGTAAACAAAGTGTGACAGTGGGCAGGAAACAGTCTGCTTCCTTTTTTCTAAGGTACATCCTTGAAATGCATAGGCCATAGTTTTTCTGCTTATGGGTCTCTTTGCCCAAAGCTTGATTCCTGCTTTGTTGTAAATTGATAGTTGCATTCTTGCATGACTTGTCAGAAACAAAATTGTATTGAAAGATGCAAGTACTCAGAACTTAATTTTTTCTTGGTACTTCTAACCTTTTTATAGGTTTTTCAATAGAAAGCTTATATATTTATGTATAGTGTATGTGTGCCTGTTCAAGTAATTTATGCATATTTATGTCTATTAAGGATTTGAGGTCAATTTTCTTTATTTATTAGTTGACCTTGCTTTATTCATGTTTGTAAGGCTCTCAGCTTTTGCAAATCAACCACCGGAAACCGTAGCAGTTGTTTCAATCCAGCTTTCCATTCCTGGTTCATTTACAACTTCACCAGTTCACCTTTCTCTCTTAGGAGCTCAAGCACTTGCTTGGAGAACACGTATAGTGTCACTTCAAGGTATGGAATCTGCTATCTTCACTATGCAACATCATTGAGGAGTTTTACTGAGTGGTTTCTCTTGTTTTGAGAAACTTGAGCCAAAAGACTCTAGAAGTAGCATCATATTATCCACTATACTGGTGAGGATTTAAATGTAATATGTGTTTATAACTTCCATTAGAATAAAATGAAACATGCTATTGTCAGCCTAAATTTGCTCAGGATACGATGTGGAATCATCTAACTACTGACCCATTCATGCCATTGTTTGAGGTGATTGGTTAGATCTCAAAGTGTGTGTAGGAGAAGAAAAAGGAAAATGAAGAAAGGAATTCCTGATTTCCGGTAGTATCTTACATTTCTTGATAACAATGTTTGGCTATGAAAGCTAACTTCATCTGTGCATCTATGCATGGAATTTTATGGATTTAGGCGAGGATGCTTATGGAGTGTGAGTTACCAATATCAGTCTTTGTTCAACTATGCATACCACATTCTTTTTTCATCTAACTCTGAATTATATTATGACTAATTTGTTATATATGCGAGAGAGTATTTTGCCCTTCTTAGTTTGGACAAAAGAAAGTCAGGGAGGCAGATTTTGTTTCTTGTATTATATATATACTCTATAGAGAGGGAAATATCGTGTAAGTTTTCCTGTTGTCATTTTTTTTAAATTTAAATGGAGATTATGTGTCTGTTTGCATGGAAGAATCGGAGGAACATGCAGAGGACTATTTTCTATTTGTAACAGCCCATTCTTAATTTAAATACAGAGGGAATTGTTTCCAGGTTTTATGTGTCTTTTATAGAGCTTATGTAGGACTTGAAAATCTTTGGAAGACATTGTTTCTATAGAGTAGGCTTTTTGATATGTGGAGTTTGACACTTATGCTGCTTTTGTTGTTGATGAAGAATCCATGGAATTCAGTGGTTTATTGCTGAACCATTTTGTAATTAATGGCATGCCATATAGGATTGATCTCACACCAAAGTGAACTATGGTTGGCCACAGATTCCTCTTCAGACCACTGCTTATAATTTTATATTGTTATATATGGGGTAAAAAAGGGCTGAAATTTCTAGCATAATTATATTTTTATAGAAAAGTGACATGAAATATGCTTTCAAGGTTCTTGGAGTTCTAAACATTCTAAAAAACATAAAGATGATTTATTTTGATTTCTGTTCCAAATAGGCCTGTAATACATTTGAAAGCAGAAGTTTCAAGCAGCCTTGGCATGCTCATCTCTAAAGTATCCATAAGCTTGTAATTTTAGTTAAAATTGAAAAAATAGTCTATTAACAGATACATCTCTCAGACAGAAACTGAGTCAAGCTGTGCAAGGCTGGTATGATGAAATAGGTTAAATTATGTTAGGTTGAAGTGATTATTTAGAGGTAGGATCTTTGGTCTTTTCATCGGTAAATTTTTGCTTGTTCTTTGACAACATCCTGCTTGCTAACAAAGATGATTTCAAAAATTAAATTGATTTTCCTTCTCCATGGGTCTTACCTAGACTTTATCTTTGTTTCTTCCCCTGCTCCCATCTTTGAACAGATTCAAAATCTTACCCTGGGCCATTTGTAGTGGTTGACATTTCAAGGAAATCAGAGGTATTTTCCAAGATTAGTTTCCCACTGTTACATATGCACAAACAGTGCACATAAATGCTTTCATTATAATGTTCTTTCTTGTTCTTTCTTGATATTGATGATAAAATTGTAGGATGGTTTGTCAGTAGCAGTTTCGCCTTTAATCAGAATACGCAATGAAACTAAATTCTCTATTGAGCTACGTATTAGACGAGAAAAAATGGAAGATGAGTTTGAAGATGAGTTTGTATCCGTGTCATTGAAGGCCGGTGATACAATTGATGACTCAATGGCATCATTTGACGCTATAAATTTGTCTGGTGGATATAAAAAAGCATTGATGTCATTAAATGTTGGTATGTGTTGCTAATATTGCTGCTTAAATTTAAATTCTCACTATCCTGTACTTTTCCTTTGCTTGGTGTAATCTACCATCCTTATCTTTTGTATTAGTATCCATGTTTTTGCTCTTACAGTGTGTATTATCATCTTGGAAGGATTCGGATTTGGTGAGTGAGTATGTTTCTGCCAGAGCTAGCCATGTGTCTGCAAAAGTTGTTCAATAACAGATTTTTTCTTGCACATGCATTTGGGATTACATGTCACTAGTTTGGTTGAAGCTTTAAATGAATTAAACATTTTTATTTAGGCATAATTTTAAAATAGAAAGTGTTAATCCATGTTGCGTTCTACTGCCATGTTGCCCCTTTATGGGCCTTACGTTGATTTATCCTCTCTATTTTCCTTTTGGCCTATCGTGCTGGTATATGTGTTTTCCCTTTTGTTCGAAAAAGTGAGGCTTTAGTACAAGATTTTCTTTTTTGGATTAAGAGGAGTTAGATGACTAGGCTATTTGGGTTCTTGTAACGCCCCCAATCCTCCATGTCGAAGATTTGTGAGGATATAGGATATGCTATGATATATATGTAAAGACTTGAACTCGTATTTGTGAGGATCTTTTTGTGGACAAAACCATGAGACCTTCGGTCAAAATAGATAATACCTCATAAGTTAAGTGTGGATCTCCACAATTAAAAGTATCAAAGCCTAAGTTTGTGATTCCGTGGATTTTGGAGTACGTAGTTCGATTGATATTATATATTAGCTTTAGAATTCCAAATGAGGAGAAAGTTCAATTCTTTGATAAAGAGTAATTATATGTGTGGGAAAACACTTACTTACAGCTGGTTGTAATCTTGTAATCTGTATATTTATATTTGTATCTCTAAAATTAGGATAGACAATCCCTCAATTATAGGATTAGTTTTTTAGGAAGATTTAGTTTCCTAGTTTAACCCCTAGTTAGTTGTATATAAACCTAAGATTCTTGTATATTTCTTAAGAAGCAGTTTTTTAATATACATTCAGTTTTCACACTGATTTATTTCTTAGTTTTTCCGCATGGTATCAAAGCTTTAGGCTCTTCTTGGGAAGCAAAATTTTCAGCTTTCATTGCTAACTTCTATTTTAGGCCTTTATTGTCGAATCCTGTTTAGGCCTTCATTGCCGAACCCTTTCAAAGAAAAATATCACTACCACCCAATTTGAGAAAATGTCAACTGGGAAAATTACTGGAGTACTATAGATGTCTCAGAAACAAGGAGAGTTCAATAGGGAAGAGATTGAAAAACTGAAAAACTTATTGAAAATCCTTGAAAAGTCCACTGTGGTATGTTTTTTGGGTAAGGTTTCTAGTTCAGGTAAAGTTTTCGGCTCTCATGGATTAAATGTCTCGGCTAAGCCTATTACGAGTTCTTGGATCATTGACTCAGGAGCCACAGACCATATGACACATTCCTCACAAAAGTTTAGTACATATAACCTGTGTCCTAGTAATAAGAAAATTGTTGTTGCAGATGGTTCACTTACTACAGTGGCAGGATTAGAAGATGTTCCCTCTTTTGTTCTCAAAAATGTTCTTCATGTTCCTGGATTGTCTACTAATCTGATATCTATACAAAAACTTACCAGAGATATGAATTGCAAAGTAACATTTTATCCATCTTATTTTGAATTTCAGGACCAGAGTTCGGGGAAGATGATTGGACTTGCTGAGGAGAAGGATGGACTATACTATCTTGAGACATCAAATAACACAAGTAATATCAAGAATATTTTATCTTTGTCATTTCTTTCTGAAAAATCTTCCAATAAAGACAAAATCTGGCTTTATTATTTTCGTCTTGGACATCCTTTTTTTAGAGCTTTGAGAAACATGTTTTCTTCTTTGTTTAAAGGATTAAATGTCGAAGATTTTTATTGTGATATTTGCGAACTTGCAAAGTATAGACGTGTCTTTTCCAATCAGTAACAAAAGAAGTTCTACTCCCTTTTACTTGATTCGTAGTGACATTTGGGGTCTCTCTACAATTCCTAATATTTCTGGTGCGAGATAGTTTGTTTTATTCATAGATGATTGTACCAGGGTCTCTTGGGTTTTTTTACTTAAATCCAAAGCAGATGTGAATAGTATTTTTTAAAGCTTCCAAAACATGATCTAAAATCAATTTGGAGTGAGAATCAAGAGATTTAGGTTTGATAATGCAAGAGACTACTTTAACCAGAGTCTATCCACCTATTTCCAAAAATAGGGGATTATCCATGAGTCATCTTGTGTTAATACTGCACAGCAGAATGGAGTGGCAGAGAGGAAAAACAGCTATTTACTAGCCACAACCTGAGCCTTTCTTTTTCAAGTAAATGTACCTAAATCTTATTGGGGGGAAGCTGTTCTCATTGTCACACACATTATAAATAGGTTACCTTCAAGGGTTTTGGGATTTAAAACTCCTATGGAACTACTCTCACAATTTTATCCCAACCTCGATACCACAAACAATCTCACACCTAGGATATTTGGTTGTACTTCATTTGTTCATGTTTATAGTCATAACAGGGGAAAGTTGGATCCAAGAGCAATTAAGTGTATTTTTGTGGGGTATTCTTCAACTCAAAAAGGATATAAGTGCTATCATCCTCTTACCAAAAAATTCTGTGTCTACAGATGTCACTTTTGAAGAAAATAAACCATTTTTTACTCAACCTTATCTTCAGGGGGAGACTTCATTCATGAAAGATAAGGATAAAAACTTCTTTTGCTTGATTTGCCCCATTCTTCAACATTTACACCCATTAATTCTTCCGAGTCGAAACTTATTTCTACTGAGCCCAAGTTGAACACTGAATTTGAGTCTGAACCCATTCCAAATGCGGAAGATGTGACAAAGGATAATATTGTTCTTGATTCTATGAAGGAATTACAGGTGTACTCAAGAAGGAAAGTTCTAGATCCTGAACCAGTGCCAGTCCAAGAACCTGATCCTAACTCTGGAAATGAGGTAACTACAGTTTTTGACTCTGTTTCTTAAAATGAGCATGAATCTTCTAAAATTATAACTAGTGATTATGATCTGCCTATTGCCATTAGGAAAGGAACCAGAGAATGTACCAAGCAACCACTATACCCAATCTCTAATTTTGTGTCATTTGAAAAATTTTACAAAAATTTTCTTGTGAGCCTAAACACTATTTTTGTTTCAACTACATTATTCGAGGCATTATCCAGTGAGAAGTGGAGGTAAGCCATGACAATAGAAATGGAGGCCTTAGAGAAAAATCAAATATGAGAACTGGTAGAGTTGCCTAAAGGAAAAAATCCAGTGGGGTGTAAATGAGTTTTCAGTGTAAAATACAAGGCAGATGGTACTGTTGAAAGGTATAAAGCCAGGTTAGTGGCTAAGGGCTACACTCAAACCTATGAAGTGGATTACCATGAAACCTTTGCTCTAGTTGCCAAGATGAATACAGTTAGGATTTTGTTATCATTGGCTGCAAATTACAATTGGCAGCTTCAACAATTTGATGTAAAGAATGCTTTTCTACATGGTGATTTGGAAGAAGAAATATATATGAAGGTTCCACCCAGATTTGGAGGTCATCTAGAAGCAAACAAAGTATGCAGGCTGAAAAAAGCTTTATATGGTCTTAAACAGTCTCCTAGAGCTTGGTTCGGGAGATTTGCAAAGTGATGCTAGCAATGGAATATAAACATAGTCAAAGAGATCACACATTGTTTATCAAGCACTTTGATTCAGGGAGAGTCACAGTTCTATTAGTGTATGTTGATATAATTGTAACTGGAGACGATGAAAAAGAGAGAGAATCTCTAAAACAGTGTTTGGCTAGAGAATTTGAGATAAAAGAGCTAAGGAGATTGAAGTACTTCCTAGGAATTGAAGTAGCTCACTCACGGCATGGTATTTTCATTTCACAATAGAAATATGTGATGGATCTTCTAAAGGAAATTGGGAAGCTTGCATGTAAACCTGCAAATACCCCTATAGATCCTAATCATAAAATTGGAGAAGCTAATGAAGATGCTACTGTAAATAGAGAGATATACCAAAGATTAGTTGGAAGACTCATTTATCTCTCACATACTAGACCTGATATAGCATGGGCTGTGAGTGTGGTAAGTTAATTTATGCATTGTCCTAAAGAAGTGCACCTATAGGCTATCTATTGTATATTGCACTATTTGAAGGCCAATCCTGGGAGAGGTATCTTATTCAAAAGAAATTCAGGGTTAGTTTTAGAAGCATATACAGATGCTGATTATGCAGGTTCAGTAACTGATAGAAGATCCACCTCAGGCTACTGCACTTTTTTAGGTGGTAATCTTGTGACTTGGAGGAGTAAAAAACAGAATGTGGTGGCAAGATCAAGTGCTGAAGCAAAGTTCAGAGCAATGGTTCAAGGAATTTGTGAACTACTATGGTTAAAGATTATCCTAGAAGACTTGAAGATCAAGTGGGATGGACCAATGAGACTTTACTGTGATAACAAGTCTGCAATAAGCATTGCACACAATCCTGTGCAACATGACAGATCAAAACACATCGAAGTAGACCGGCATTTCATAAAGGAGAAATTAGACAGTGGGTTGATTTGTACACCTTATGTATCAACCAAGGGTCAACTTGTAGATGTGTTGACTAAAGGTCTCAGCAGTGCAACATTTCAAGAAATTATTTCCAAGCTGGGAATGGAAAACACCTATTCACCAGCTTGAGGGGGAGTGTGGGAAAACACTTATTTACAGCTGGTTGTAATCTTGTAATCTGCATATTTATATTTGTATCTCTAGAATTAAGTATTTGTATCCCTAAAATTAGGATAGACAATCCCTCAATTATAGCATTAGTTTTTTAGGAAGATTTAGTTTCCTAGTTTAACCCCTAGTTAGTTGTATATAAACTTAAGATTCTTGTATACTTCTTAAGAAGCAGTTTTTCAATATACATTGAGTTTCCACACTTATTTATTTCTTAGTTTTTCCACAATATGTTTGTAAGTGAAGTGATTTTTGTGTGATTTTTTTGAGATAGGCATTTTAAGCTCTAAAATTGTTATGGGAATGATTTTGACTTTTGAAGATCTTTTAGGATTGAGGTCATTTTTGGAGTCTTTTTTTAAGGATATTTAGTCAATCTTTGATCATGGTTTTAATTGTACTTCCTTGGAGTAAAAGTATGAAATATCGAAGTTGTCATGACATAATATTTTGAAACCTTTAGATATTTATTTTTATTAATGTTTGTGAGTTGCCATGATGGATTTTGTTCTCAATCTTACACTTGTGATGAATTAATGTTATGATGCATAAAGCTAATATTTTCTTATTTTAGTGTGGTTTTGGTTTCAGCAAATAAATATCTTAACTTGTTGATAAGAATTGATAATCTGGCCATTTGTTGATGTTCAATCATTAGATGTCTATTTTGGAGTTCTATGAATTTCTAAATGGTAAAAGCGTTTAGATGGTGATTATAGTTTCAAATTAATGCACAATATGAAATTTGTTCGAATATTGTTTAATGGTATAAGGCATATGTTACAATTTTGTGTATAAAGGTAATGTTATGGTTATTGAAAGGTTTTATTAAAGAAGATGGTTTTGAATGAGTAATTTGAGTTACAAAGATGTGTTTTGCTAAGAAAATTTGATATGCTGTAAGTAAAGAGGATGATTGTTATTGTGGTACTAAGACCAATTCTTAATGATAAGTTTATATATTTTGTTGTATTGAGCATGCATTCAATTTTGAGGAATTTAAGAAATTCTATGATATTATGTGATGCATTTGGTAATTTGTTTGTAGCTTTACTTTTGATATGAGTTCAATTATTTGGAGTTCTTATTGGTTGAGACTTTTTACTAGAGGATTTTCCTTAATGTACATAGATTTTGACTTTGATTTGGAGTTGATAATAATATATTGGTTAAAGGAAAATTTGGGATATTATGATGTTTGTAAGCTTTGTTGCGCAACTTTTATTTAATGATTGATTTATGAATTTAAAAGCAAATAATATTTGAATTTGAAGATGATTTGGGCACTCAGCAAATTATGTTTGAATTTGGATGTTGTAAAACTTATGATTTATTGTATAAGTTTGGCCCTTATCACAGTTTTATACTGGTTAAATTGATAAGAAATATTTCTACAGTTAGTGAAAAAGAAAATGATGTTAGTATGCGATTTTTGAGGTAACTAGATGATTTATTGACATTGTTATTCAGATTTAAAGTTTTGTATGGCTATAATTACCTTACAAATTGAAAGTTCTTTCCCAAGAGATTTTATGTACGTGTTATTATGTTTGGTGTAAGATAAGATTAAAAATTCAATTTTGTTGTTTTTGAGGTTATATTTGAATGAAATATTAGAGTGCATAAGGGAAGCACAATTAGTTTAAGTTATGAATTTTTGGACATTTTTAACAAAAGGCGACTAACAAATTTGTATGTATATTAATCGATTAAAGATTATGGATTTTGATACTTGGGACTTGGAGAACTTATAAAAATTGTGAAATTGTTTCACGTTTGTTATGTTTGATCTTGTTAGCAGAATCGTTTGTATGAAACCTGAATTGCATTGAAGTATATTTGCTCTGGCATGATTGAGATGTATGTATTTTGCATATTTTTCGGGACTGAAATGTCAGAGAGTTTGTAATTTTGATTACTGCATCTTGTTATGAGACAAGAATTGAGATTGAAGATTGGGAATGTCTGTCTATTAGAGTGGAGATAAAATGAATCCCGAATCTGTTAAAGTGAGGTAACTTGGGCACATAAATATTACGAGGACCTCCCCACCTATTGCCAAATAGTTTTAGGTTGGATGCCCATCTTAAAATTTAACACTGTTGTATAGGATTTGGATTGAAATTCATTTTGATTTGATTATTAGATAAATGATTGTGAGGAGTTTCATAGATGCTTTTAGACAGCACAAGATGATCTCTTCTAAGAGGAGAATTGTATGTTACATTTGTTTGAGAGATGGATAAATTTTGAGTTCATGAAATTTGGAATTTGGAGAACAAATTCTCTCAAGTGGGGGGGCTATGTAATATTCGGTCCAACATGGCCCAAGATTAATAAATAAGATGGATATTTGGTTAAAGCCCTTAAGATTATATTTGGAGTTAAAAAAAAAAAAAGAAAAGAAACAAAAGAAAATATTGCTCAACAATTTTGGTTTTGGCGGGTGAAACAAATTGGGAAATAATTGAGGGAACCTTAGAAAAGAAAAAGAGGCTGGAAATTGAGCTAAATTCCTCTCTGTTGATGGATTAAGGTAAGATTCAGTGTTGAGATTTACTTCCTGATGTAAACATGGACTTGGTATGACGTGTTCTTATACAAAGTTTAATGCAGAATGTGCAGATTAGAATTAGAGCAATTATCTTGTTTGAAAATGGGTTTGGGACCTTTAAATGGTATATGAGATTTTTATGGACTAAAAATTTTTCTATCTACCATGTGATATTATGCCATGTTTTATGTACCATGTGACATTATAGTGGAAGAAATTTGAGGCAAAAATCAAAAGTTGCGCGTGAGTTTTGTTCCTTTAATTTATAAATTAAAAGGTTTTTATGAGGAATATATAACAAGTTGAATTTTATAATTTGTGGATATAAAAGAGCTCACATTCAAGGCAATTGGATATTGACAATCTTTTGTGATCTATGTATCTAGATAACTAGCCTTTGCAACAAATTCGAAATTTTGACTTGCCGAAATGGATTAATTAGGGGGCTGCTCAACCAGAGCAAACCTGTGACCGTAAATACTTAAAGCAGTAGTTGTCCATATTCCTGATTTCTTTGTGTTCTTCAGAATTAAGTTACTTCTAAAGTAGATGACAATTTATGTACTGAAGATTTTTTATTTTTCTCCTTAGTGCCTTATTGTTTATTTGCTAGTATAGCGAAGATGGTCGTTGTCAGCGCTTTAGAAAAAAGGAGGAAAAGTAAGACAAAAGAAGAGGGGAGGGGGGTTGAAGCAATTAATATGCTTGTTTTTCCTTTATTTTCCTCTCGTGTGATTCTTTGAATTCATTTTAAAATCTTCTGTGGTTTGTGTGGTTGGTGATAATATGCAGGTAACTTCTTATTTTCTTTTAGACCTGAAATGTCAAATGACTTGATACAATCTGATATCCCACTCTCAGTTCAGTGGTCAGATGAGATTAAAGGTGGAAAGGCAATTCGTCTTTCTGGAATTTTTGATAAATTAAGCTATGAAGTGCGAAAGGCTTTATCTGTTGGATCAGTGAAATGTTCCTTTAGCACAACATACTGCAAGGTCAAATCTGCAGCTGCACATGTTTCTGACATGCACTTTTTAATTCAAAGCATTGGAAGAGAAGTGCCTATCATAAAACCTGATAAGTCTATGGATGGGCTTGAAAACAGAAATGCACCAATTTCACTACAAGAGCAGAAAGAAATTTTTATTCTCCCCACTGTTCGTGTGTCCAATCTTCTGCACTCGGAAATACACGTGCTTTTGACTGAGACAAGTAAGACATGCAATTTTTTTAAACAATAAAGTATTGCTGTTATTTTACTCTTTGAACTTCCATCTTGTTGCAGATTTATTTGCCCCTAGTGGCTATGAAAACATTGGGAAGGAGGCAACTCTACCTTGCAGATCAACTGTCGATTTTTATGCAAATCCTGCTGTAATGTACTTTTTTGTTACTTTAACTGCTTTTAGTTCAACGTGTAAACCAGTAAACAGTGGTGAATGGATCAAAAAGTTACTGAAGCATAAGAATGGTGTTCGTTGCTTGGACATTGACCTGGATTTCAATGGTGGAAAATACTTTGCATCCTTGAGATTATCCCGTGGGTACAAAGGCATATTAGAGGTTGTAAGCAAATGTGATATCTTCTAAATTTTTCTTGACGTGTTTATTATCTAAGGATCATACCCCATGAGTTTTGTTTTCAATTATGTTTGGTTTGTTTGCTGTAGAAGTTCCCATGCATGTCTGTTAGCTGAATTATGTATCTATTGCAGGCTACTGTCTATACACCGTATACCCTGAAAAATGATACTGATTTTTCTCTGTTCTTTGCTTCTAGTCAGAAGCCTTCATTTAGGTAGTTTCTTTCTCTGAAAATTGTTAGCAAATTCTTTGAACTCAGGTTTATGCTTGTTCTTATGTAATTGACGGCCATAAATATCTGCAGAAATGAAATGGGGAGCATTCCTCCTGAATATGGTTTATTTTTGCCCCCAAAGTCAACAGGGTCATGGTTTCTGAAGTAAGAAATTTTATTTGGAACTATTATATTAGTGTATGAAGTTCATTATCTACCTTTATGACTAGAGAAACTTTTGATATTAGGGGTTTCTTCATTGGTTATAAACTTTTTATGCACCATTTGTTGCCAGATCGCATAAGATGCATCTCAGATTATTTGAAAAACATGCATCTGAGGCACAATTCGACTTGGATGCTCTATCAGGCCCCACAGAGATAAGCCTAGAGATGGAGGAAATATCCGGAGTGAAATATATTGCAAAATTTGGGGTATCTATGGGGCCTTCCTCGAGTAGAATTGTGCCTTCACAAATAATAACAATGGCTCCAAGGCATGTTGTGCTGAATGAGTCAGAGGAAAGCATCACTGTTCGTCAATGTAATTTGGAGGTTTGTATCCACCAATATAGGATGTAGTTGTCCTTTTATGTTTTTCAAGTTCTTACTTCTTGTGTTCTTCCCCTTTCTGGTGTGTGGATGTGAAGGTTGACATGGATGGCATGATTTCCATCAACAGTAGGCAGAGAACATCACTTTTGCTCCAGAATGAAATTAGCAAAAGGACAGAATACAGTTTATTTGAGAATTTCATCAAAAAGCATAGAAATGATTGTGATAGTTCTTTAATTTATATTCAGTTTCGGTTGAATGAGTCTCAATTGGACTGGTCAGGACCATTATGCATCACTTCATTAGGACGTTTTTTCCTAAAATTTAGAAAACAATCAAATCAGTTGGCAATAGAAGACGAAAAGATTGCAGAATTTGCAGAAGCTAATGTAGCAGAAGAGGGTTCTACTATTGTAGTGCGCTTCCAAAAACCACCAAAAGGCAAGCTGCCATATCGGATTGAGAATCGTCTGCATGGTGTATCCCTCACTTACTGTCAAAAGGTTGTGCTTTTATTCAATTTTACCTATTTTCTCTGTAATTGATGGATGCGTGGTTGAGGTATTCTATATGTATTGATTTGTCACTATTATTTATTATTGGAGAATTTCCCAGAATTCATCAGTGCTGGAGTTTCTTGGATCTGAATGCAGTGTTGATTATGCCTGGGATGATGTTACACTTCCTCATAAACTTCTTGTTATGATAAATGGTAATCACTTACCTCTTATTGCTCCTCTCTTGCATGTATTTTTATAATAATTTATGCTGTAATCAACATAGTTGACATTTGAACTTTGAAGAATGGAACAGCCAAACTTCCTTTTGGAATATGTTTGGATTTATCATATGTGCTGTTTCTTCTTTCATGTTTGAATTTTATAATTTGCTTGAATGAGGAGTATCAACAATGGGCTTCGCTTCTTTACTCTCCTTTTTTTTTTTTTTTTTCTGATTGATATGCAATATATTTTGTTTACTTTTTGTTTGTTCTTTGGACTCTCATCAAGACGTTGCAAGCCTGCATGTCATATGATCTAGCAGGCTCAAAAATTAGAGTTAGAGCAACATAGAAATAACTGGAGAAGTGTTCCTTCAATAAGGCATTGAATGTTATAGTTGCTTAGTGAATCTGAATAGACGTTCCGACTTATGAAAATGCAATGTATTATTTATAAACCGAGCACTTTGTGGGATAAAAGTTTCCTGGAAAGCAGAAGTATCCTCCAGTTCAAGGAGTGATAGAGAAAAGAAGAACGGGTGTTACACTTTGCATTTGATACCTTTTTTAACTTGTTTAATATGAACTTATGTTGCTTGTTGTCAATTCACCATTACAGCAGTTATTGACAGAATTTGGGAGGACAGGAGATGTAGGATGATGTTTTAAAAAAAATTATTAGCATACAAGGCCATGTTAAATCAGTTTCTACTTTCTTGGAAACCAATTTTATAGGCCACCCGGATGCTTAACCAGTTGTTCTACTCATTCAGATAATTGGCATACCTTTTAAGGTCGTGCTAGCTATTGATAAATTTCATGTTTTCATTCTTTATTGTGTAGTTGCTCTTTGTTTTGCAATGTGGTTCTCTTAAATGCATGCATGTTTGCTGTTGTTTGATTTTGATAATAAAACAATTAAAAGGGATTGATAGAGAATTATGTGTCCAAATGTGTTGTTCTTTTCTTGCATTTCATGAGTGTGTATTCTTATTTTATTTGGATCTTTTGTCTCGATGATCTCTTTGTTGTATGCCTTAACTTTGTTCTACTAATGTGGTCATACGACTTTAATGAGGATAATTTAGGATGTCTCCAATGCTCCAGTTATCAAACTTAGAAAGTGCTTGAATTTTTTTTTTCTTGTTTGTCTTTGGTTAGAATGTAAGCTTTTATGTACTGTAGCAAATTTGCTTGGAGAATTATCCAATTTAGCATGCTGCATGAAATTATATTTTTCTACAGTGTTCTGTAGAATTGAACTATGCCTACTTGAAGAACTATCTAAGAGTACCTGTTACACAAATATATGAGCTGGAAATAGCTAACATGTTGAGCAAAGTGCTTATGAAATTACTGGCTGTTCTGATTTTTCTTGTAGATATGAATCTGCCACGTGAAATCAACTTAGACAAAGTGCGGACATGGAAGCCCTTTTATAAACTTGCACAAGAAAGGTTAGCATCTAATATGCTTTTGGAGAAAAAATCCAAGGACAAGAGAAGTGGATTTGGTAAACTTAAGGACATGAATGCTGTAAAGGTGGGTTATGAAGTATATACTGATGGTCCCACGCGGGTTTTACGGATTTGTGAGTTTTCAAATTGTCATAAGCAAGACAAAGCTTTTCACTCATGTGCAAAGATCCGGATGAGAGTTTCCCAGTTTGCAATCCAATTGCTTGAACAAGGGAAAGAGGTATCTCCTCCCTCTCTCTCATTGGGAGATAATTTCATTCCTTCAAAATTTGAAACTCATAAAACTAGTAAAAGACAATATCATTCTAGTTTACAGGTGTTATGCTTATGGTTTTACATGTAGAAGGATCATGTTTATCTGCTTATTGATCTATTTTTCTCAAACTAGACAATTCCTTTTCCAGGCCTTCATTACTAAATATTCTTTTACTTTGACGTCAAGTTGCTCAATTGTGAGGCTTTGTCGAATTGTGACCACCAAGATTAAGATGCCAAGTAGGGAATTAACTAGTTGATGCAAAAAAACTTTATTATGGCCAAAGGGAACTTTATTACACCCGAAGGGAACTCTTAGAAACTTATATAAACCATGGATTGACTAAATTGCCCAAAATTATTATTTTGCTTCTGAATTGATATCCCCAAAATAAAACTGCAGGGTGTGGAAAACTTGTTCTTTCATGGCTGGATAATACATTTTTATCCTAGGATGATTAATGTCGTAAATAGCCTTCAGTGCAACAGAACTATTGCAGAAGTCTACATGATAGTATTAAAAAGTAAAAATTGGACTTTGATTATTTGATTATAGTGTATATTTGCCATATGTTTGGTGAAGTGAATCTTGATGATACCTGTTTGTTCAACTAATTGTCTTTATTTGATGTTATAATTTTGTCTAGGATTTAAATTGGAGTGCAACACTCTTGTATACACCAATTGTAGTTGCAAGGCTTCAGAATATAAGTCTGGATTCTGTGTTCACTGACCAGAAGAAATATAACCAGATTGTTGTACAGGTAAAAATATTTCCATGCGTTTGATGTCTTAATATGTGTTCATGATTTGAATGAATATTCTCTTTCACAGTTGTGGAATACTAATAGATCCTTATTTAACCACCAATGTAGTCATTGAATGTTGATGTGAAGTGGAGTGGAGCTCCTTTTGTATCAATGCTTCGTAGACATCAGTTAGGCTACAGTGATGCAAATGATAGCATACTCAAAATTGTGTTTGTCCTACTTTCTGCGGGCTCTGATGTTAAACAAGTTGAATATTCATCTGTCATTCTGCAGGTATAATGAGGCAGTCCATATCTGGCTTTTTTACTCCTTCCTGAACCTATGTAGCCTTTTTTCCTTTTCTTTCCCATCTTTTTGATCGACTTGACAGGGGATGGGGATGGTGGGGTTCAAACTATTGTTTCCTTTTGTTTCCCTTTGCTTTAGAAACAATTGGTGGTGAGAACCGTGGATAATTGATGGTAGCTTAGTTTTGATGGAGCTATTTACATCCATGTAATGTGTACAGCAGCTCTAATTTTGTTGCTCTCCTACACAGCCAATTGATTTGAATCTTGATGAGGATACTTTGATGAAAATCGTCTCATTTTGGAGGACATCTCTTAGTGACTCAAATGCTCCGAGTCAGCAGTTCTATTTTGATCATTTTGAGATCCACCCAATAAAGGTACTATGCTTTTGCTTCTATTATATCTTGACAGACTTAACTACTAAATTAATTGAAAAATCTATCACGTACTTACAGATTATTGCTAGCTTTGTTCCTGGGGAGTCCTATTCAAGTTATAATTCAGCCCAGGAAGCTCTGAGATCGTTGCTGCATAGTATTGTGAAGGTTTGACCAGTGTGCTCTGCTCTCTTTTAATATATACTTGACTGATTTTGCTCATTCTTAGATAGTGAAACATGTGTTCTAGTGTATCATGTTGAGTAGGGTCATTTCTTGTTCTTACTTCTTTCTTTTGCTTCTATAGGTTCCTCCTATAAAAAAGATGGTCGTGGAGCTAAATGGGGTCTTGGTTACGCATGCTCTGGTAACAATTCGTGAATTGTTAATAAGATGCGCACAACATTATTCATGGTAAGATCTTCATTAACGTTTTGCTTGTTTTGTGATTATATGGAATCCTCACTTTCAGAATGATTTAATTAACCAGGTATGCCATGAGGTTCATCTCCATTGCTAAAGGTAGCCAATTACTGCCTCCAGCTTTTGCATCGGTTTTTGATGACTTAGCTTCATCTTCTCTAGATATCTTTTTTGATCCTTCTCAAGGATTGACGACTCTTCCAGGTTTCAAATTGGGTATGTTTTCTATGTGGTTTGTTCACTCAAGTGTTCCTTTCCTGTATGGGTTCACCCCACCTTGGGAGTTAATTAATGGCATCTGTAATATTTTTTTTAATGTTCTGCATGGATGATTTGTTTGGGTGTACAAGAGGGTCATGATCACCAGTTTGTAGGCTCATGAATTACACTGAAACTGGAGATGGGAATTTCATTTTCAATTTTTGTACTGCGAGGAAGAGAAATATGAAATTCATAGTTTAGTTCAGGGTACTTTCCATAAGGCACTGATAATGTGTATACTGGGCATACTCTGTGATTAAGTTCAGGTTCTAGTTTCAGATTTATTTATGCTAGTCATATATTATGAAAGAGTTAGCCCCACGAACCCAACCTTACCTATCATCTTGTTAAACCATAAGCCTGTTATTATGGTTGTTTGTAAGTTGAGATATTTTATTTCTGCTTTGGCCATCATGCACAGGTACCTTCAAATTCATTAGTAAATGTATTAGTGGTAAAGGGTTCTCGGGAACAAAGCGCTACTTCGGTGATCTGGGTAAAACTGTAAGTTTTATATAAGACAAGTTAGGAATATGATTTTTTCCATTTTTCTCTGCACTTTCCTAAGCTATTTCTATGCTAACTCTGCAGCTGAGAACAGCGGGGTCTAATGTAATCTTTGCTGCTGTTACTGAAATATCTGACTCTGTTCTTAAGGGGGCAGAAACAAGCGGTTTTGATGGGATGGTACCAGTCAATCTGTCATTTTGAATATTTTTGCATATCATAACTTTTCTGGTTTATTTTCTAGCTGTTTACTTAGGGATATGTGAATTATAGTATAACTTCAACTGTTGAAACTGACAGTTGACTGTTAATATTATTCTCAAGGTGGGTGGTTTTCACCAAGGAATATTAAAATTGGCTATGGAGCCATCAGTCTTGGGTACGGCTTTGATGGGGGGTGGGCCAGACAGAAAAATCAAGCTTGATCAGAGTCCTGGGGTTGATGAGGTAACACCTGTATTTTTGTACTCTAATTCCATATCACCTTGTTCTGTTTGAGTCACCTACTTTTTACCGTAATGAAAGCAGTTCATTTATTTCCTCCGTGAATTGAGAAATAATACTAAAGATATAGATACCTACTAAAGAATGTCAGACCACTGAGTCCACGACTAGAAAATCTTAAAAAGACACATAAAAACCAGTGTTTTATTGCATATGATGTTAAGAAGTATCTTTATGTGATTAGTTCTGTGGGAATTCACATTGTTAATGCTTTGCCTCGCTGTTGAAGGGCTGCTGATTCTGCTGTACTTATCCAACATCTTTTTCTATTTGTTTTTCTTTTGCTTTAATAGTCAGTGATAAATTTTGGACTTCTGCAGTTGTACATTGAAGGATACCTACAAGCTATGTTGGACTCAATGTATAGGCAAGAATATCTTAGAGTCAGAGTAATTGATGATCAGGTAACTGGTTAATTGAGAAAACAGAAACATCAGTACTGTAACAAAATTTATTTATTTTTTTTGAGACTGAGAGAGCAGTGGATGGCACATGTTTACGTGGTCTTTCAGAATTATACTATCACTTCTAGCAAAGTGCTCCTCTGAGTTTACCTCGCTTGCAAGGACAAACTGTGGCTGCACCCGTCTTCCCACCCACCCACATTTTTAGAATCTTGCTTCACCTTATTGACTTGATAAACGAGTTTTGACTATGCTCTAACTAATGTATTTTGTTTTTAGGTTTTCCTTAAAAACCTACCTCCTAACAGTTCCATCATAGATGAAATCATGGATCGTGTAAAGGGGTTTCTTATAAGCAAAGCGTTGTTAAAAGGGGATCCTTCAGCAGCTACTCGCCCCATGCGCAATGTTCAAGGAGACAAAGTAAGTGCATCCATCAATCTAATTCACCTCTCTATTTTCTTTTCCTGCTTTGAAGGTGCTTTAACCAATGTTGCTATGAGAATAATAACGTTATCAGTCTTTGCCCAGTTTTTATACATATGGAACATCATGACCGGACGTTAGAGTTGAGATTTAATGGACAATAAAAGTTGGTGATAATTTGGTCATATGCATTCCGTTAATATTACTTACCTATAGTTGTATGATCAGAATCACAGCTGTGCATGGTACATATGCAATCCACTGCCTTGATCTGCATTGCCATTTCCACTCTTTGCTATTCTTCTTTCTAGTGCTTAAAGAAATTAATGAGCACAAGATTTAGTAGTAAAATGACAAGCATAGGCTAGAAATCTCTTTCAGGCTTAAGGTTTTGATGCCGCAGCAACAAATGCCTCTACTTAGCAAACATGTTTGTCCATAATTGGATTGTACTCAGCACTGCTGTTTATAGCTACACTATTTTGCTCGTATCCTATTGAAAGTATTGATCAGAGATAAATCTTATTCCAGGAATGGAGTATTGGACCAACCATCATAACATTGTGTGAACACCTCTTTGTGAGTTTTGCGATCCGTAAGTTAAGAAAGCAAGCGGATAAATATATCAAAAGCCTCAAATGGAAGAAAGAGTCGGAGAGTGACGATCTCAAAGCAATTATCCCTGCGAACACGGGGGAAATGCAAAAGGTAAGGTTTATTTGGAAATGGGGCATTGGCAAATTTGTGCTTTCAGGTATCCTTGCGTATATTGATGGAAGGTTATGTCGAAGTATCCCTAACCCTGTTGTACGCCGAATTGTGAGTGGCTTTCTGTTGAGCTTTCTCGACCAGAATAAGGGCTGAAGAACCTTTTTGCATAGTTAGGCTGATAATCCTTTATTTCTTTTTGTGTAGCTCTAGTTCTTTTTAATATCATTTATTTATTCGAGTCTCTAACCCGCACATACACATGCATGCATGAACATTTACATCAATAAGAACACACAAATTTTTGTATAATCACAATTGTGCTTCTCTTCCTCCACTTGATAAGGAAACTCTCTATACATATTTGCATGTCCTGGACTCTGAAGCGGTAGTATATAATTTCTAGTTTGCATTTCGGAGTAGCTGAATCCAACCTTAATGCTGTCTTTAAATAGTGTTATTCATTGACATTACGACCTTTTCAACTTTAAACGATACAAGGTCTTGTCTTCCCTATTTGCTGAGCTTTCTGCAGTCTACCCCTATGTTATAGAGAAAGGGCCTTTTCAACTCCATTTGTTATTAATAATATAATAATATAAATATAATATTATTTTATGTAATAAATATAATAATATTTATTAATATAATATTTATATAATAAAAAATATTGTTTTATCAATATAATAATTTTATTATTACTGTAGCGATTTAATTATAATTTTATGAATAGTGCATGTGTGATAACAATATTAAATTATTTTTTAAAAATTAAGAACACTTATTTCCAACAATTTCTAAGATTTTGCAAAATTTTGATTTTAATTTTCTAAAATACAAAATAAAAATAATTTATCAAACATATTTTTGTTTTTAATGTTTAAAAAAAATTAAAAACGAAAACAAAAATCGAAAAAGTTGTCACCCTTAAGAATTGGTTTCTATACCCCTGATTATATTTGGTCTTTTGTACAAATGATGTGGACTTGTTTATTGTTTTATCTGTTTTCTGGGTGAGGGTTGAAACTAACATATTTCACCATCGAGATTTATGACGCCCCCAGTTTGTGCGAGAAACTACTGAATTTGCCCATAGTTTCTATTGGCAAATTCGATAAGATAATGTCATTTCTGGTCCCCCACTACTTCAAGCAAGCATCAATTATGGGAAGTTCTGCGGGAAGCTCGTTAAATGTGTGCTTACAGTAAGTTTTCTCATGTGGCCTGGCCTGATTTCATCATACCACATCACAGGCTTCCAGAAATGGTTAAACAAAATTTGACTATCCTGAAAATTAGTTTTTAAGTATGATTTTTAAGCAATCAAATCACGCTATAAAATTATGTTCCTACGGTATTAGATTTATAAGAATATAATAAAAACAAATAATGATAATCAATCATAAAATATATAATAATATCTTATACCGTTATTGTCAAATATATAATAATAATTAAATTAATATTTAAATGGATTTATACTTTCATAGTAGATATAAGTTAACTATTATATATATTTCTTATCAGATCACTCATTCTATTTATGATCGATAATAGAATGTAGTAAATTAAATAAAAAGGTTGTAATGTTGCTCATGTTATCATTGCTTGTTTTATTATTTAATTACAAATTTTAAATTTATCAATAGAATTACAATTATTGTTACTGTTATATTGTTAATACTAAATTATGTGAATTTTATTACATTTGTTAAAAAAGGTAGTATTGCTAATTTTATTATTTTTATATTTATTTATAATCAAATTACATCTTTTTTGTTACTTTATCTAACAACAAAGTAGTAATGTAATTTCTTTTATTATTTACATATTTTTCGTATTTTTATCACTTTAACTATCATCTAAATTTCGAAATTTATCACTCATTAGTTGCTTTCTTGTTAAAAAAAATAGAAAAAAGATTAGCAGATTATCATCTTGATAGATGTTAAATAAATGGTTATATAATTACATTAACTAAATACAAAAGCTTTGTAAAATAAACTCCAACCATTGAAATGGAGTCATAAACATAACGATTTCTCCTTATCCAATGCTTTAGCCTTTTTATTGAAATCTAATTTCATTGTCTGGAAATACATTACATCAAATTGAAAGCAATCGCTACTATTTTTGAGTATCCTTTTTATAATTTGCTTGATAGGAAGAAGTGAAGTTTAGTTAATACACACAAACTCCAACTCCAATTTGAGTTGGGGTTTTGAATTTTGAAGATAGTTTATCCTTTCAGTTCAATTTCACTAATGTACCAAACAAAAACAATTTTTCTTGTCAAAAAGAAATCTAAGATACACGACACGAGGCAATGAATCTTGTCCACTGATTCATTTTTCGATGTGCCAAAGATTTATTTTTATTTTAAACATTCCCTGCAAATTAAGGATCATGAAACTATCTTTTGGATGGTTGCAATTTCATGTCTGCCGCCATTTGGCCGTGGGCAAAGCATGAACACTTACTTGTTTTCCTGTTCTTTTTTTTCTCTTTATGTACTTCAAACGTGCATTTGATGCCCTAATACCATCCAAATGACAGTTAGAAAGTCCCTAATCCCACAAATTTTACTCAAAAAAAAAAAAAAAAAGCTAACTCTGTCGGTTGTCAACCAATCAACTTTGCCTCGCCAACCTTATACAGCAGCAGATAGCCGCCATAGCACACAGGTTTCACAACCCATATTGACTCCTGGCTCGTTTTGAGTCGGCCAAACAGGTGACAATCTCTTCTCGTCTACTACTGTAACTTTCCCTTCACTCATAGCAAAATCCACAATATTTAAAAATAGCCCTCTCGCCACTGGTTTGGAATTAGAACGTTGAAAATGACATCCAAAAACCACATGAATAGAAACAAAACAATGAAACAAAAAGCAGAAAATGACATTGCCCATAAAGATGAAGCCTTCCCTGTCTATAAATACAGTCCCCCTCTGGCATTTCTCCTTTCCTCCATACAATACTTTTTTTCAGCTTTTCTCCTCGCAGGAAAAATGGATTTCATGATACCCAAACCTCAGCGATATTTCTCAGGTGCTGATCAGAAGGTGACAAATGTGAATAACCCAGAAGAAGAAGATGCTCATACAACCTACCATGTCACCAGCCAGCTTAAGATAAAACCCTCAGCTCGGTCTTCCCCCGAAGCCCTGGACAAAGAAGTTGTCCTTAGGCGTCTCCGTCATCACAAGAGCAAAAACAAAATCAAAAGTGCTTTTCAGGCTTTGGTTGGTAGCTCAGGACAACCACAAGAAAAGTGGATGGAACTGGGTGATGCTTTCACCTGCCCCTGAAAGGAAGCTAAAAACCCATAAATCACCATGGGATTATAAATGCCTTGAATGATATATTTGACGATGACGAAGAGTTTAAAACTCTCTTGTTCGAAGAGGTTTATCTTCCAAGAATAACTGTTTACGGCTCAATGGGAAGTGAGGACTTAATAGTGGGTAGTATTGTATTGAAATTTGAGTTCGGAATTCTATCATGTGTTGTAGATTTCTAGTACAATAATTGTGTTTCTTTTTGTGATCATGATTTTGATCTCATCTTGTAGCTTGTACAGCTTTGTACGATTTTGTAACACAAGCAAGCCCGATTGAAGATATAATAAATCTTTAGTAAAAACAAATTGAACTATGCAAATTACAAATTGTTTCAAGCTAGTTTCCAACATAAGATAACACATGCACATCCCTGGCCAGCCAATCCATCTCTTTTGGGCTGAATATCTATACTCAAAATACACTTTCAACCAATGAAAACTGGCTAAACCTGTAAATTAATTCATTCATCTAATACTATATTTGGATTGAGGGAAGGGAAGTGGAAGGAAAGGAAAAGAAAATAAAGAAAAGTTAAAAAAAAAAATTTTTGTTTAAATAAATTTCTAATTAAAAAAAAGGAAATGAAAATTTAATAACTTTTTGTTTTTTTTGTAATATTTATTTTTTTAATACTCCAATTTGAGAGCAAAGTTAAGAAAAAAAAAGTTGAAAATTTTTTATTTTTATAAAAATATTATTATATCCATCATTTTATTAATATTAAAAATTTAGTCAAAAAAACTTAACTACATCACAATCTTCTTGTAATTTTTTTAAAATCATATCTTTTTTCAAGTAAATTTCACATGTTTCTTTTAATATAAAAATTTTTTATAATTTTTTTGGTGATTTGATTTTGATAAATGATTGAATTAAATATGAATAGACATATTTTTTAATACTCCAATTTGAGAGAAAAGTTAAGAAAAAAAAAGTTGAAAAAATTTTATTTTTATAAAAAGATTATTATACCCATCATTTTATTAATATTAAAAACTTAATAAAAAAAACCTAACTACATCACAATCTACTTGTAATTTTTTTAAAACCATCTCTTTTTTCAAATAAGTTTCACATATTTCTTTTAATATAAAAATTTTTTATAATTTTTTTGGTGATTTAATTTTGATGAATGATTGAATATAAATAAACATTTTTTGGATGTAGGAGATGTAACATTTTTATGTGATTGCATTTTTTTATATTTAATACCTTTAATATGAATATATCGTCAAAGTGATAGTATATTGAAATTTTGATAATGGTAAAAAAATCCATTAATGCATATTTGTAAAATATATTTCTGTTTCATTTAATTAAAAACTACTGATATAACAACAATTGTGAGACCATATAAGATAACAAACATATCATGGTTTAAGAGTTTTTCTAAAATTATAGGTAATAAAAGTTTATAATTGAAAAAAATTATTATAATAAATTGTTTCCTTTATTTTTTACTCGTTATCCAAATAGTGGATGTTATAATTCTTTCATTTTTTTTTCTTTTATTAATTTTAATTATTCAAATAAAAAATACATATATTATTTTCTTTAAAAAACTTTATTTTCCTTTATTTTTCTTTCCTTTATAAATATTTATCAAAATATTACCTAAGATAAATGATTTTGAATTTGAATCCTATAAATGATTTTTATTGATGTTAATCTAAAATACATCTTGCTTGACATGTGGAACATAATATTTTAACTACCCTGAATTTCTTCAGACAGGAAACAAAAATGAATTTCCACTCTCAACTTTATATCTAAATGAATTGCTTATTTATATGCTGTTAAGTGGTTGATACAAGAGAGTTTCACCGCTTTTTCTATGGAGCTTTTTCTATTTCCGAGAGATCTTTCCTTTTTTTTAACTTACGGGCTGCTTTCTTGCCTCCCTTTTTTAATGATAGAAAAATTTCCATAAAAATTGTAACCAACGAATTTGGCATTAGCGCACTTCTGACCATGACTTGAAACATTTTTAAATCATAATATGAGCGGAAATTTGCTCAATGATGTTGAAGATTGATGGGAGTGCCTAGAATTGTAAATGATATATTAATACTCATAAATTATTCGGGTTCGATTCGAAAAAAATTCAAATTCGATTCGATTATTGTCGAATCAAACTCGAACTCGAGTAGCTCGACTTATCGATCGAGTCGAATTCGAATATTCTTATATCTGACTCGAATAGTTCGCGAGCCTAATCGAACTTTTATATTTAAATACATTTTTATTATTTTAATTAATAAAATATTTCGAATTCGAGTTTGAATTCGAATTCGAGCATGAATAATCGAACTCTTGTCGAATATACGAATCGAACTTATTTTTACATATTAATCGAACTTAATTAAACAAGCTCAAGTAGCTCGAATTCGATCACGAATCAAACTCGAGCTTGAAAAATAAAATTCGATCTAACTCGAATCGAGTATCGAGCCCTAAGTTGTGAGTCGAACTTGAACTCGAACTTCTCACTATTCGACTCAAACTCGTTTACACCTCTAGAAGTGCCATAGCCAAGATGTTTTTTAGTAAAAAAAATGGCAATATGAGAATAGGTAAAAATAATTGTAGATTACTTTTAACTCAGGATTTAGATTTGGTGGGAGTTGTGAGTGGACCTGGTGGCTGTTACCAATGAAATGGAGAGCCTTTCTCTTGTGATAGAAAAAAACATTTGCTAATAAATTCAACAATGAGGGCCTTCCAAAAGTTGGTCATGCCATGGCCAAATTAACAACCTAGAAGTTCAAGTGGAAGATCATTTCTTCTGGAAAAACTTCATGCAATTCATCAAGAGGAAGCTGTATTATAGGAGGCAACTCATTATTGTCTTCATTTCCTTAGTCACCGCAGTAGGCATAGACTACTTCTAATGCTCAAAGATCTTTTCAAATTCCCACCTCCTTAGAAGGATTGGGAATGATCTCAAGATTGGAAGGACCCCAGAGAGTTTTATTACAATCTTTTACAGCTTTCACGTAACCCAGAAGTAGAAAGGACACAATTAAGGCGAAGTGCTTGGTTAGAGTTCTTTAAAACCGACAATGACCTTGGAACTTGCATTTTCCTTTTCTTCAAGAACTCCAAGGAATTCTGTAAGCATGGAGCAGGTGGTATGTCCTTCAAAATAACAGGTTCTAACCTGCAGACAACAATGCACAAGCATAATTATTATGTTTCAAAGCTTTGATTCGAATGCTTCTTCTGTTATCTCAAAAAAAAAAAAAAGAGTGCTTTTTCTGTTTATGAGAAAAGCAATCCCTTACCCTGAGCTTTTCTTCTTCTTCTTTCTTGAAATGGGCTTTACCTCAACCTTCTCATCCTCAGAGTCGGATACGAAAACTTGTCTGCAAAAAGAACATGATTTGTTTCTTCCTTAAACTATTTACATTCAAAGGCCATAACTACATACACATATATAAAGATATATAGATTAGATAGATGCGTAGATGGTTATGTCATACTTTTCACGAAATGCAAGCATTTCAACAATGTTAGCAGGAAGCATCCCCTTCTTGGCCCGAGACTCTTCATCAGTTTCAGTTTCTACGTCTTCTATGCCATTTTGAACTGTCACAGATTGACGTGGTGTTTTCCTCTGAGCCCAAAGTCTGCGACGTTCCTTTCCCTCACGAACAACCCTGTATAGAAGAGATCATATTAAGCTCAATAAGACTAAAAATTTTGCATTTAATATAAGTGAATTTGATGCAATCAAAAGTTCAACATGACAATTACAGAGCAGGAAGCAGCATAGACACTCAATTCAACCAAGCTGTACTCTGACTTTGTTGTATATGTATGTTGACTATGTTCTTCTATTTGGTCAAAAAATAGAACTTTTTCTCAAACTAGTTGTAAAGTAAATATCTAATAATTTTTCTTGCGATATATGAAAATAACACTCACTGTCTTGCTGTTACTTTCTACTCTTTCCCTTCCCAAGATGACAGTAATAAACATCTCTCAAATATGCTAACACTCAACGCACAAATCATAGCATACTGCACTTTCAAGACCGTCCCATGAACCACGGGAAACCTGGTAAAATCATAAATCACAGGTAACTCAAAATTGGCCTTTAAATTACTTGTGTTTAGCATCAAAATATAGCTGTTGTTAAAAGAATTAACTTTAACATCATCACATTACCATAAAACCAGCCAAGTAATCAACCTCGCCATGCTCATTAAGTTCAATATGGACTCAAGAAACATCAAATGATCACATCAATAAAACTGTTACATTTAACCAAGTATTTGCTTAAAAGAGGTAATAAGGTATCAATGTCTTATGCCGCAAATACACTAAATCTTAAGCAGCCTAAACCTACCCAGAGCTACAAATTCTTCCCCTTTTTGCTTTAGCCAATCAATAGGGCAAAAAAAAAAAAACTCATTGCCAACTTGATTGAATAAAAAATTAAAAAAAGATCTTTTTTTTATCGTAACAATCTTCTAAAAAAGCAATATAAATATATATTTATAAAAAAAAGAGAGAATTGTATATAAATTAATTATTTACCTGGCCTTGTTTTCTTTCTGGATTTTTCTTATCTCTTCATCTTGCTTTTTTCCCTGCAATTCAAAGCAAATTAAAAAAAAAAAAAAATCAACTTTCTTTTGTAAATTTTCAATTAAAAAAACAAAAGATATACAGAAAAAACTGAGATTTTCATGAAAACCTGTTCGTTTGTAAATTCTTCGGGTGCATCAGAGTCGTAATCTTCTTCTCTTCCCGACATGTCGTTTTGCAGTGTCCTGTTTTTCGATTCGGGGACTTTTGAGACTGCTGTCTCTTTAGGGTTTAGGGTAATAATGCCATTAAAACAGACAATTTGAAGCTATTTGGACCCAAAGAGACAAAAAAAAAAGCCCAAGTTTTATAACATTAATAGACAAAATGGGCTTGTTGCAGGTGGGCTTTTTCTCTTGTTTCCTTTTCTCATAATGGACTCTCCTTTAAAAAAAGTTTTACGTTTTTTTTTCTTCAACCTTTTTATTCGTGTATTTTATATAATTTAAAATAATAAATTTTATATATTTATATTATATTTTATTCAAAAATTATATATTATAATTTATGTCTATACAAAAATATAAAATATATTTTTTATTATTTTATTAAACCCATATTTACTAAAATTTAAATTATGTTAGTTTTATCTCTTTTATTTTTATCATGTTTATATAGTATCACTATATCATATTTTAGATTATTAAATTTATTTTGGATTATATTGTGTTTTAGTAAATATATTTTAACTTTAATTTCAATTATAATTTTTTATCGCATCAAATCAAATTGTCCATAAAACATTTAAATTATTTTTCCTCATTTTGTATAATAGACTCATCCTTCTAAATATGAGTAATGTTACCATTTCTGTCAATTGCATCACTTTATTTTTCCTATCATTTTACTTAACAAGTTATTACTTTTATTATTTATTACCAAATAAATGCATCATGGTCTTGGTATATGTTAAAGGTTTTGTTTAATTATCTTCATTTTTGTATATAAATATTAAGATCATGTAAATATGTTTGTGGTTTTTTTTTTTTTTTGAGTTAATTAAATTTCTTTGCCACATGTTATGTTTTATCCTAGTAATATAGGGTTTTGAGAATTGATAACAAAACACTTCTTTCTACTTGCTAAATTTTTATACATTGTATTTTTTGGCCACAATTATGCTTCTTCTAGGTTGATCTCCTATCACTTGGCTTAAATATTTTCTTCAAAATGTAGTTATATATATATATATATATATATATACACACAAAATTAATTATAAGTGGTCCTTCACCTTTTAGTTTAATGATTAAAGAAGTTTTACGAGAATTTAAAAGTTTTGATTTCGAATTAAGATCATTTTTTTTTTCTTTTCCCTTTATAAAGGCTATGCCTTCTTTTGAATAAAAAAAATTAGAAGTGAGGCTATAATGTAACTTATTAATATTTAATTTTAAAATCTGATTATTTTTTATTTTATTTATTAATTAAATATCATTATATGATTAATTAATAGTGTATGATATTTCTATACTAAAGAAAAATGCAGCATGTTGTGCATATAACTTGACTTTCTAGATTACATCAATGTGTTGCGTGTAACATGGGTAAAAAGTAAGTGAGGTTTGTTTCTAGAATAGATATTAGTCTATTTTATAAATTGTATTTGGGTTTTGGATAAGGAAAAATCAACACTCGTCTTATACATCACTTTCTTATATCAATTTTTGGACCCCTAATAAACCAATCTTTGCACTAATCTTCTCCTACAAATCAAAGGCTTAAAAGTTACAACTGGCCATGTGCCATCCCCTTGACTACAATAGGTGGACTGAATTGAAGTCTCATTTTTTTTAGATCATGTAATTTATATATTCATATTGTGTAAAATATTAAAATTCGTATAATTTTATCGTATTTTACATAAAAATTACATGTCATAATTTATGTTATAATTCATGTCGATATAAAATATAAAATATATATTTTTAATTATATTAAACTCATATATAATTATTACTAAAATTTTAAAATTTTAATTTATATTGTATTATTATATTATATTTAAATTATCAAATCTAATTTTTTCCACTTTTTCTCATATCCTCTTTAATTTCCACACCATTAAAAAAATCAATGTTTTTTTTCCACAAAGTAGACGTTGGCATGACTTAGTCAATAAAATAAAAAATTATATAACATATATAGAGGTGGAACCATCGTCGTCAGACCGCAAAGTTCCACAGTATTGGAAGAATTTTCTTTTGCCAGAAAGGAATTGCATGCGAAACAGAAATGGTTTCTATTGCGTGTGGGGACTGATAGCTGAATCTGATAGTTTCACCTAGCTGGATTTGTTCTTTATTATCTACAAAACTATTTGTTATATAAATGTCAATCCCTGCTTGCCCTGGATTTGGTTTGAGAAAGTTGATTTTCGAAGCATATTGGAAATTACCTAGTCTTTAATTACGTCTAATTATTGGGCGATGATCCATCTTTGTATCAAGTCAATGACAAGTAGTTTGACCAGTTGCCTTTATTTTCTTACTGCCTAACTTTCACAGACATTCCTCACCATAGATTGCGTTTCCTAGCGTGTTGGAAGATCCATGTGGAAGTTCCTAAATTTTCTCCCCGTTGAATCAATATCAAAGCACAACTCCAACGCCATGAAAATGTACTCTCATCCAGCTATCACATGGACTCTTATATATTAAGAGATGATGGTATAATAACTTTTAAAAAATCATAGCTTGAAGATAAAATAAAAATTATAAATGTTAGAATTTAAATCTTAAATTTATTAGATATTATTTTTTAAAAATAACAGTATAAATCAATTTATTTGATATTTTAAAGACAAAAACAATCAAATAATATGTGATAAATATGGATCCAATAATAGTGCTTTTGAAAACTGTTGGTGCGGAGCTGTCTTGGAGGGGTAAAATTCTAAAATTAAGAAGAAAGAGAAAAATAATGATTAAAGATAAAGGCAAAAAGTGATCTTAACATTTATGTTTTAACGCTAAAATCAAATATCGACAAAAGAAAATAATAAAAAGAGCATCTAAGAAAAGTTAAAAAAAAAAAAAAAAAAGATAAAGTAAAATGGTGAAATGACATTTGGATAGTTTTATTTATAGAGGGAGGAGACATGGGCATTTTAGATTGTTTGAGATTAGCTTTAGGACCTAAATGATATGATAGATCAGATCGAATTGATTTAAATATTAATCATTCATTCTATAAATAACAAATTAGCATTTACGAAGATTTATTGAATAGATTGATGAGATGATTGAGTTAATGTAGTATTGTAAAATTAGATTGATTTGGTACATTAGCTCAACTCAAAAGTAAAAACTATTTTTAATTGTTCGTTGATAGTCTTCAACAAAAAAAAAAAATTTATCTTTCAAACCTAAAAATGCTCCTAACAAAAGCCATATATAACTTGATCTAATGGTTATATATCTTTAAAATGGAAAGTAGGGAGATCTTGTTTCCTTGCAATTAAAATGAAAAAATTATAAAGTTTTGGAACAGATTTAACTCGTATGGTGGTCATGCAGTTAGGTCACTTTCCATACAACTTTTCCCCAGCTACTCGCCCAATTATGAAAAAAAATGGTCGAAAAGTTTGAAAAGTTGATGTTAAAAGCATAGAGAATCTACTGCAATTTGCCAAAACTTTAAAAATTGTTGTTGAAAATTCAACAAAAGTAGATAACCGAACAAGAAAGTCTTTCGCGTTTATCCAAAAAAGCAATATAAAAAAAAGCCATCAGAAACATATATATACGAGACCTGCATAACAATACTCGTCATGCAAGTTTTTGTGTATGAAAAGCTGGTTTTAATTGTGACAAAGTCATTTTCAGGAGTTGGGCTTCCCCACTTGCCTTCACTGGTCAGAAATTGCTGCTCTTTTCAGCTTTGCTTTAACGAAGTTGATGGGAAAGACACTTTCTTTGCGGTTCATGGTTTCAGTGCAACTTCGTCATCACTTCTCCTTGTGGCTATCAATTACTCTTCGTATTTACGATAAGATTTGTCGTATCGTCTAGATTCGGATATCTATCGTTAGATATTAATTTTTAGAGAGTCATTATCAATCTTTTTTATCTAAGTACGATTGATCACCTAAAGAATATGTCCTTTTAGAGAACACTTAAATTCAAGGGTCCCTAAAAGAATAAGTTCAGATCTTCTAACTAGAACAAGATTCGGGAGTTCGATTACGTATGAAGAAAATTATAACACCCTCATAACACCCATCAAAAGATGGTACCAGCATAATTTTATGTTATCCAATAAGTCTTAAAATTTTACCAAGTAATTAATTATTGAAAATTATTCTCAATTGACTATAATACTTTTAACAAAAAATTGAGAAAATCCTCTCACCTCAGGAGTATATAAGAAAACTATTGTTTCACTTGCAAAGGCTCCATCGTTGGATTATTTAACATTAAAAAAATAAAAAAAAGAAAAGAATGATTGTTTTTGTGCAGGAAAAATTGATACTTTCAATTTTTCCCTAAAATATTTTTTAGAAATTTTAATCTCGAAAAAAATTGATACTTTCAACTTTTTCCCAAAATATCTTTTGAAACTTTAATTTCGAAGAAAATTGATACTTTCAACTTTTCCTCAAAAACTTTTTTTTGAAAATTTATTTTTAAGGAAAATTGATACTTTCAACTTTTTTCAAAAAATATTTTTTGGAAACCTTAATTTCGAGAAAAATTGATACTTTCAACTTTTCCTCAAAAATACTTTTTTTGAAATTTTATTTTTAAGAAAAATTGATACTTTCAATTTTTCCTCAAAAATATTTTTTTGAAAATTTATTTTTAAAGAAAATTGATACTTTCAACTTTTCCTCAAAAATATTTTTTTGAAAATTTATTTTTAAGGAAAATTGATACTTTCAACTTTTCCTCAAAAATTATTTTTTTTGAAAACTTTGATTTTTAAGAAAAATTGATACTTTCAACTTTTCCTCAAAAATTATTTTTTTTTGGAAACTTTGATTTTTAAGAAAAATTGCTACTTTCAACTTTTCCTCAAAAATTCCTTTTTTTTATTTTAGGAAAAATTGATACTTTCAACTTTTTTCCAAAAATATTTTTTGAAAATTTATTTTTTTTTAGATTTTTTAAAAAAGGAAATAAAATTATAAAATAAAAGAAGAAAAAAATAAAAAAAAAAATTAAAAAAATAAAACCAAAAATAAAAATAAAATAAAGATAAAAGAACATTAAATAATACTAATGTAATAAATAAAAAAACAAAAAAAATAAATAATA